GGGAGGGGGGTGGTGGGGCGGGGTAGGTGGCTGGGCGGGGGGGGAGGGGAGGCGGGGCGGCGACCCGCGGCCGTCCCCACTTGCCACCCCTTGAGGGCTCTCTCGGTCATATTCTGTTTCATGGCCTTTCTGCCAGAAAAAGTATAAATTGACAATCAATGAAATTGCAAAAATAAATAATAAACTTCCCGTTAACATTTAACTACTCATGAGGACAGAGAACCCAATGAACCACAACAAGACACAAAAAAAAAAGCGAGAGACAATTAAAACCTACTTACCCAAAACCCAACCCTAGCTTTAAAAACGTAAGTTCTGGTGCAGTAATATCTGGGGAAGTTGCTTTAACATTGTTCAGGCTCATTAGTTTGAGCCAAGAGGCTACTCGATGATGTAGCAATCACGCTATCCATGATAATAAAGCAAATAAAGACTCACCTGCAGCTTGGAGATTTCAAAGTTCCTTCCAAGGCGACCAGTGCATCAATTCGCATTCATCGGTTTTATTCCCAGCTCCGCCAGCACACACCTACGGAATCCAATATTGTTCAAAGCATTCGTGATTAATACCAGTAGCTCTTTTTTTTGCTTTCCACTTACGAAGCTTGCCTGAATAAAGATTATAAGCCAGTAAAGAACAAGGCCTACATTCGCCCCCCAAAAAGAAAAAAAGCGACGGTCGGCGTTATTTTGACTACACCAGACACAGAACGTTGCCTTCTTTAGAATCTCGTTTTTTAAAATTAAATAAACAGCAGTTTTCAATGAATATAACATCCTTTGAGCATTGACAATTGTCTCATGCTTCACTGCCCCACCAATAAATCAAATGTCCTTTCAGTTCCTCCAAACCATCAAAAGTAAAAGCCAAACACTGTTTCATGTTAATAAAAACAGAAATCCAGTGCACGAAAGCAACCCACAATTTAATGGGTTTAATCATTGCCTGGGAGGAAAGGAATCAGGAAAGCAAATTCAAAGGGAAAGCATCATGGAATAGGGTTGCAAATATGCATTCAGAGGTTAAAGAATATCAAGAAAAGCGAACAATTTCTTTGCTCAGCTTAAACAATAATTAGTCAAGACCCGGCATTCAAATTTTGAAGAGAACTTATCCATTAAAATGAAACAAAAGTTTTGAGGACATTAGTTTTAACATAAATTAAACACCATTCCCAACCATGCAGGTTGGTTGGGTTGGGAGCTAGGGGGGGGCCCGTGATATCGGGTTGTCAAAAACCGGTGACCTAACTTCATGGACGCAGAATTTAAATACTGTTATTTCTGCATATGCGGATAGTTTTATACGGACCCGGCGTTTTTTTTGTTAATTGATGAGAGGCAAAATCAAGGAACTTCAAACCACGCAAAGAGGGACGTTGTCAAATCGGAGGGTTAATATTGGTCGGTGGCAGAGATCTGTGAAATACCTATCTGAAGAGCCAAGGGAACTACTTGGGAAAGGGGCGCACATTGAACTGACCTGTTAATGGATTAATAAACCAAAATAAGGAATTTGTCTACCGATGGCTTGTAATTGCAAATGGGGTGGGGTGTAGCAAAACAGCGATCCACCTTATACTAAATTCACGCTGTCCAGGGTGAAATACCTTTTCTGAAACTCAAGGGGAGTGACTTTAGTGCACACATTGGGAACTGATGACCTGTTAAAATTAATGAACCGGAATTAATAACCAAAATAAAATTTTCTATGCCTTGTAATTGCAATTTGTACAAACAGCATCCACTATACTAATTCACCTGTCCAGTGAAATACCTTTCTGAAAACCAAGGGGAACTACTTTAGTGCACATTAACTGACTGTTAAAATTAATAACCAAAATAAAATTTTCTATGCTTTGTAATTGCAATTTGTACAAACAGCATCTAAACTAATGCAGCTGTCTATACTAAATTCATCACCTTAAGCTTCTATATTGGTATATCCTGAAGACTATATCCAAGATGATGCATTTGTTTGTGCTAACATAATGTAGCTTCTTTTTTGAGGAACCCAGAAATATGTCTTACATTTCCACTTTGCTTTTTGAGATAGTCAGTGCATCAAGGGGAAGCACATGAGAATTAATAAAACAAGCATATCGACCACATAAACAAAAGCTTCAAGAGACTTCTAATTACATTTACAAGAGGCACCAACTTTTGAAGGCCGCAAAATCTACAAGAGAAGGAACTAAACTAAACTTCTACTCCTCTTAAATGCACCATATTACAGTAATACAGCAGCAAGCTCAGATGTTCAGCAATTTCATAGTTCCCGAAAACTTCGACAAAATAAATTCACCTAAACAAGTTAAGATTATAAAATTTATCCCCAAATTCAATGATTTTAACATCAAACTCCACAACTCTTTGAAAACGAGGAGTTCCAAATCAAAACAGCTGCTAAGATGCATTTTCATCATAATATAATTTAAGGCTGGTTTTATATTTACCTCAATTAGAATGGTGATAATCCAAACAAATTTCCAACTAAGAACATAATTTTGATTATCTCACACTTTCTGAATATGGAAGGGAAGCTTATTGTGCATAGGCCAAAAAGAGTAAATATCATACCCCTCCAGCACCAGCTGCCATAGCAGGAGCAATAAGAACGTTTGCTTTTCTCAAGACTTCAACAGCTTCAGGCGTACAAGGCATGTTTGAACCTAGGATTTACAGAAAATAATTCAATTCATCTACTAATTTACATGCAAATTGAAGACGTACCAGAGCTGCAATTGATCATGCTTGGAACTACTACTACCTTCTACTAGTATACGACAGCCTGAATTAACCAGATTCATGGCATCGGATTGGTTGATTTCATTTTGGGTAGCACAAGGAAATGCAACATCACACCTTTCGTTCCAAGGTTTTGCTTCATCATAGTATTTAGACCGAGCATAAGTCTTGGAGTAATCTCTGCAGATACCACATATGAGAATTGACAACCTAAAATTTTACAAGAGAGCAACTTGATAGTAAGTGAACAATGACCAAGGAAAACAAACCTCAGGCTTCTTTGCTGGGCTTTGATGTCTCGCAGAAATGATATTTTCATGTAATCAAATCCTTCATCATCCACCAAGTATCCCTTCGAATCTGCGCAAATATTTTGCAAGTAAAGGCATGCATTAGAAGAGTTGCTCATGTATTAGTGTTTCACAGTAGAACCTCAACCTCATCATGGCCATCTAACTCCTAATTTTTGTAACTAATGGATCTGAAGGATCAACAGTAAAACATAAAAAAAATAACGTAAAAGTTTTCCGTTGTTGAGTTACAATATTAAAGTCAACAAAACCATGAAAACATGGCAATTGTTGCCATTTACAAAAGGTTGGAAAAGAACACTTTAGAGAGTTGATGTGGTAAATCATAAATGAATCAAAATACATATAAACTCACATTATATTCATTCCTAAAATACGAAAAAAAAAAAAAAAGAAAGAAAGCAACCCTGCTCAAAGACAGTATAAATACAATCATTAGCTCTGCTCCAAACCATGTTGAAACACTTTTATGTGATCTAATGATTGACTAGCAAATACTCCAGCACTTATGTTTGCCTGGTTGTTACTTTTCACCAAATAAGTATCCACAGCTTTAATGACTTTTTCTCAACAAAAAGCTTATTGGCTAAGTCTAGAACTCAATACCCTACACGAATTTACTCCAGGTCAATTAATTTAGAATTCATTGAGATTATACTGTAGTTTTTCACAAACAAAATATAATTGTTAAAATCTTGGTGTTCAAACATAATCATCCAATTAACGGATTGACCCATTCACCATTAGTAACTTTTTCTCCTAAAACAAGGCATATTGAAAAGCTTATTGCATAAGTCAGAATTCAATAACCATGTACAAACTCACTGCAAGTCAATTAATATAAAATTCATTGAGATTACACTCTACTTCATTTACAAACAAAATACAGTTGTCAAAAAGCTTGGCGTTCAAGATACTCATCCCTTTACCAGGATAAATCCATAATGAAAATCATGGTGATTAACAGGTTCTATGCAAGAAGTTCAAATGCCAGATGCTAAAATAAAAATCATGGTGATTAGAAGGCAGATATGCATATATTCTTGTTCATTTTTTTTCAAATATATAAATAAAGAGAGCTGCTATTGCCAGATAATTAGTTGAAGTCAAACTATCATAGCAAAATCATATGTGCTGATTACCAAAACAAGTCCAACCTGATCATCAAAAACGATATTCACCAAGGGCAAAAAAGTACCTGATACAGTGATTGGAAGAGCGCCATAGGCAATAAGCTTCTCCAGAACATGCATTGCAATCTTTCCAGAACCACTTACAACACATCTGGACAGGAAATTAAGACAAATAAATTTAAACTGTGAAATTTGTACAATCAACAAGGACTGAACTTTAGCACTCTTTTTCTGTGCTTAATTAACCACAAATTATCAATAATAAAACATTTAATAAAGTTAGCACGGAATACTCTTATACTGCAATAATAAAAGGTTTAACAATGTCTTAATTCTCAAATAGAAGGTATCAGAGTGTTCAGTGAATAGTGTGCCCAAACAAGCTGTGCCTATATTGAATAAAATAAAGATTTCGAGAATGTGTAGTTGGCTTTAGGGTCTTATGCATTTTAAAAAGATTTCAGAGTGCGGGACCTGAGTCCTTTGAGTTCTTTATTCATGTCTGCAAGCATAAGCTGAGCAAAGAAAACCTGCGTAAACATGGGGAATTCATTAAATAAATTCCAATTGATTTAAAACAAAAGACATACAGGAAGTTGACAGAAAGCAATATGAGTAAAAAAAAAAGGAATAAAAATTTTCATGCGCATGGGAGTCTCTATTAGCATAGAAGCAGTATCTAAGAGTTTAAAAGAAGAGACCATATTACCAGACCATAGCCAGTAGCTTCAGTTCGAAGGCTAGAGCCAGACCAAAATATCCTTGGCCCTGTAAAACTTCCCTGCATAAGTAAGGCATACATATGAAGGCATATAGAAAAGTCCCTTAACTTTTTCCTGAGATGACTATTCACGTAAGCAATCAATTAAAGATACAATAAACACAAAAAAGACAAATATAATATAAATTTTATATGAATGATAACTATGCTTACAACAAAAACTACCAAAAAGATGCAACCCCAGTGCACACAGACACCCCCCAACAGCAACTTAGAACTCATTTGAGGAGAATTTAGACAATTAAAAGATTTTAATGCACATATATACATAAATAGGAAAGAATTCAGTAGCTTGATTATAGGAATAATTGCAGCTTGATTTTAGGAGCAGACCATATATTGTCTAGTTTACTTTATAGCTAACCTAAACTTGTGTATATATATGTGTTGTAAACTCAATTCCTGAAGCAATATAGTGAAATAAAATTTCATTCACTCTGGTTAACACCTTGAGTTCTTAAGAATATAACAGTCATGAATCTTAAGACCACCCCCTTTTACTTTCCATTCCACATCCTTCTCCACATGCAAACACTGAAACACACATGGGAAAAAGCATGCTCATAAAGTCAGACAAGCTGAATCATTCATTTATCTTCATCAAATGGTTATAAACATAAGAGTTAATAGCGAGATCCCAAGAAGAACCTGGAAGTGACCAGCTAGACGTCTATACTGCCCAAAGAGATATCCCATTTCTCGAGTACCAACTCCCATCTCCTCTGAAGGAAGGTCCTAAATGCATATAGAATGAAATCAGGTCCATGCAACAATGAGTTGGTAATTAGAGACCGAACAGGTAAGGGCAACAGAATCTTCTGGACTTACCTTGTCAGGACCTAGATATCTATAGATCTCGTTCACGAAACTTTGGCAAAAACGCATAATCTGCCAATGTAGATTTTGCAAACATATAAGAGAATTTCTGGGAAATGCAAATTATAAGACATCATAAATAGAATTGCTGTCACCTCGTTATCACTTTTTCCTTTCGGGTCAAAATCACTTCCACCTGCCGCCCCTCCCAATTTGTATGGTGATAAAGCATTTTTTAATGTCTGAAATAAAGAGAAAAGCACAACATAACACCACAATTGTCAGAGCTAAGCCTCTGTTGTGCATGAAAGTTTTTGGAAGATGCATCAGATAATCCTTTAATTTTTCTAGAATTGACAACAAAAATTTGTGTGCTTAAAGACATTCAAATAAGTTCTACCCATTTTTTCCAGAACTGCTTTGGTGCTGCCCAGTCCTAATAAAATATAGAGCCTATAAACAAACATTATTAAGATGCGCAAATGATCACAGAAGGAAGAAACGGGAAGAATGCTGGCACAGTTTCAACATCGATTTGAAACACTGAATTCAACAAGATGGTGAACTTAAACCCAGGAGAAAAAAAACAGAGAGAGTACCTGTGCAAAACCAAGGAACTTAGCAATACTTAAGTTCATAGCAGGATGAAAACGAATGCCACCCCTACATGGACCCAGTGCCTGGTTAAAATGCACTCGAAACCCTCGATTGACATGTGTCTCACCCCTGTCATCCACCCAAGGAACACGAAAAATAAGCATCCGCTCAGGTTCTAGCAAGCGCTCCATGATGTTGACATACCTGAAACATAATAGAGCAATTTCATGAGCATAATAAACTGAATTTGAGCTCTTTTCCAATTGATGATTAAGTAAAAGAAGGGGATATTAAATATTAAAAAAAAAAATTATTATGTGGTGAACTCACTGAGTATTTTTCCCAATTACTCTTTCTAAACCATGAACAGCTTCTTGCACTGATTGTATAAATTCAGCCTCATGTGGGTCCCTTTTAAGTGCAGCTTCAACAATTGTTCCAGCCGTTTTCGACATGAGAGCTTCAGTTTAAAAAAAAATTGTTAACGACTTGGCCAAATGGAAAACTCTTCTTTTATTATTTCATCAACCACGTGGTTCAGTATAGGTATGCCAACAAAAAAACCGTCTGAAATTACTTCAACTAAAATATAAATCTCAACTTTTAACCAACAAACGTATAGAATCAGCTTACAACCTTTTACATAAATGGGCTTATCAACAATTATCTTGTCCTTGGAGGCTATCTGAAGACGAAGAGCCTCTTTGTGAAGCAAACTATTATTATGTTCTTCCAATGCACTCATCTGCATATTCCTACTGCCTTCATTTCCATACGGATTCCTTCTATGCTTCCTGCCATATTCTCTGCAAACAGAGCAGAATATCCTTGCAGTTCCATCCTTCACATCCACATATGCCCACTTGTAAGTATCTGCCCACTCCTCTCTCCATCGTTTTACAACCTTCTTCTTCCTTTTCACTGGTTGTGTCTTTGACATATCTTGATCCTCGTTGGGAAGTTGAGATACCATTACCATATTCTTGGCCTCTTCATGCTCCTCAGTAGATGGTTCACGTGGTTGGCCACCGATCAAAGGGGCATTAGCAAAGGAAGGGTCATCATCACCGTGACCAATTTCCAGATCAATCTCCTCCCCAAGCTCCCTGACCACCAAGTGATGCCTCTGTGCCTGCTGAATCAAGTTCATATCATCTATCGTGGAATTCATCCCTGCCCCACTGGTTGGCAGCAACATTCAGCATGACAGTCTTACCACGGTATAGAATTCTCAACTGCATGTTATCACATGGCATACTTCCAATCAACCAATCGCCATCAAATCAAAAGGGAGAGAGTGCTAAACTGAAACAATAATATTGAATCATGCATATTTCAACAATTGAGCCCAAGAAGACAGAAACCTAAACCCAATTGATTCTATTAGCAATATGTGCCTTTCTGTTCTATGTTTGTTGAATGTATATGACAAGATCATGATTTATCCAAGACAAGTAACAAAATCCACATGTTATAGCATCAACTTGTTCCATTGAAATCCTGCTGGGTCCACATGTGTAGTACTTCAACTCCCAATAAACATGGGAGATAGAATGAGGCTATGAAATAAAAAAATAAAAATAAAAAAATAAAAAAAAAACATAGGATAGTATAGCAATTTCTTGCACATAGAAATTAGAAGAAATATATAAAAATATTGATTTCTAGAAATCTCATTTATGCCCCGAAAATAAAGAGTAGAAGAAAGCACCTCATAAGCAAGATAAGTGCTCTTTTTCTCTCTCTCTCTCTCCCTGCTCTTTGGTCTTAAAAAAGTTGATTTTAGGAATGTATTACTGCCCAAACTAGCAGCAGAATTCAGCTTTACTTTCATATTCACCACCAAAAATCATTTTATTTACCCATTTAAGATTAAAGAAAATAACAACGATAGCACCAATTAATCCATTTTCACAGAAAAATTACAACACACTTAAAAACAACCACAATCCATTTCCTTATCCGCTAATCATTAGCCTAAGAAATACACAGTTAAGAAGAGGTCCCAGCCATACAATTAAAAATGAAAATTCCACAATCATCCTCCTTAATTAATCACCCAAAACAATCAGAATACCGAGAAATTCCCTAAATTATTCTAAAAAAAATTTGCACCAAATTCACAAACCCAGAACGTTTAACATAGCCATAAGTTAAAATTAAATATTAAACAATACCCAGAATTTCAACTAAGAGAAAAACAAAAGCAAGTACCTGAAAGATTAACAGACGGAGCCAAAGTTGCAGTCTCAAAAAAATTAATTGTTTTTGTATCGTTTAAAATTAGTGGTTTCTCCTCGACAACCTGGTCCTTCTTCCAAAGAACAGGCGAGTATTGAATGTGCAAAAGAGATTGTTATTACAGTGAGATCGAGCTCATAAGTTAAGGCATATAGTGGGCGCCTCTGATGATCACTGATACTTTCTCCGTTTTTTCTTTGCAAAGAAAAAGAGAGTAGAGCTGTGTTTTAGATAAAATAAAATAAAATAAAGTTCAGTTAGTGGTTTTTAATTAACAGTAATAAAAAAAAAAAAAAAAAAAAAAAAAAAAAAAAAAAGCTGTGTTTTTAGATAGAAATAAATAAAATAAAGTTCAGTTAGTGGTTTTTTAATTAACAAGTAAATAAAAAAAAAAAAAAAAAAAAAAAAAAAAAAACTAACCGCTTTGCCATTTATTAATGTTTTTTTTGAAAAAAAAAAAAAAAAAAAAAAAAAAAAAAAAAAAACTAACCGCATTTTGCATTTATTAATGTTTTTTTGTGTGCTAAATGTATTAGACAATTGCTAAACGGAGAATAAAAGATGGAAGTGAACATTAAACTTATTTTAATCATAGTATTATGATTTTTAAAGAATTTTTAAAAGAGAAAAGATGTGACAAAAAATGTTTAAAAAATATAAATAATTGGTTTTGCTTAATCAATGATATGTACATAATACTACAAAAAATATCACTAATTTCGTGAATGTTATTCAAAAGAGATCGTTGTCCTCTGCCGTGCAGTCCACAAACATTATTTCGGTACATCAGACCTCTATATATAAAAAAAATAGTATGTACCTAATAATTAAATTGAAAATGAATTGCTCTTTGTTAGCATTTTTTTTTTTTTTATGCAATGTTAATTTTGCTAAAAAAATAATTTAGTGATGGTTTGAATTCATTGAAAGTGAAATTCATGCTTGGTTTGTTTGATTGAAAAATAAAATTTATAGATTTGAAATAATTTTCCTATATTACATTATCAATAAAATAAAATATGAAACTTAGGTAATATATTAATTCCATAGATTATAATTTATTTCTCAACCAACAAATTTAAAAAATTTTAAAATATTTAAATTTAATTAATTCAACCCATCTGTTCCTTCGGTTTTTCATATATTTTAATAATGATTTAATAATAAATATTCAAGTAGCTAATTACTTTAAAATTATTAAAAAACTAATAAAGTACCTAATTTTGTTTAAATTTAATGATTTTGTCTTACCTCAAAATTTTTTTTATTGAAAATAATATTTTTAATATAGATCGTCATACATGCATTTATCACTAGACTATATTTTAGTGTATATTTCGAAAATTATTATATTTAGGAATTTAAAAAAATATATATTATATTTAGGCTATTTTAAGAATCCAATATCTGTCTTTTTAAGGCAACTGAACATAAATCTTCTATCTAATGGATTAAAATTAAAATTAAAATCTTAAAAAGTATCTTTTAAGGCAGCAATGTTTTTAAGGTGGAATATCAACATTCTTATTCGTTCAATTTTGAGCAAATCCAACTATGTTTGACCAAATATATTACTCGTCCGACCTAAAAAATATATTTGCTTTCATTTATTTATTTATTTTTAACATAAACCATTTTCCTTTTTTAAAATAACATTAATGAATTAATTTCTCAATTCTCAAATATATCCTTATTTAATATGCCATATTATCAATAATTTTTTATTTCAATGAATAAGGCATATTAAATAAGGATATTAATACAATATATAACAATATATTAATATTAATTAATTTTATTTAATCTGTATAAAAAAGAAACAAGTCTATCATTTTAAAGCGAAAGCAATAAATTAAATACTCAGTAAAAATTTTTATCCATTAGAAAATTGAACTGAAAGTATCCTTATTAGCAATAATAAGTAATTCATTATATATGGAAAACAATAAGTAATCATTATATATGGAAAATAACAAGTAATTCATTATATATGGAAATATTAGGTAATGAGCAATTCATTATATATGGAACATTAGGTATAACTGTTTCATTATATTTGGAATATTAGAGAGGTATTCAATTATGAAAAACTATTTTCTATTTTCCATTTTTCATAGAAATAGACAGTTTGAAAATAAAAGAGAATTAGAAAAAAAATGGAAATTATATTTCCACTTTTTTTTTTTTATAAGAAATTTGAAAAAAAAAAAAAAAGGAAAAGAATGCGGAAATGGGAGCAAATAAAACATATATTTTAGAAATGGGAATTCTCATTATAAAATCGGAAAATTGAAAAATTACATTTTCTTTAAAAAATAATAGGAAAAAACCAAATTTAATCGCATTTAAAAAAAAAAATTATTTACAGTGAAATTTGTTTATGAAAAATGAAACTCTCCCAGGGCATACAAATTTGCAAAAGATAGAAGAACAAAACAGGAAAGAAGTTGAATGAGTAGTGATTACAACTTTTCTTTCCTATAAACAATTGATTTAATTCAGCGAAAGTATTGGTCAAAAAATGCATTTCGCATGTAAAAGGAAATCTTATATACAGCATTTTATCTTTCACAAAACTATATATTACAATAGAAGAATTCACTCATGTTGTATCACCCTATTGTATACACTGCACCACAGATTAGATTTAAAGAAAGATGCAATATTCAATCTTTTGTACAGGAGAGTGCAAATTCTTTAATCTGTTGCTTAAGGTTCTGCAATAAGAGAAATGCAAAATTAGCCAAACAAAACGGACTTAAATAATTGTTTTTTTTTTTTAAAAAAAAAAGGAAAAGACAAGGAGGGAGAGAAGTAAATGTCCAAGTTCAATGAGATCACCTTTAGTTCTTCATGAAGTATAATGAATATCCCTTTCAGCCGTTTGTGTTTCTGCAAGTCATTGTCACAATCAGCAGAAAATTCAATAAACAACACTATATATATGCAAAATGCAGGCCATATTAGCAAGCACACTGAAACACAGATTTTCCAATCCCCCAATCGCTTAGGTCTCAAATTTTCTCGGCTTAGCCTAGTAAGAGAATTACTCGTGTGTAAATATTGTCGAACCCATTCACTTTATGTTGCTAGATGATTGGATGATGAATGTATCTCAAATTGCCTCGACCCTTGAACTTCGAGAAAATCTGGTGTAAAGTGATTTCAGGTTCCTAACAATCTAACCAAGCAGGATAATCAAAATGGAAGCACTATTAAGTATACTTTCTGCCTAATTCAGTTTCTTACCCAACACATTTATCGAACCATTATTTCTCATTTCTCATGTCTCAGACCTATGATCTGAATTATTAGGACAAAGATGTAATACAAGAACAGAAAATCTGAAACAAAGCACTCGTGAATAACACCAACATAATGTGCAGATTATTCAAGGCTCCATTTGTTTCACTTGTTAGAGTTACTTCGTTCCATTTGTTGTTCAAAAATAACAACACTACTGAAGTCTGGTAGGATAATAAACATCAAAAAACTTTCCATGAAATAAAAAAATTGTTTTTGTTAATTGCCTGTTACTTTTCTCATGTGGAGACATTCATATAGTTACCAAGTATTTTCTTATTGTTATAAAATTTTTTTAATGAAAGCATTAAAAAAAATTGCCTGATTGAAACACTCAGCGAGTACAAGTTGTTTCTACATGATTTACCAACTTCAAGACAGGTGAAAGGTTAATAATAATAACAACAAAGTCAAATGAGTCGGACATGGAAGAGTTCAGATCTGTCTACAAAGTTGCATGTGAAGAAAATGTGCCCGCTGAAATTCACTACAAGCTCCAAGCTCCAATAAGATATGACTTCAACAGCATACCACAACATATTTACCCCATACCTATTGTAACACTGGGAAGTGGGAAATGATGTTGAAAGCTACATCCTACATTTTCAGCCTATAAACCCCCAGAATTATTCCAAATAGAACATTCATTTCTAGCTTCAGTTTATATCTTTTTCCATCTATAAAGAATGTGACCCGCACAGGCATCCTTTGAAATCCTAAATTTATGTTGATCTGTGAATTAAATTTTGTATAACCAGAGCTAAATCTGGGCAATAGATTTTTTTCATAACACGTATTGGTTCAATTATTTATAAAGATGATACGAAGTACCAAAATAATCATACATACCGCTCCACACTGATGATATGATTCCTTCAACTGCACCAAGATCTTTTGATATCTGTCCATATCCCTGCCTTTTGCAAATTCAAGGTCCTTTCCCAATTTAAGGAAATCACTCCTACATATAACAGAGATTAGATTAAAAAATTAGGCAGCAATCCAAATAACATCAGATAATTTGAATACAACCCATATAAAATTTTACCAACATCTTGAACATGAATGAAAGATATCGTTATATTACCTGTAGTTCTCCAGGACCTTATTTAAGGAGCAGTAACTATCATACTTGTCACGGTATTCCTGCACATATTCCTTGTACCTATAGCAAAACGTAAAACATGAGATTTCAAATTCTTCTCATAGATATACATGAATGAAAGATTATCGTTATATTCCTTGTAGTTCTCCAGGACCTTCATTTTAAAGGAGCAGTTAACTGATCATACTTGTCACGGTATTCCTGCAACATATCTTGTACCTATAGCAAAACGTAAAACATGAGATTTTCAAATCCTTCTCAATCAGATTATATATATATATATATATATATATATATATATAATATTTATTGAATTGATTGGTACAAAAGAAAAGTAGCAACTTTTAAAACGCATATATTGATTGATTGTTACAAAAGAAAGTAGCAACTTTAAACCAAAGGAAAAGGGGGGAGGACGGTGTGATGGGACTACTCACTGAGAAATATCCTTAATTGGTCCCTTCAGCTCTGGAACATCTTTTTCATATTTAGAGTAAGAAGAGCCATCTTCCTCAGAAGAAGATTCCCTCCTCTTTAGAGCATTATTATTGACCTCAGTAAAAATTGCATCTTTTTGCCCATCTACCAAGTCAACCATAGTATTAGCTACTTGTGTTTTACTTTCCTTTAATGAGTAGGGCCCGCGTTTAGAGTCATGCAGCTGCTGTGAATTTGCAAGAGCTCTTCTATTGCTTTCTCCATAGCTTTCCATGCTGTTTCCTAGTTTTGCCCCAGGTTCATTCTGTCTTAATCTACTATTTGTTTCTGCCAACTTGCTGAAGTGAGATCCAACTTCAGAGTTCTCTACCCTAGAAAGGTGTGGTGGATGAGACTTCACAATATTATGGTGAGATCTGGCTAAATCTTCAATATTATGATCAGGAGTCCTCTTAATCCCAGCACCTAAAATTGAGGGAGAAGGCTTTCCTGAGTCCAGTGATGTCTTTTCAACAGGTTTTGCCTTGCTTAAATCTGAATTACAGTTATCTGAAGTGCTTGGCTTGTTCTCTGACTGTTTAAAAGATCCCTTCCTTTCAAATTGTTTCTTAATTGGTGTTTCTTCAAGCAATGGCTCACGAAATTCTCCCAACTCCAATTCTGAAAGCTCTCTTTGGAGGCTTCTTCCACTGACAGTATGGTATTTTTCTATATCAACTCTGTTGTTATCCTTCAGTGAGGGACCTGTGTGAGAGTTTGTAACTTGTCCAGCATCTTTGAATTTCCCAAATGTTTCACTCTGTTTCCTGTAATGGGAATCAAAGGGAGCTGAATGTCTGCCTCCAGCTCCACCTCCCTTAGGTTTTTTTGGTACCTTTTTTTCCTTTGCAAAACTATCCTCGTTTTGAGTGTCTCTAGAAGCTTTTTCTCTTTGAATAGGAAACCCGTCATGCACATAAGAATTCTTTTCAGAGAATTTACGACCATGTCCTAAGCTCTCAGTCTGTTTAGCTCTTCCTGTTTCAGAAGCTTTTGACAGTGCAATTTTATCAGAAGTCCCTCGGCCAGGTTGCTGAAAATCAGAAATAGGTTTTCCGAGAAATGCCTGATTACATGCCTTTTGTGAGCCAAAATCAGCATTTCCTTCCCTATCAGCTCTACTCATTGTTTGCATAGCAGGGCTCCTATAAGTGTCTTCAATATCTCTATTGGGAGGACTCTCAGATAAGTGGGAATCCCTACTCTCAGAAATGGGAACTTGGGCCAAGCTTTCAACTCTCAATCTTTTGGCCAGTTCAGATTTATCATCGAAATGCTTCATTTCAGGGGCCCTTTTGGAATTAGTTTTGGGTATCCTCTCAGAACTGTCAGATTGTTCATGTCTGAAGCTGTCCCTAACCATATTTTCATTATCTTCAAACAATGTTCCTATGAAAGTTTGGCGCTCTTGGATGGCATCATTGTCAAAGAAAATGGATTTTTGTCCTTCCACAGGTTTTTCATCTTCTTTGATAGGAACTGAACTATCATTTGCAGCCAATTCAAGTTCCTTGTCCTCATCAGCCAAATCTTTCTCAATATCAACCGCATCAGATTCATGAACCTCAATATCAATTGCAGCAGATCCAGTACCATCAATATCGACCGCATCGGATCCATCTCCATCTTGATTCTCATCCGTCCTATTTGGACCTGATCTCCATGGTTCTGGTGATGCCGAGAGGCCTGGTTCAGGGGCCTGTAATTCTTTGTCATCATCACTTAAAATATCCACATCCTCATCAGAGCCTTGTTTACTGTTGGAAGAAGCATCGCTTTCACTGTCACTGCTACTCCCACTCCCACTTCCCACTGGACTTCTGCTTCTGCTTCTACTGCGACTTCCACTGTCACTCCCACTGTCACTGCTGTCACTTTCACTATCACTGTCACTCCCACTATCACTAGAGCTACCTGCCTGTCCCTCACTATTGTCAGAGACTTTCTTCTCACCAAACAAATCAGGAGAATGCTGTTGGATTTCAACTTTTTCTAATGCATTTGATTCTTCTTCAAATTTAGAGTTTGATTGGCCATGTTCCTCAAATCCAACAGCATGGCTTTTCTCTGCAAATCTTGATCCTGGAGCAGGTTTGTGATCACGGTTATCCTCACGAACAAGCGTATGCTGGAGATTTTCTTCAGGAGAACTGGAAATACAAAAACACAAAAAACAACCATGTGCTGGCTATAGAACATAAAGAGATAGGCTTAAAATTTGAGAAAAATATTCCCACTGAAATGAACGATTGAGTAGCATTTACTGATCAACATGTGCAAATATAAGTAACATTAATCAAAAGCAAAAGAAAGGATCTCCCATGCAGTTGCAATAGACAACATCAAATATGAAATGCATTTGACAAATTTCAAAGAATGCTATGTCAAACTCTGGTAACTTGGGGCAAGAAATCTTTTGGCTTAAAATGAATTGTGAAAGCTAAAACCTACTTGGAACTATAAAATGGAAAAGTCAGCATGCTTTGATTCAGAAATTAGGCATTAAATGGATGTTTGCTTTAGCTAGATCAATTTCTAAGCCAAGCAAGAGTGATCTATGTTTTCAGAAGTGTAAACTGCTAAAAGTACTAATTCCATTTCAATGCTTCTCGATGAATAGTTATTTCTTCATATCCAGAATCAATTGAAAGGGAAAAAAAAGAGAAGACCGTTGTAACAACTTTATTAAAGATGCAACAGTATCAGAGCCCAGCTGTATCACATAAAAATGGTAGCTACCTTCCGCTTTCAGATGAAGGTTTCTTGAAGCTTTCCAACTCCACTCCTGGTTTCAACAAATATCTTCCGGGAGCTTGGAAAATTGCAATCTGTTGCTCAAGATTTAATGAAAAGAAATAAGTTCATATACTATTCTAAAACTAATAAAATCTACTAGTTCAGCCACTTACTTTTTTAATAATGGGCTCAATCTTCTTAAAAGAGTTGGGAATTTTATCCCCAATAGCTTTCTCCAAGGCCTGATGCAAGAGATTGAATATCAAAGTAACCCATAGAAACCAGTTTTTGTTAGTGAAAAAAATAAAACACAATGGAAGAAATTGAAGAAGCAGCAAAACAAATATCCAGTTAAAAATATTTCAATTCTAAAATTTGTTTGTTATTTCTGCCACTCTTACCTTCAAGCTCATCCCTTTAGGATTCTCACTCAGCAAAGTAATCAACATACTCTGTAAATCGGTTGGTTTAGTGCCAAAGTTCCCTTTGGGCCCTGGTGTCTCCCGTACAGCACTAGGTGCCCTAGTCTGTAATTCTTTCTCTGTGTTACTGGCGTTCTCTTTACTTTTTATCTGCATTGGTGCCACATCGTCTGTGCTCACATTATTCTTAGTAACATTTCCTGTTCCAAATGGAGATGCTGGAGTGCCAGATTGTTCAGGAGTAGATGGCAGAGGTGAAGATGAGCGTCTACCCTTTGCACTAGCAGTTGAAGGAACTCCAGGTTTTAGATTAGATTTGGGGACTGCATTAGCAGATAGGTTAAGCCAATTCTAATGAAAAAACAAAGCAAGAAGGAAAAGAATGGGAACAATAAGAAAACCAAATTTTCATCATCTCACAACCAACCAAGATCTCTGAACATCTCCACATAGACTATCTGCAAATAAGGTAAATTTTTCAATTAAAATGAATTCCATAATTTACCTATTGTTGGTTCCACTTTCCGCTTCTTAAATGGAGATTCTTTCTTTTGCTTAAACATCCTCCATGGATTAGCTGGAAACAACAGTGCTACATTAGATATTTGAAGCTTGAACATTTAAAATATAAAGCACAAAGTTCTCAACCAACCATCAGCAAAATATTTTCATTAGAAAAAGGCAGCTCAGGTCAAATCAAATTAATCATTAAATATTTAACTATCAACAAGCACTAATGTTTACTAAAATAGCTTCCCTCTGGAGAAACATAAAACAAAATACATGTGCATGTATGTTTGTGAGACACAGGAAATCTAAAGATGCAAAAAGATAAAACTTACACTCAGCAGCCGCTAATTGCTTTATTTGACTCTTCATGGATGGGTTCCCATGATCTAACACAATAGCTCTGTGATCAGGAAAAAAGGAAGATAAAAATCATAGAACTTGGGGAAAAAACATCATAGAGCTTGAATTTGCCAGCTTCAAAATCAAAGCTACCACTCAAGCCATTCAAATTCAAAAAAAGGCATCAGCCTAAGTTTGGAAGGCAATCAAAGATCAATATGGAGAACCTACAGGGATAGAGAAGAACTTTGAAAGGGAACACTCATAGGAAATGAATCAAAGGATTTTTCCATTTGAAACTCAAACTTCAAGATAAGATGATAATCAACAGTTTAACCACAATGAAGCATAACTACTGCAAGAAAATTATAATGGCTAAATTGCTGCACACAAATTTAAAAAATGCACTTATATCTAAAAGTGACATTGTAGACTGTCAGACTGTGGAGTGTATAAAATTAGCAAGGGATATAGCTGCAAGAACTCACCAAAAGATCTTGCTTAAGCTACGTGGTATGGCAAGAGAAGGGATTTAACAGCTACTAGTTCAAAAAAAAAAAAAAAAAAAAAAAAAAAAAAAAAAAACAAAAAAAAAAAAAAAAAAAAAAAAAAAAAAAAAAAAAAAAAAAAAAAAAAAAAAAAAAAAAAAAACAGAGACAGGATTCAGAAGATCAATAATACAAGCATATCAGTGGGAGTCAGTCTGAATGGATATATTGCAACCATTTGCATAATAAATTAGATCAACCAATTCGCAATGATAAGTCCATGCAATTTGCATAGATCCATTAACAGGCATGGAAAGACTCAGCATAAATAAATCTGAGGGAGGAAAAAAGAAGTAAACATTTCCAGGTGCATGGATAAACAAAATGATCTTAAGAATTAAAATAGACAGGAATACAAAAAAGACTTGACCACATCACATACTTGCGTGATTTATGTTTGCGTTCTGCTTCTTCTGATCTCATCTTAAAATGGTTCTTAGTTGATTCGTCCAACATACGTTGCACATTGACCTTACGCCAGGCACACCCAGATTCAACGAGCAAACCATTTCCATCTTCACCACTTTGACGTTCTTCATAAATGTCACAAAGGTCACCAAATTCCCTTGACCAAGTAAATTTGAATTCCTTACCACCCACATCAATAACCTGATGCAATAAGAAAAATATAAAGATACAGTTGCTTGACAAATTGTAAGCCAGAGCCAAATGAACAACTTATGCTAGGATCCTGCTACATGAGTTAAATAACTGCACAAAAGCTCCAATAAGCAGTCAGTGCTCAATTGAAAATCAAACCAATAAGCAACCAAATAGATACAAACCAAAGCAATGCTCAATCAAAACAAACATGGAAAAATTACATCGCAAAATTATAGAATTAGACTTCAGACAAATACATAATCAAGTTGCTTAGCCAACATTAAAGTAGCAAGCTTAACCCAGTTTTTCCACTAAGACAATCCACAGAATTGACCAAATGCTTCCTAAATCACTACCAGTTAAAGAGAACAAGCACTGCCTTCTTGGTGACAAACTGATTGGTAACAAACTGATAATTACACAAACTAAGAAACAAATTATAACTCATTGACAATTCTTTCATGATTACCATTTAGAATTGAGAAACAAATCCCAAATTAAAAATGAGATTTTCGAAACAACCAGCAATTGCCAATTTGCTCGATTGGAAGCAAACCAGATTTTTGGACAAACTAAACACAGAAACAACTAAATGATAAACAAATTGAAACGCAAATATAAACATATAAAGATTGAACTCACGTTTCCATTGGTATTACCCGTAGAATCAAACTTAATCCTGGCAGTGCCACCCTGCGATTCAACCCTCCTGATCTCATCCACCAAGTCCGGCGCCAATCTTATAATCATTGCAAAGGCAAGCGGGTTATTTCCGGGAAGAAGAGAGAATGTCTCTTCGACGGCTGCAGTTGCTGCGGCCATGGCAGCGGGGGGACCGGAGCGATTGCGAGGATTTGAACTGCCACCGAGAGAGAGGCGAGAGTTAGAGGCCGCAGAAGACCGGTGAGGTGGCGGCGGAGGGAATGAAGAGAGGCGCTTGGTGCCTCCGGCACCGCCCCCTCGACCGACGCCCCGGCCGCCCAGCTTGGAGGAGCCTCCATACATTGTTCGGGCTGTTAATTAACTAGTATTAGTTTGTTAGTAAATATTGCTGTATCTGCGTATATTCGGTAACTCGAGAGAGATAACGTGGGCTGGTTTTGCCTACGGAGATGAAGGAAAAGATTCACTTGGGAGAAGGGAAAGGGGAAGAAATTTGGATTATTTGGAGGGTAAGTTGCCAAACAATGTCTTCCTTGAAATTAGTTTATTTGCTAAATATAATTTCTCTAAATAATTTTCTTTTTTTTTTAAGATAGAGGAAAAAATATTTTAGAGAACAAAAATAGTGAAAATATTATAATTTTTATGTTTTTCTTATCTACAATCCTACAAGAATATAATATAAACATACCAAAAAAAAAAATTATCATTGATAAATTATCTTAATAATAATTGAAATGATATTTAGAAGCGTCCTCTTAGTTTATTATAACTACACTCCACATATATACAAACCCCACCCAATGTTTGAGTTTGAATGTTGCAGGATTCACGTGGAAAGTAATTTCTATCTTGAAAACTTAAACTCTGAAACTTTTAATTAAGAAAAATGAGGTCCGAGCAAATTAATTTTTAATGATTAAATTTTTGATAATGCCATCAAAATAATTATATTCTAATATGATAAATTAATAAATTATGATAAACAGCTGCATAACATATTCCTTCATCTCATAATTTTACCTTTCATAATATATAAATTAATATGATAAATTGTATTTTTTACTTGGTTTTTCTTTAATATATCCTTTTTTTTTTTCTTAGAAAACCTTTATATTAATTATTAAATGATCCATATTATTTTTTTGTAAATTTATATGTCTAAGTTGTGTTTTGAACTTGAGGGCGTTACGAAATTTGTCCAAATATCTTTTTTTTTTTTTTTTTTTTTTTTTTTTTTTTTTGTAAACTTATCACCTCAAATTTATACTAAAAACAAAAATACCCGATTTTTGACAAAAAATAATAAATATTTGATTTAAGTCAAATATAGTTAAAAATAATAAAAAATAATACTTTTTAAATCACATTGCCAATATAATCAAATATTTTTCTTTTTTTTTATTTTTTTAAATCAAATATTTTATTAAGAAATACCACAATTTTATAACTTTTATATAACTGCTAATCGTAAAACTGTGCTTCAGGCGCAGGTATGAATATATTATTTAAATAATATTATTAAATAAATATGTATTTTCCTTTTATTAAAAAAATAATTTTTGAATAAATTATACATGATGCTTAATGGAGAGTGAATTGAACCATATGGACAATCAATGTTATGGAATTGGGTAATATTAGAGGCAACAATAATGATTTGGTTGATAGAAATGCACATTGAAAATGGATACAGTAAGAAACTTAGTGAAATTATTTTATTATAATAAAAAAAAATTCGATCATAATACCCAAAAAAAAAAAAAAAAACAAATGGATATTCTTACTAGTAGTTTGTAATTAGTTAAATGGAATATTTCCATTAAAATTTCCATTAATATACATTACTTTTTTAAATTATTATACTTCCAAACACTTCTATTTAATTTTATAAGCGTTGGATATATATATATATATATATATATTTAAAAGAAGGGAATACATAATTCTGCAAAGCAAAATTATATATATATATATATATATTTAAAAGAAGGGAATACATAATTCTGCAAGCAAAGATGTGCATTTTTTTTTTTTTTATCAGCAAAGAAAAATAATTAATTAATTAATCAACAAAAACTCAATAAATTATAATACTATATCTAAGTCAATAGACTTCTCCTAACATGGATGTGCATATTAATTTATATTTTATGCTTATTTTGTGTCAAATAACTTTATAAAATTTTAAAATATAATATTATAATATAAGTTTAATATTGAGATCTCTTCGATTTTGATTGTTTTATACTATAATAAAAAAAGTAGTATTGTTTTTTTTTTCCTCAATAAGGATCAAATTTTTCATGGAAATTGTACTTTTACTTCAATTAAAAAATATTAAATTATATTTTAATATTTAAATTTATTAAATATATTTTAATAAATATTCTTAATAATATTTAAAATTAAAATTACAACTTTGGCATTTTAAATCTATAAATTCATAATATTGTTTTTGTCAAAAAAGGGAAAAATAAAAGATCATAAGGATCATTATGTAAAAAGTCAATGCAAAAGAAGAGAGGGAAATCTAAAAAATTGACTAATTTATTTTTTGTAAATTAACAAAACAACCCCAAATTAAAAATTCAACTTGATTTTCAATTATTATGACCAAACAAGGACTCGAATTTGCAGCGGACAGTTTCAGATTAAAACCCGAATCCGGAACAAACCCAAACAGCTCTCTTCTCGCCTATAAAAGCCAAAATCGAATTTCTATAAGAACTCTCAAAGCTTATTTCCCTTTCGTCAAGCAAACCGAAAGCACGGGCACAATCTCGAAACCCATACCCTTTCTCTGTCGATCCCTTCAAAACCCATCAACCATGTTAACAGGTATTGCTTCGAGGCACCTTTATTTTATTTGGGCGTTCTAGATTTTACTCGTTCTCTCTAATCATTAAATGATTAATTAATGTAGCAGCTATAGCTTTATTTATTTATTATCTTTGGTATATTATTGAATTTCATAAATTGGGTTATCCGTATTCTTTGAGTTTGATCGAGAATTTGTATATATGTGTACATATATTAGTAAAGTGTTTTAATCCTCGTGGTTATGCTTGATAAATCTCGGTGATTTTTTATTAGGGATATATCACAGTTATATGCACTGGTATTGGTAAAAGCAGATACAAAAAATTACTTAATGTGGAGAGTATAGTTAAGTAATTAGGTAAGTTATGCATGAATCTCACAACTACGCACAAGAAATAAGCTGGGTGTTTTTGAATTTGGAAATGTGTTTTATGATAACATTAACATATCCCGTCTGGTTGTTTTTTGTTGATGAAGTGTCCTTCTGGTTCTGCGTCTTGAATCTCATTATGTTAAGAACACGACAATTGCTTTCTTTATGTGAAATGAAGCTTAGCATTTACGGTAGTTATTGCAGCAATGCATACTTCATTTTCCTGTTTTCGTATTTTAAGGATATCCAAAATGGTTAACCTTCTAGTCTGAATGTTTTACTTGTGATGAACTGGTTATGCTACGTATGAGTAATTAGACTTTTTTAGGTGTCTTTACTGGAGGCTAATCAAGATGCATTGACCATCTGTATGAAGTATGTTGCACCACTGGCATTGTATATGTAAACTTTTATTTATGGTGCAAAGTTTGATATTTGACAATAACAACTCAAATCACAGTCACTGTGAAATGGCAAAAGGAGGTGTTTCAAAAAGTGGAGATTGACACGAGCCAGCCTGCCTATGTTTTCAAGTGTCAATTGTATGATTTGACTGGAGTACCTCCTGAGAGGCAAAAAATCATGGTTAAAGGTGGCTTGTTAAAGGTAATTAACTAGTTTTGTTTTTATCTACTTGTGTAGCATTGAATATTCATCATTTTATCTACCCTTTTCATAATGATTCATGACATTTCAATAGCCACTTTGTATATTTTCTATTAAGAGTGGATAATATGTGTTATGTGAGTATTCCACTTCTTAACTTTATTATTTGACAATGCAGGATGATGCTGACTGGGCAACACTTGGCGTGAAGGAGGTGAATTATCTTTACGATGATTTTAAAACTATTTCACATTTATCCTCATGGAATTTGATGTTGAACAATGGTGTGCAATTTTTTAAACACTAGGGTCAAAGATTGATGATGATGGGAACTGCAGACGAGGTTGTTAAGGCCCCGGAGAAAGGCACTGTTTTCATGGAAGATCTTCCAGAAGAAGAACAAGTGGTTGCCGTGGTAAGTTCTTCATTTCTTTTTCCCTTTAAGTCTATGATTTTATTTTTCTTTCCATTTCTAATACACAATGTTGGAGGATCTCAAGCTGCGCCTTAACCCTGCCATAGCTTGGTGAGATATTACTAGAAGAGTCATGTTTTATCTTCATGCCCATGTTGATGCTTATTTCTATGGCTTATGCCATCGTGTCTCGCATGTGCCAAGTTAATGCTTAAATGGTGTTAATTGCAATGCTGTTAGTAAAAAAGATGAATGATTGGAGAATTTGTCAAAGGAACTTTGCTTGAAGCAAAGGAAGAGAAGAGAGCGGGGGTTGGGGAGATACAGGAAAGAGTGAAAATGGAAGAGGAGATAAAGATGAAAGGAACAAAATCTCATAGGTTTACCTAGGTTAGCCTTACTTTGGATCAATCGAGCTCAATTCTAAATAATTTGTGGCAGGCTACATGGATACTTTTTCATACTTCAGCATTTTTTGGATCTGATGTTTTTATTGGTCCCGACTCCTTTAGGATAAGTTTTGGACAGTTTTACACTGGTTATCAAAACGGCACAACCCTTTTCGTTTGTAGGCTGAGCTTCTGCCAGGTGCTGTGGTTTTAGAATTCTTCATTCATGTGTACTTTGTCACCTTAAATTTTTGAATTTTTATAATTCAAATTGGTGTCTGTTAGTGAAATTTAAATTTATTTCTAAGTTATCTTATTTGGTCTTTCCTTATTAATTTTCTTGTTTAGCTTGATGTACTTGTGCAAGTATTATGATAATGTTGTTTCTGCACCCAGGGTCATACTGCTGGCCTGTTTAATCTGGGAAACACCTGTTACATGAACTCCACAATTCAATGTCTGCATTCCGTTCCAGAATTGAAGTCTGCTTTAGTTAAGTAAGTTCTATTATTTTATGAATGGAAGTGTTTCTTGGATAACAGGCTCCAAGTGGCCAGTTGGAACATGTGCGTTCAATATAGTTGACAGATTTTGCTAAATGTGAATTTCGGTTAGGTATCCATCTGAAAGGAGAAATGATCTGGATCATACATCTCATATGTTGACGGCTGCAACTCGAGAATTGTTTAATGAGCTTGATAAAAGTTTCAAGCCTGTGGCACCTATGCAGTTTTGGATGGTTTGTTCTCGTTTTATTTCTTATAATTTGTTGCCCTAGGTTTAATGAACCATTTTCCATAATTTGCCAAATATCCTTACTTGAAATTTTATGATATCATCAGTAGGTAATTGCTAGTTGCTGTCATGCACTTTGCTTGCCGAGATACAAAGAAAAAGAGATGACACATTTATTCTTTTCTTTACATTTATTCTTTTCTTTCTGTTTGCAGGTGTTGCGGAAAAAATATCCACAATTCGGCCAGTTGCATAATGGTGTCTTCATGCAGCAGGTTTTTCAAATATCTAAATATATTCTGCTTATAAGAGTCTAATCTATTCGATTCTGTTGTAATATTGATCTGTATGCTTAAACATATGACAGGATGCTGAAGAATGTTGGACGCAACTTTTGTACACTCTTTCACAATCTCTAAGATCACCAGGTCCCAGGTAGTTTTGGTTTTTATTTTATCATATGGATATGCAACAGTGAGACATGTCTGCAAATGAGTTTGCTTTATGTAATTATCAAATTCAGTCTCTTATTATTTGCTCTCCCAATTCCAACTTGAAGTCTAGCTAAGTTAGGTTCAGGAATTTGGATAGTTTTGTTTAAGGCAATACATTATGAAGTTCTGGATTTAGATCTTTGCTGTAGTTGTCTAGCTATTTTTATTGTCATTTATAATTGACTTTATAATTTTCTTCCCTTTAACGTAACCGCAGTGAAAATCCAGAAAATCCAGATACGGTGAAGGCACTTTTTGGAATCGAACTTGTAAGCCGGTAGGTATCTTCAATTTATTATGTGTTTTTATTTTGTCACTAGGTACATGTCAAACAGAAGCATTAGTTTGAACATTGCTGTGGTTGATTGGCAGTCTGTCAATTGTTGATACTTTTGATCGTGTTGGGTTTTCATGTGACAGAACTTTAAATATTTTAATTTTGCTAGGATCCATTGCCAAGAAAGCGGCGAAGAGAGTTCAGAGACTGAATCAGTTTATTCACTTAAATGCCACATATCACAGGAGGTGAACCATTTGCATGAAGGATTAAAACACGTAAGTGCAAAAACTGTTCATTCCTTTACTCACATGATAGGTATAGTCAGCCATTGTCTTGTTGGAACCACTTCATCACTTCAAGCTCAATAAAAGTATAAAAGAAAAAACAAAACCAGACTTTTATAGCTTTCCCCTGCCGTCACATATCTACACCATCCAAACTAACTCCGTGAATTTTGAAATACCAAATGAAAAACAGTCATATATTCCAGGCCCCGGGAATATGGTTCAATTGGCCTTTTTCATAATTGGGGGGTATTTATGTAATTTCATTGTAGTATGCTTTGAACCTGGTGTCTTTAAATAGGGTTTTAATGCTATTTTTGGTTATAGTGAAAACAGGCAGTAGGCAAAATTACCATACCATGTAAAAATATTGTGTTTGCTTTTTCTTCTGTCTTTTTTAATTTGTGTGCATGTCTATTGTGTGATTTCCACTAATAGCACTAATGTGGAAATATTGGACTGCTGAATGTAAAGATTTTCATATTTAAACAAAAATAAAGGATAATGGTTCCTTGATGACTTGGTGTTGTCTAGATTTTGTCAATTGTTCATAGTTAATGATGCCTTTTTAGTCTTCTGGAAGAGCATTTGGTATGTCTAGAATCTTATGGACTTTTGGTTGGTTTAAAATGAGTAAGGTTTTGCAGTAAAAAAATATGCCAATGTTCTTTGGATTGCATTCTTTTTTCCACCATTATGGAGTTTTTGGATTCAGAAGAGAGCACAAATTTCATAATTCAGGGTTTTTCCTTTAGGCTATGTTTGGTTGGATGCAATGCAATATAATCAAAGATGTAATGCAATGAAAAATGTAATGGAATGTAATGTAATTAAGATTCCATTACTATGTTTGGTAATGTAATTGTGGATTCAGAAGAGAGCAAAAATTTCATAATTCAGGGTTTTTCCTTTAGGCTATGTTTGGTGATGCAAATGCCAATATAATTCAAAGATGTAATGCAATGAAAAATGTATTGGAATGTTAAATGTAAATTAAGATTCCAATTAACCATGTTTGGTATTGTAATTGAGAGTAATGTAATTGAGAAAATTTATGGAATGTTATCACCATTCCATTTTTATGTTTATTTGTAAATATATAATGTAATGTAATTAAAACACTACCACCACCAAAAATACCGCCGCCACTTCTTCACCACCACTCCACCACCACAACCACCACTCCACCACCACTATCACCTCAAATAATTTTTTCATATTTGACAAATGAAAATAATAAATAACAACCGTATCAAAGATGTATATATATATATATATTCCATAAACTTGAAATCATTTAGTTCGTACTTTATTTTATTTATATGAAAACAATAAATTATAGAATTTGATTTGACATAATAAGTTATCATTTATTTATGGAATCATATATTCAGTATAAGTAAATTTTTTATATGAAACTAATGTCAGCAAGATGTAAATTACTACAAGTTTGATAAATAACTGAGTTCCAAATTGCTCACTTCTAAGCATAACCTGTTTATTTTTTAAAACAATAGAAATTTATTTCAATTTTCATGCGGATTTAGAAACAATAATCAATATTATTTGAATAATAAATTTTATACCCTTGTATAAATGAATAATAAATTTTATACCCTTGTATAAATCTTTTTATTAATTAGCTCAATGCCAATATTCAATTAAAAAATTCATTATTTTAATTTTCAACTTATTATTGGTTCGTTAAACAATATTCAATATTCAATTTAAGTAATGAATATTACATGTGTAATCTCAATTACATTACATTGTCCAAAAAAAGTTTAACTAAACAATGTAATCAATCATGTAATGTAATGTAACCAAACATGACCTTAGTTTATTATGGATTACCTTTCTTGACTTTTTTTTTTGCCCTTGTGTATGTTTTTAATTTTTAATCTCATTTAAATTATTTTGCTGTTTGTTGGGTATGATATAGGATACGTTATCCTCTAGGATGTAATGATTTCTTTTCTTATCAAAAAAAAAAAAAAAAAAAAAAATAATTGATGATTAATTTAAATTGCTTTTGAACTTTGTCCAATTGCCATATTCTTTTTGTGAACTTAATGTTCAGAGGATCTCCTACAAATTCTACTTATTATAAAAAAAAAAAAAAAAAAAAAAAAATAATGATGATTATTTAAATGCTTTTGACTTGTCCAATTGCATATTCTTTTTGTGAACTTAATGTTTCAGAGGATCTCCTACAAATTCTACTATTATGGGTGGTTTCTCTACCTATGGCTTCCTTGTCTCTTCTGCCTGCATCACACTATTAATCTTTTAGTGTTGCTTATTCTTTTTGCAGCTATTAGTATCTCTAGTCCCATGATATTACTTGAAATTTCGAATCTCACTAATGTTACTGGGATGTATAGGGTTTGAAATCTGAGTTGGAGAAGGCTTCCCCTTCCTTAGGACGTAGTGCAATTTACTTGAAAGAGTCACGGATCAATGCTTTGCCGAGGTAACAAATAATATATGGTCTTGAGATTTTTTTAGCCTTTTTCTATGCTTACATATGTTGGCACTTAAGTTTCCACTTGGCTGTCTTTTTCTGACTTCACTGGTGTCATTTTCTTCTTCTACTTCTCCATGTTCTAAATTTTAAATGTGCCTTTTGAAACATAACTAATCTTGATGTGCATTTCAAGGTACCTGACTGTTCAGTTTGTTCGTTTTTTCTGGAAGAGAGAATCAAATCAGAAGGCCAAGATTTTGCGGGTAATTGACTTTTTTTTCTTTTGTAACTGTGCTTTTGTGGTTAAATGTTTTGTTTATATGATGCTGGAAAAAAACAAGTTACTATTTTAGATATGATCATTTCTTCTGTGTCAGAAAAGCCATTTGGTCAAGGTTTAACACTTGATAGGCAAAAAGTTTCACAAAAACCTTTCTTCTATTTTCTTTTTGTATAGTTATTTATTTTCTCTTAAACGTGTGTTCTCAGAAAGTGGATTACCCTTTGGAGTTGGATGTCTATGATTTTTGTTCAGATGATCTTCGCAAGAAATTAGAAGCACCTCGTCAGGTATATGATAGCCTCAGTATCTGGTGAATTTCAATCTAAATCAAACATGCCGACCTATTGTAATTCTTTTGTGGTGGTCATGGTTTTGTTTTTAACGTGTAATAACTACTAGACTTTAAGAGACGAGGAGGGTAAAAAGCTTGGCTTGAAGGCAAATGAGAAGGCCTCTAGTTCAAAAGACAGTGATGTTAAGATGACTGATGCAGAGGTGGGTAGCTGTTTGAGTGATACATGGTCCCATGTGACAATATGTGGATGCATTACTTATTTTTGTGTTCTGCATGATGCAGGGGTCATCCAATGGCAGTGGAGAATCTTCAAAGGCTACCTCAGAAGAAGGTAAATTTTCATAAAAGTTCTCCTGATGGACACAAGCATGCATTCCTTTAGCATTTCAATGTTATTACTAGAGTTGGTGCAGATGCTCTGCGTTTGATATCCAGGGTTTCATTTGCAGTTTAGTATGGATTTTGCATGTTACTTTTTTGTCTGGATATTAAGGTCCTGAAGCATCATGTTTCATATTTTTCTATCTGAACCCAAATTTTATATATTTTCAATATTGCATTTTGGAAGACCCTAGGCTATAATGCCAGACCATATCCTTAAGTGAACATTTTGAGCAACCACTATTTGCCCTATTGACTTTCCTCTCCCAAAGAAGCAAAACTTTTCAAAGTTTTCAAAGTCTGTAATTGCTTACTCAATTCACAATCTTTTATGTCTACTACAGGTGATTCATCAGATAAAGAACCAGTTTTAACCGGAATATATGATTTGGTTGCTGTGCTAACCCACAAGGGGAGGAGTGCTGATTCAGGGCATTATGTTGCCTGGGTCAAGCAAGAAAATGGTCAGTTCTTTGGACACCATTGCATTAGTTCATTGTTATGTAACCATTGCAGTTCCCGAGTTTTTGAACCAATAATTTGTCATTCCTCACAGGAAAGTGGATCGAGTATGATGATGATAATCCCATCCCACAGCGGGAGGAAGATATAACCAAATTATCTGGAGGAGGTGAGTTCACATTGAGTAAATAATGAACTCCAATGTTACTGATATTCTTCCACATTCTCAGTTACCTTTTCTTGTTCTTATTGTTTCAGGCGATTGGCATATGGCATATATTTGTATGTACAAGGCACGGGCTGTCCGCATGTAATTTGATTTTATTGCAATCAATTGTTTTCTTTAGATCAAAGTCAGCTTTGGGTTTTTCTCTGTAGATTCAGATTATGAAATGGGCAATAGATATTTTATAGAATTTACATTTGTTGTACTATAAAAATTGTACGTGCATGTGTTATGACCTACCAAGTTTTCAATGATTTGATTTGATTTGATTTGATTTACTAATAATGTGGCTTTTCTTTTTATTGCAAAAGGATTATTAGCATTTCACTAAATTAGTTTCTATTTTATTTTCAATAGAAAATCATCTCCCATATGGCACAATTGTTTTGCAAAAGTCATTCACATAGGAGAATGCCTTAAATTTTTTTATATTAATCATTTGATTAATAAGAAAGCTTCAATTTGCATGCTAAAAAACCAAAAAAAAATTTTAAAAAAAAATTCAAGATTTGGCTTAAATTTTGTAGGGCTTTTTGGACTTTAAATATAAATGATAAACATCTGGACCCACGTGCTACATGTTAGAAAAACAATATCCTAGATTGGTGCCTATAAAAATCATATTATTTTTCTTAAATTTTATTTTTTGATTTAATTGCCGAAAATATTGTTAATGAAATAACTCTTTATGTAACTAATATAAATTACAACGCTATATTAATATTGGTAAATTATAACGCTTTCAATTGGAATAAAACGACTATAAGCAATAAATATTTGTCAATATAATTTGGGCCTAAGGACTTGGTCCTTTTTTTAATTATTTTTTTCAACTCTAGATCGTATGTTTTTTATATATTATTTCCTGTCGGACGGTCCGTTATTTACATTTTTAATTTTAAAAAACAACAGATGAGCTGATGGCAAGGCAAATTTCGTACGACCAACCTATTCAAATGGATACATGCATATCCTGAGTATTTTTATAGCAGTTGGAGAAAATTTGTCTTATTTCTAGTAATAGTGGTATTCCATAACCAAGGATAGTTGAAAATTAGTTTATAGCCAGCCATAGACGAGATTCAAGAAGCAGAGAATTGCTATCAAAATATAGCCATGAGGAGAAAACAGAAGAAGATTCAGCTGATTATATATCAGAATTGCCAGCGCTAATATTGCATCACATCTTATCTTTACTTTCCCTCAAAGAAATTGTTCGAACCAGTGTACTGTCAAAAACCTGGTATCAGGTTTGGAACACCTACTCCAACGTTTTGAAGTTGGACATTTTTTCACTTTTTAGATAAAATAGAAATTTATACTGCTTTCCATACGAAGAAACAATAGAAAGGAGCTCTCAACGGTTCTATAATTTTGTTGGGCAAATCTTATTAAGCCGCAGCAAACGGATGATGAGTTTCAGCAAGTTTACAGTTGTCAGATGTCACAAGTGGTATCTTTTATGGACAAACGTATTGTATATGCTGTGCATGGTAATGTCAAAGAATTGAAAATTAAAGTTGCTCCATTTGTTAACGATGAGAAATTCAAGTGCAAAAGTTGATGAAGGTGATGTAATTTCATTTTCTTCAAATGGTTGTATTCTTAGAAGTGTTGCTTTCCATTTCTATTCTGAATCCGAAAATCTGGATATTCATAAGTTATGAAGAAGAAGAAACTCCATGTTACAATTCCCTTCCTACTTCATGTTGGCATAACCGCAGCCTACAATCTGCTCAGGATTTAATAACTGTGTATAAATATTTTTCATATCAATTTTACATTAGGGTAATAGAAGAGACCAATGTGGCCACAAATATGGGGACACTTTGTTGTTTAAGAAAGGCAATTGCACCTTTTGGAGAAATAGACCCATCTTCTTTAAATTAGGCACATACCCACCTATCTGATAACTCCATTTCCTGTTAAGGCAAATAAATGATACAATAATGCGATCCACCCAAAAACATTTAAAAAAAAGAAGATGAAGATGAAACTTTGAAGGGAAGACAAAGTTCTTATTGCTGCATTAATGTACATGTTCAAGCAAAAGTCACAAGTCATACCTCAACAAGTACATCCAATATCCAGTTATTGTCCTTTGCTCAATTGGTTGTCAAGTAATTTTACCAAATAAAAAAAAAAAATCTACTTTTACTGTAAAAAAAACCCATAAATGCCAAGGAAATTTGTAGAGAAACTATCAATTTGCTAGGAAGTTCACAAGTATTTGCACAGTTTCAAGTTCTCAAGTCCTGGCAGTAAGAGATGATGATTGTCAGTTCACTGTTAACTTGCTACATTACCATACACAATTGGTGGTGTTCTTTGATGTAGACCTCATTAATTGTCAGAGAGAAGAAGGCAAAGTCATAGCTTCCTTCCCATTCAAAATTGGTGGGCAATACAAGAAGAAAATGCCAAAATTTTCATACTCAAAATACAGTCATCTTAGGGTTATGTACACACAAATTTTATCAAGGATTTTGCCATTTGGCACTCAAAAATTAGAATCCAAAAAGAGCCATTTTTTATTTTGAAAAATTATTAGATAAGATAAGAGTTTAATCCTTTTTACTTTTATATAAACATGGCACGTGAGCTCCATAAAAAAAAAAATCTCACATCACATGACAAGCTTCATCTCAAGAATTTCTATTTCTTACCATGTAAAAGGCTGATCAACCTTTTCACAATTCATAACTCCCCGTCTATTTCATGTGAGTTTGTGCTGAGAGCCCTTGATCTTTCCCAATATTGCAAACTTCTATGGCCCTAGGGTTCCTGATTTTGTTAGTCTGGAGAAATTGTCCATTTTCATAACAAGGGCAATCACATTGCTTTCTTTTCTCAAACATCAATCACCATTAAATTATTGAGGATTTGGGTATTCAACCATTGATTTTGCTAATATACACCCAAATTACTCTCCCAAGGTGATTAAGCAGCCCTACACATGTGATCTTTTGCAGGTGACATTGTTAGTGGTCCAAACCAAATCCAATTAAGCAGTATAATGGAGTGAGGCCCATCAAAGCAGAAACAGTTGATGCTTCAATTCATTAACCAGAGAAGATGGGATAAATTTGATATAAATAGATTAGTTCCCAGACTCTGCTACTCTGTTAGTTTTTGGAAACATTACCACATTAAGATTTTCAACACTTGGAAAAATTTAACAGCACTGTATTTTATTTGAAACTCCCCCTTCTGTGCCTTCCAAGTTGCTTCAAAATGTCACTATTGCATTAACTGGGACACAATTTCTGCAACATCACTATCTACCAGTAACCACCAGAAAGTAGACAAATGTGTCCTGAGTCAATTCCAAGCAATTGCGATTGACTTTAAAAAAAATGGAAAAAAGAACCCAATAATCCCTTTCTTTAAGAATTTATTATGTGCCAAAAAGAAATTCAAGGTTTTGTTTTTCATATTTGATTATTTACTATAAAAATTTGAAAAAAAGACATTAAGACATAAAAAATAAAAAAAAAATACAAACACCATTAATATAATCAATTGAAAATAAAAATGTACAAAAAGAAACATCATAATAAGAAATGATATCCAAGAAAGAAAGTGGAAGTTTGTCTAGTCCTTGCAAGACACGTCTGAAACTGATATAACCAAGTAGCATGGACTTTGGATCTCCCATATCTCTTTTTTTTTTTTTTTTTGAAAGAAAAGTGGAAGTTTGTCTTTAGTCCTTGCAAGACAGCGTCTGAAACTGATATAACAAGTTAGCATGGACTTTTGGATCTCCCATATTCTCTTTTTTTTTTTTTTTTTTTTTTTTTTTTTATCCCATCAAATCAAATCATCTTTGCTCATAAGCAATAATCAAAGAGTGAGTGTCAACTCCACTATCCTCATCAATGCCATTAGGTCCATTACTTGAAATAAATAAATAAATTTATACAAATAATAAAGCAAAACACTAGCATTATCACTAATTAAAGATAATAATAATGGTATTTTTATAATATAAACAAAGCAATTTCCCATTATCCCTTCACACCAAAAATGAAAAAAACATTTCAAATATTTGTTTTTTTCCTTTTTCTCCATATGTGAAAGCATATTCAAACCAAAACCCACACAAAAACACCAAAAAATTTAAAATTAAAAACCATATTATATCCTATAGGGTGCTCAACCCCATAATTAATTAAATAGGGAAAAAAAAAAAAGAGAAGGAAAGATTTAACCAAAATTATCATTTTTTTTTATGTTCTCCCTATTGGAAACTAGAACCTGGAGTGTATATGGCAAGATCAGGCCACCCGTTACTGTTTCCCCAATCACCACTCTGCAAAAAACTCTCGCCGCCGCCGCCGCCGCCGCCGCCGCCTGCGCTTTCATTATTATTACTGCCTTGTAAATCTAAACCTGGGTTTTGACTTGAATCAGCATTCAAACCTGTATTTAAGTCCCCACCAAAGCCACCCATTTGCACCATTTTTAAACCCGACCCATTTGGATTCAACCCGTCAAAAATACTTCCAAACTGTCCATTTGATGTCAAAAGCGAGCTAAAGCTTCCACCCATATCCAGTATCTTCCGTTCTTGATCGGCTTCTAAACCATACATGCGGGTCGGGTCAACTAAATCCGAGTTCCCATTACTCAGCAATTGCGATGTAGATGATCCCGAGGCCGTCGCCGTTGAGGTTGATGACGACGATGCTTCTGGAACCCGGCGGTTAAGCCGAGTCGGGTCAGTGTTAGGATCCGGGTTAGCACGTTTCTGGTTAGAGGAACGTTTAGCATTCTTGCGGCTACCACCACCGACTGGGATATTTCTTAAAGCGCCACCTTTAGTCCAATATCTTCTACAATTCTTGCAAAAATGGCGAGGCTGAGAAAGATTATAGTTGTTGTAGTAGCAAAACTTGGTGTTGGTAGAGTCACAGCGCGGGCACTTGAGCTGTTCTTGCTCTGGAAAGTGAGGCTTCATAGGCTGAAATGCTGTCGACGGATCTTGCATGTTTCTTTGCTTTTACCAGATAAAAATGGATAAAAATAAATGGGTTTTGTGAGATATGTAGAAATATAAACTATTTAAGAATTAGGAGAAACGGGTTTGGCTTCAACACAGGAATGGATGAGAAAAGATTAAAACTTTAATTCGGTGTGAACTGAGTTTTGACGATTTTGAGCTGGGATTTGCTATTATGTGTGCAAAGATGTGAAGTAGCGAAAAGGGAAAACAGACAGTAACAGTAAAGACGACAAAAAAGATTGGATATTTTTAGAGCCAGTCATGGGGATTTTCAAGAAACTCTATGCAAAAGAACAAAAAAAAACAGAGTTTTTTAAGCCATAAAACAGAAAAAAAAAAAAAAAAAAAAAAAAAAAAAAAAAAAAAAAAAAAACGAAATTAAAAAAGGAGAAGATAACCAAATTGCAGGTTTTATAAAAAAAAAAAAAAAAAAAAAAAACGAAATTAAAAGGAGAAGATAACAAATTGCAGGTTTTATGTTCTTAAAAACGAAGCAGAAGAAAGCGGGGGAAGAGATTTTGAAATAGAAGCAAAAGGAGAAGCCAAATTCTTTCTTTCTTTCAAGTGGGGTTTGGTCTTGTTCAGAGAGGTGTAGAACAAAGGAGAAGAGATATTTGGATGTTGAAAATGAACAATCTTTGAAGAAGAGTATCTGTGCATTTGTGTTTACGCGTGAGAGCGACCACTGAGGTTAAAGAGACTTAAAATAGAGAAAGAGAGAACGCCAAGCTTTAGTTGACAGTGACTAAACTTGTATTTAATTTAATTTAATAAATTAATTACTCACTTTTGGATTAAAATATTATTAACGACAATAATTCTTATGCTTAGATTTTTCCTTTTGAAGCATAACCACACTTTCTTTTTATCTGTGGACTTCAATATTTTATAAAGTTGGCATCAAGCAAATGTCAATTGACAATTGTATGATAAAATTACTCCAATTAAGCATTATTTTATTTACATTAATTAATTAGACAAATATAAAAATTAGATTTACAATTTAAAAAGTTGGGTGCCCCTTAAATGTCGTTATAAGTTGAGTGGTTGACCTTTTTTATTGTGGATATTTATTTATTTAATTAATTAATTAAATTTTTTATGCCTTCATACTAAGATGTAATAATATTTAAGTAAAATTCTCTTAATAATAATAACTATATATAACTTTATTATTAAAATGCAGTGACATATATAATTTTACCTTTAAATTTTACAATTTTAATTATATAGTATTATAAATTTTATAGATGATTTATCAAGTATTTCAACCTATAAATTTTGTTAATGTTACGTATATTTTCATTCTAATAATAATAATTTGTGTTCTTGATTTTTATATACAAAATATTGATGTGTAGTTAATATAAATTTTAAAATAATAATTTTTATATTTTTAAACCATTTAATAGGTATTCGATTAATCTCATTTTATAAATTAATGTATTTAAATAATTTTATAGTCAAGTATTTAATAGGTGTAATTTTCTAAATTAAGATATTTAATGGATTAGCACAAAAATTTAGGTGTGCTGTCAAATTAAAATTTAAAATATAAATTCATAATTCCTCATTGATAACTTATTTTTATGAGAATTCATAGAGGACATCAGTACCACTTTTATATTATTCTTCTTCTTTCTATTTGTTTTTTTATTTTTATTTTTTCTTATTCTTCTCATTTTGTCTTATACAGCAAAGAATTTTCTAGGCATTAACCATTAAGCACTCCCATTTGTTTGTTTTCAACCTGAAAAGGTTATCAGCTAATTAGCCATTAGGCAAGCTGCTTTAGCCAAAGCTTTGGTTTAAGTTGCACTAATTAAGCCAAATTGTATAATTAAGCCATGCCCGCATAAGTATTGAACCGAAGCCACAAAACGACAAAACACTGCGTGCAAATAAAGCAAGCCGAAGCAAAAGCATAATGTAGATTCCAACAGAAAATCGAGACCGTCAATTTTACAAGTGCTCAAATAATCACCCTCCATTTGTTAAATCACGCGATAAAAGGGGGGGGGGAGAGTGTCTATGAAATATGAATCATTAGCGTTTTGTTGCGGTCACCAAACAAAAAACGAAACCAATGTCACGGGCAATACGTGGCAGCACCCCACATGAGTGATATAAGCACTAATGTCGAATTCTGGGGTGACACTGAAATGAACTCAACAGCATGTAAAAGCTAAGGATTTTAAGTATAAAAATAAATAAAAAAGAAAAAGGGCAAAAAAGGATGGACTTGGGTCCATTGGGCTTCAAATCAACAATATGTAAGGCATGTAATTTACATTGGACTTTCTTTTACACTTGCGTTTCTAAATTTTTGAGAGACAGCATACTAATCTATATATCTCACATATACACTCACTTCACGAGTTTTATAAGACCTCAAACGACATTTCGTGTGCTTTTGCTTTAGTATCGCTTTAGACACCGTGATATTAAAAACACCGCGTGACACAAAAATCTATTGAATTGTTGTTTTTTTTTCAGAGGAGAACATTCAACAGGACAATATCTTGATCGGGAATTTGAGATGATGAGACTAGAAAAAAAAAAAGAAATTGTATGACTTGTCGTTTTGTCAAGTCAATAAGTTTAAAAAGAAAATAATCCAAAAGGGGAAAACTATAGAAGTATGTTATTGTTTGGTTGTTTTCTTTTTCCTAAATGAGGGTGAAAGTAAACAAAAAATTTTCTTACTAATTTTAATGTTTGATTCAAATGTTTGACTTTTTCCTGTTTTGAGTGAGAAAAACCTTATTCCATAGTCCACATATTATATACCTGTTTTTGAGTGAGAAAAACCTTATTCCATATAGTCCACCCCCCTCATATTATTATATATATATATATATATATATATATACTATATATATTATAATATATAAAATTTAATTAATTATATAAAATTAATTAATGACTATACCTATATTTATTTTTTATTTTATTTTATTTTATTTTTGTTCTTTGTGAAATATGATTAAAAATGTGGTAATATTATTATAGTTAAAATAGATTAAAATGGATTTTATGATGGGTAATTAATGATGAGGTATGATCATTCATTCCGGAATGTGTTGGTGACTTGGTGGGATTAATGCAATGGACGGTGATGATTAAATCAATATCACGAGAGCCTATAAGAGAGACCTAGGCAAGAGCGAGCAATAGGCGTGTCAAAGTGCAATTGATTGTGGTGGGGACTACAAATAGTGGGTCCCAAAACTTATGAACACAAATTGGTGGGGGTGGTGATGGAAGGTGGTGGTGGTGGCGGTGGTGGGGGGCGAGGTGGAGGCCCAAAGAAAGAAATTGTCGTCTCTGTGTACATAAAGCGTGCAACACGCTTCAGATGGCATGCTTCATCGCCTCTCATTCCCTTCCTTCCCATAATCTCTCTCCGGATTGATCGCTTCTAAAATTTTATTAGTTTCTGCTTCCCATAATATAATATTTTAATTATTTATGAAAAGAATATGTGGATGAACTTCTTGCATTAATTTCTTTTATATTGGCAAAATACATTTTTTTATTATAATAATAAATATAATTAATAAGTAATATAATTTAAATAATATATGAATAAGAAATTACCGGTTTTGTAGGTAGCAAATATTTTAATTATTTATGAAAAGAATATGTGGATGAACTTCTTGCATTAATTTCTTTTATATTGGCAAAATACATTTTTTTATTATAATAATAAATATAATTAAATAATACACAAATAAGAAATTACCGGTTTTATAGATAGCAAATTAGTAGATATTTTTAGATCTAATGGCCCACATTGGATAGTTTAAATCTAATGGAAGATAACTACTTCTGTATCAATACACAATTTCTTATTTCTATACAGTAGTCTTACTGAGGAATAAAACTAGAATTTAATTTTAATAACATGGGTAATAGTCAAAACCATTAATAAAATAATAAAATTAAATGTGTAATTTTGTTTTCCCAAAATTATAAGGGAGAGAGTGTGAGGATAGGCTAGGGAGGACTCGAACTCGAGACTCTCATATAAGAGGCAATAACACTAACAACTGAGATTAAGACCTAAAGTCCGACTTAAATTTGTGTTTGAGTTGGAATTGACAGTGAAAGTAAGTAAATTTATTACAATATGTGAAATTGAATAAATAAATATTACTAAAGTAAAGAAAATAGGAAAATAATCGAATGAGGTAAATTTCTTTGGCAGATAGTTGAGTAAGCTAATTGGTTTGCACCTCTATTTGCAATGCCTCATCTCTGACTTGAGAAAAGAACAGTAAGTTCACATCTCCAAATTGTTAAAAATTCATAAAAGTTGGCTGCCCAACTAACTCCTTTTTCAAGTACAATGTCAACTGCACAAATCACAGAATCAGTTCTCTGAATTTGAAGCGTATAAATCAAATTCAATGCTTCATGTGCCAAATTGACAAATTCTACTCTTAGGCTACTGTTGTTTTCTTGAAAGTGTTGAATAATGGAAGGAATAAGAAAAAGGAATTCTAATTAAGATTCTATTCTTGATGTTGGAATATTGAATATGAACCCTGCGATGTGAAACATATTCTTCTTTGTCCTCTCTTTTGCTATGTAATATTCCCATGCTATTATTTTCAAAATATAGTTGAATATGACTCTTACCCATTTTATTATGCAAGCTAAGTTTTAATCTCAAACTAATCGAAATTCGATACTCAGATCTTATATTTCCATTATGCTTCGTTCATAATTAAATCTTCATTCGCATTAAAAGATTTAACGTGTGATACCATCTAACTGCGAGAATAATAATTGAACAGGAAAAGCATAACAGTGGTGTTTGCTGACCCACCATCAGCTTTCATTTCAATAAAAACAAAATTCTGCATATGAAGTCAAGAAAGGTGAATCAAATAAAAAAAAAAAAAAAAAGAAATATGAGAATTTGAAGCAGTTGAAATTAAACATAGTAACCAGTAAATGTAAAGCCTCTCCCAATTATTTCACCACCCCAAAACCAAGCAAAGCACTCCACTCCAAACAGAGCAACAAGACCAGCCTTCTCTATATTCATCTCTGGCTTGCTTTTCATTAGGTTCTTGAGACCCTCAAGTTCCTTCCAGAATGCTTCATATCGATTGGGAATACTGTAGGCACAAGCAGAATGTTGGCACAAGCAGAATGTTGACTGTAATTACATCCTTCCTTGTTGTTATTTTAAAATTAATAATTTTATTTCTTACATTACTACCAGTAAGATCTAAGAGATTAATGACTCCTATGAATGTGATCAAAGAGAAAAAAAAACCTGGCAAGACGAGTGAAAAGTAGCTGATTGGCTAGTAATTGGCATCTCTCCACAGTGGGTGGGTTCTGGATATATTGCTTGTTTTCCTCCAACAACTGCTTGTAGAAAGCACATCCATGCTTGGCTGCAGAATGTAACTTAGATTGCAACTGAGGCAGCTTTGATGCCATATATTACCTCCTTCCTACATTATTTTACCACTTTCAGTGTGAGTATTAACAGAATATAAGAAAATAAATAATTAAATGAAAATGGTAATATTAGAAGTTTTAAAGCTAATTAAATGCCAAAATCTGTTTGGTTAACAAGAAATTGCACCAAGAAGTAAAAAAAGAGGCATAAAAGTATCATGATTCTTCATTTTCATTAAAAAAATCTCCCAACCACACAACTGGGAAACAAACTGAAAGAACAAATTAACAGAAGTCAGAAAGAAACAAACAAAATGGATTTCCCAGATTAAGTTACCTTGATTAGTTTTTTTCCAGTTATTTTTCCGTATATAAGCAGTGAATTTTAGAAAGTGGTATACATATATGTATTTGTTTTTGACTGAAAAAGTAGTATATATATAGAAAGAGAGATATAGGTAAGTATTTCAGTTGATTAGTGCCAAGAAAGGAGGGGCTAAGTGTATGGCTACTGACTAGTTCTCCAAGACTCCAACGGTTCCATTTAAACTTTGGGCTTGGATTCATGGGTTTTTTTTTTCTTTTTTCTCTTAGCCCATTAGGATCAATAACATTTTTTGAATAGATCAGAATCAATATTCGTTATAATAGTTTTTTTTTTTTTAATGTAAAACAAAATTCACACATTATCTAATAAATATTTTTTTTATTTGTTTAGAATAAAATATACAATCGACTGGAGGATATTTATTATTTCAAGTCAATTATTCATAAACGTAAAACTCTTTTGGATGAGTTTCTTCATTTTCAATTTTTTTTTTATGTTAAAAGACCACTTATTGTTTAGATCGAGTCTCTGTTTCCTTATCTGACTCGATGGAGTGGAAGTTAATCGCCGGTTGATTATTTGTGATGTAATGGCTTTTGCCGCAAATAATATTTAAAGCCCATTTGAATTAAAAAAAAAAAAAGGATAAAATATGTTTTTTTCTTGTTAATAGAAAAGATTATGATGGAAATAGAAGGAAAGACGGGGTCATTAAACAAGATAGCATTTATAAACGACAGTCATTAGGATCTATTTTTTGATTGATAGCATTCATAGAAAGTCGCAAAGCACGAGAAAAATTTCATGTTGGCTCTAAAACAAAAATAGCAAACAACACGTCGTTCAAGTCGCTGGGCTCAATGATTAGAAAGCCCAAAGAGATGCCCAATTATATTTATTGTTGAAGCAAATCACTGCCCGCAAACGCAAAGACCTGGTGGATATCCGTCCCAAATCCAAATAGAAATTCCTCGACTTGTCGTCCATGTGACGTCGTTCGGGTAATTTGCTTTAGAAGTCCACTAAAAAGCCGAAGCCCATTTGGCAAAGCAAAAGTTCAAAAGTTCCAACGAGTTCTCGTGTAGAAGTTATTCTTATAGTGACCCGCTAGGGTTTTTACCTTCCTATTTCTCCAAACCGTCCTTTGCCACCGCTCTGTATCTCTTTCTTCCTTATCAATGGTAGGCGGTTTCGAAGTTGGCGCCGTCCCTTTCAACCCCGACGGCTGGGGTCCGCCAGACGCCACAACGGGCACCACCACATCCACTCTCCCTCTCCACGTTCCCTTCGCCCCCTTCTCCCGATCAGAAAAACTCGGTCGGATCGCCGATTGGACCCGTAACGTCAACAATCCTAATGCAAATCGGCCAAACGCCAACAAGAACGCTTCGGATTCCGTTTTTGACTTCACCGCCGATGATTCCTTCCCTGCTGCAGCTGGTGCAGCCGATGATGACTCGACCTTCCGTCTCGTTGATGGAAAACCTCCTCCACGCCCTAAATTCGGCCCTAAGTGGCGATTCAATCAACACCGCCCGCAACTCCCTCAGCGTCGCGATGAAGAGGTGGAGGCTCGCAAACGTGAGGCGGAAAAGGAACGGGCGCGCCGGGATCGCCTATACAATCTCAATCGATCCAATCAAAACCAGCCACGTCGCGAGGCGGCAGCTTTCAAGTCATCTGTGGATATCCAGCCGGAGTGGAACATGTTGGACCAGATTCCCTTCTCAACGTTTTCAAAGCTGTCATTCTCAGTCGCTGAGCCAGAAGATTTACTTCTCTGCGGCGGGCTTGAGTTCTACGACAGATCATATGATAGAGTCACCCCTAAAAACGAGCGTCGTTTGGAGAGATTCAAAAACCGAAACTTTTTCAAAGTCACCACGACTGATGATCCTGTGATTCGGAGACTTGCCAATGAAGATAAGGCTACTGTGTTTGCTACGGATACTATCCTGGCAACTTTGATGTGTGCGCCTAGGTCGGTATATTCGTGGGATATTGTGATTCAGAGAGTTGGAAACAAGCTCTTTTTCGATAAGAGAGATGGTTCTCAGCTTGATTTGCTTGCAGTGCATGAGACCTCACATGAGCCATTACCAGAGGCGAAAGATGATATGAACTCTGCTTATTCATTGAGTGTTGAGGCAGCCTATATTAATCAGAACTTTTCACAGCAGGTTCTAATTAGAGATGGGAATAAGGTTGCCTTTGATGAACCAAACCCATTTGCAAATGAAGGAGAGGAAGTTGCTTCTGTTGCTTATAGGTATAGGAGGTGGAAACTTGATGATGATATGTATCTTGTTGCTAGGTGTGAGGTGCAGAGTGTTGTGGAGGTCAACAAGCAGAGGTCATTTTTGACACTGAATGCTCTCAATGAGTTTGATCCTAAATATTCCGGAGTTGATTGGAGACAGAAATTGGAGACTCAAAGAGGTGCGGTTTTGGCTACTGAATTGAAGAACAACGCGAATAAGTTAGCTCGATGGACTGCTCAAGCGCTTTTGGCAAGTGCAGATTTGATGAAATTAGGTTTTGTTTCGAGGGTTCATCCAAGAGATCATTATAACCATGTGATATTGGCTGTTCTTGGGTATAAGCCAAGGGATTTTGCTGCACAGATTAATTTGAATACATCAAACATGTGGGGAATTGTGAAGAGTATTGTTGATTTGTGTATGAAGTTGAATGAGGGCAAATACGTTTTGGTTAAAGACCCATCAAAGCCACAAGTGAGAATTTATGAAGTTCCTGCTGATGCTTTTGAGAATGATTATGTGGAGGAGCCTTTGCCTGAGGAAGAGCAAGTTCAGCCCCCTGGCGAGGAGACCGAGAATGCAAAGGCAGCAACTGCTGCAAATGATGTTGAAGATAAAAATATTTCTGCTCAAGCTTAAAGGTATCAATTCTTATTTCCAACTTGAAATAATAGTAATTTTTTGTTCCCATCTCTCATTTGTTATAAATATGCATGCTTAGCTCAAATGGTTTTGGGAGTGATGTTTATAGTAGAGTTCATTTAGTATTTGGGTTTATGAACTGTGTTAATTTAATTTCCTCGATATCTTTGCTTTGCTAATGAATCTCTTTAATGATTGTGTTTAGTGCAGATTGGCTATGAACTGGGGATGTCATACTGTTTTGCAATATGGAGCATATTCGCACTCCCCAACATTGAATCCTCCTTTTTTTATCTTTTTCTTTTTTGGGTTAAAATTTGGTTTTGTAATCTTAGATGGTTTATTTATCATATTGAGCACAGTTGTATTCAGGATCTAGCTCTTGATTTAACTCATCCAAGAATTTTATTTTCTTCACATGGCTTTATTATTTTTGATGCCTTTTTCAATCTTTTTTTTTTTTTTTTTTTTTTTTTACAGTTGTATTCAGGATCTAGCTTCTTATTTAAACTCATCCAAGAATTTTATTTCTTCACATGGCTTTTATTTATTTCTTGGATGCCTTTTTCAATCTTTTTTTTTTTTTATTTTTTTGTTAGTTGTAACATAACTTTTTTTTTTTTTTTTTTTTTTTGTTTAGTTGTAACATAACAGCGGTTGATCGGTAGGATTATATTGCTGTCATAATTCCAATTGATTCAGTAAGATGTCACTTTTAGTATTACCTTTGAGGAATTATAAGGAACCACTTAAATAACAAACCAGGGTAGAACTATCTTGAAATTTACAACAATTATGCACCAATCACTAAGATTGTTTAGAGGTTCATAACTGGAGTCGATCATCATCTCATTATCTTGTGAGAATTAAATTACTTAATGAGGCAGGCAGGATATTGGTATGTCTAGTCGGGGATAGCCGCTGAGGCAAGTGCTATTCAAGCGACTGGTTTCTCTATGAAAAAAGTACATCCTAAAAACGTTTCTTAAATTGAACTTTTACAAGGATGACATTAATGGAAGCTAGTTCTATACAATAGATGTTCAATTCTATGTCAACACCCAATGGATTTCGGGGCAATTGTATTACAATTGTCCAGAGGAATTGTCTTAGGAGTAGCCGGATTATTACCCATGGATTTCGGCTCAGTTCCAGAGAAATTGACTACCGGGTGGGTGTAGATAAGTATTTACCTTTAGAATTGTCTGAAGAAATTGTCAGGAGAGCTGTCGGGTTAAATAGTCCGGAGAGTTGCCCATAAAAAAAATGGTACCTTGGTGGTGAGGCCCAAATCAGCCCATGTCATATTGTAAGGGAGTGACCAGTGCTCATAAGTCTATTGGATGTTAAAAGTCCTTGTCCCGGCTCTTCATAGGTGCCCCTATGCAGGGGAGTGACTTATGAGCACTGGTCTACTCACTCCCCTGCACATATCTAGCAGCTGAACACGCATTCCTTGGACAGCACAACATGCCGGTCCAAATGAAATGGGCCACTCTTCCTCCCCCGTTGCAGTTCAGCTAATCATCCACTTTTTATTAATGAAAGACATGATATATCACAAGATAAGCAATATTAAGAAAAAGAAGTTAAGGCAGTCGCCCTAATTTAGACCTTTTTTTAATTTGATTTGGCATTATTTGATAGGATAGAACTTTCTATTTCTAGTCGGATATCTATGCTGATTTAAAAATTATGTTCCAGGTCATATTATCTCCTTCCCAAATACAGATAGATGTTGTAATAAAAAGTCACGTCTAAACCACCTTAAATCAAATAATTTTTCTTTTCCAAAATAAAAATAATTGAAGAACAAGACAAGCATTGCTCGTCACCTAATTTCATTTTTCATGTCATTCATATTCATCATCACCCCGCCACTAAATAGATTTACATTCAATCAATTGAAAATGTATCACATCCTTTCTGCAATCATCTAACCTTTTATGCAATTCAGATATTTTTAAAATAATAACTTAAACCAGTCTATTCAGGCACATATGATATGGATTGAACCAGCCTTATAATAAGTTCAATCAGAAAGAGTCCAGTTTTTAAGCGCAACCATTTACTTTATCTATCCGGTCATAAAGAACAAAGCAAAAAAGGAAGGCAAAAGAAGACTACAACATAATCATAAAACTAGTGGCAAAAACCGAACATCCTCACTAAATAACATCAAAATCTAGCAATTCAAGTCAGTAATTTAGTTGTTGATCCTCCTACGAACAAAGAATCAATGCCCAAAAGAGAAAAAAAGGGGAAAAAAAAAAATCTACAATTATCTTAGGACTAAAAGGATGGAGTTTCAAACATGACAAAGAATCAATAAAAAAATGCACTGCAAGTTTTCAACAGCTTCTTCCCACCAAGATTTGCGTAAAAACTACATTTTACCTTAAGACCTAGTGGCAAATATTGAACATCCTTTTAGTTTTTGTTGTAGATGAGCTACAATCATATTTTCTTCAGACTTCAACCCAACAACACATTTTAGAACATAAAACCGCAATCTTCTATCTTTAGAAGATAAGAGAGAGAGAGAGAGAGAGAGAGGGAAAAAAGAAAAAGAAAAAAAAAAAAAAAAAAAAAAAAAAAAAAAAAAGAAAAAAAAAAAAAAAAAAAAAAAAAAAAAGATTCGGGTAGAAAAGGAATTTTTATTGGTTGGGAGGAAAAAAAAAAAAAAAAAAAAAAAAAAAAAAAAAAAAAAAAAGATCGGGTAGAAAAGGAATTTTATGGTTGGGAGGAGGTTGAAGAAAATGGAGAATCTAGCTGCCCATCCGGGAATAAGAACATGTTGCTTCCTTGCGGACTCTGAAACAGCCACATCTGGACCTTTATACGGTATTAGCATGTGTTACAGATTGAAAAGGCATTTGAAATGTGAGGATTCGATGTAGCCTCCACCTAACTGATTGGTGGGAATGGAAAAGAAATCTTCTCCGACAGCAACCCAAAAAAGTTCACCACGCAAATACATTTCTTGGACCATCTTTATGCATAGTACATGTACAAGCTGTTTGCAGCAGCACAGGCGATTGAGTTTTCGGTTGGGTGCCATGCTAGATGCAGCAATTTTGTTGTGAAATCAAAAGAATTTCCATTTGCATCAACTCCTGGGCTCTCTGCTCCTGTTAATGATTACATAGTAATATAATAAAAACAAAAGCAAATTGAGTTGTAGAAATAGACAGAGAGGGAAGGGGGCAAGGAGGTCGGGATAAGCAAGCAGGATAAGAAAGCAGCTGCACTAACCCCGTCTTACAACACGTGTTATACTGCTTAGGGATCTGGAAGGCCTTGAAGGGGTCTGAACTTGTCTCCTGAAAGGGTAAACCAAAGTTTGTAAAGATAACATGTTAATTGTATAAAACAACTTAGAACTTATCTATTGATAGTCAACAGACCAAATATAAGTACCTCATTGGATTTTTGCTGGCTTCCAAAGTTGTTTCTTCAGTGCTTCCAGGGGCACAACCAAACACACGGAACAGATTGCTGGATTCACATGAAAAAGAAAATATTACGGTACATGCAGAAGGCTCTCAACAAGAAAAAAATAAATATCAACTTATTGACGCTAAAAACAGACCTGTAAGACCCGGTTGCCACTCGCAATCCATCACCGCTCAAACAACACTCGAATTTATCGAAGATTGAATCATTTTCATACAAATCACATAACTGGATATACACAAAGAAATTATAATCAGGATGGAAACAACCAAGGAATTTTAAGTTCAGTTTGTCTGAAGGGAGTAATCTTACCTTAGGTCTTAAATATTCATGAACCTGGAAGGTTGCAACTGGACCTGAATCCATATTGATGTCCCATAACTAACAATGTGAAAACACAGAAATGAGAAACAAAGAACAATCAAGACCTCAACTTTACTTCAAAAGAACATGTAAACAAAAATCAAGATTTCAACTTAACTTCCAAAGATCATGTACACAAAGAATATTCACATAAAAACAAGAGTATGTGCGGTCATTCCAAATCATGAATAGAGTGTAAGCACAGTTAAATGGGTAAGGTCTTCCAAAACCAAAAATAATTCAGCATCAGCTTGAAGTCTATATGCTTCTCAACTTCACAATACATATGCACCAAAAGATCAACAATACAAGGATAGGGATAATAGCAGAATTTTGCCTTGTTCACAAGATTGTTTTGCCTGTAATGTTCCCTTGAACTCTCTCTCTCTCTGCAATGCATAGCTCACTTGAATTGGAAAGTATCTCTTACTAAATCCATTATCTTTTTAAAAGTATAGTTTTCCTGTGAACTTCATATGCTGCCAAAGGTGCACAGAGTTGGCAGCTAGGCACAAGTGACAAAAGAACGAATAATAGACCTGTCTGAGGTGCAAATTTATTTAGACGTGTATAGATTATTGATATAATGATTCTACTTCATAATAACTAGTAAACAAAAGCATTTTAAAATTCTATACACTGCGCAATATAATTTCTGAAGGTGTACGCTGACAGATGTGAAGACCTGAGTATAAAGAAACATAAAGGCACAAGGCCAAATGTGCATGGTCCAAACAATAGCAACCACAAAGCTGTCCACTAAAACTCATAAGACCACAATAGCAAACCCCAAATTCATACCACCCTTTTTAAAAGATCATTTCTTCTTATCCTCCTCTCCTTTATTACAGTTATTATCTTCTGTCTTTTCATCAGTCTCCTTCAAATTAGTTCCTTCTTCATCCAAAACATTTGATAGAGTTGCACAAAACAAATAATAACTTGTGTTCATTGCTATGCTAGAAGACACAGGCGACTTCAGTTGGGTTAGAAAACCAGATCATATTCTGCTATCACCTCATAACAATTGATTTAATGTAGCAATATTTACTTCACTGTCATGTGTAGCAAGATCCGAGGGTTAAACCCAAACTATGAGGGTCTAAAAGTGAAAACATCCAACATATGAGCAGAAACAATTAATGAAGAGTACCAATTCGAAAAATGAAAGAAAGAAAAGCAGGCTACTAACATGCATAACAAGGCGCCCTACTAGACATATGCTTATGTGCACAGGCGTGCGCCATCAGGATGGAGCCTAGCTTGAACCACCTGAGGCACGTAACATATGCTTGAATGGGCCTACAGACAAGGTGTACCAAAGGCATGCCTCTGAAGACTATAGCCAACTTCAGCATGCAAGGAGGCAAAACACAAAGCCATAACAAGGCTAAAAATATTGCCACAGATAAAAAGGAACCTCAATGATTCCAGCCATGTCTGGTCATGAACAGAACACTATGCTCATACGCTCCAGGACTAGATGTACCCAGTCTAAGAGTCCAACTTGAACAATAAATCTAAAGGTTACAGAACTAACATGGAATGCATCATAAATCTACTCTATCTTCAAGATACAGAATTTTTTGCATTTTCAAATAATCTAATAGCAAACATTAAGATAAGTTTTTTTGCTAAAAAGCTATAAGATATAGTAATTTTGGACACAACCACTTTGCAAAAAGAAAAATTGATTATCATTATAAAATTCAAATATCAAAAATTTGTCAACGAACCATATATATAGTAGGCTACAAATTATGGGCTGATTTTCATACAAACACGATACTGCATAATCAACTACAAATATGATTCAAGTAAATTCCAAACATAGAAGCCCAAACCTTAAGAGTCATGTAATCACGACTAAGAATATGCCTTCCATCCTTAGCAAATTTAATATCTGAGATTGAAGCAATTATCTCTGTGAAAAATGATCTAGAACCTGGTGCCTCCTGTTCCTCAAACCTGCAGCCAGTGGATGTTTAAAGTAAATAAACTCATGAAAGATGTTTTATTGATCACAACTCCAACCCAAACAGGGATGTACCAACTAAACATCCAGCAGAAATATGCTCCAAATTGATAGAGCATACATTAGCCTTCCTAATTTTCTCAGTTCCAGCCATCTCTTTTTTTAATGCAAAAGGCATACTTACAATTTGGCATGAGAGTCACATAAAGCTGATTGTCGCAAATCAATTAGTCGGATTGAGCCTCTCGAACTGCTATATGCTAACATATTGCAGTGGTTGGGGTGGAATTCTGCAGATGTTATAACCTCTGCAAGGATCAAAGAATTTTGGTTGATGACTCGAACAAAGCATCATTTATAGAAGCTTACCATAAACAAAATTCATTTACTTCATAGATTGAAAACAGGAAATTTAATGCTAGTAGGAATAATTTAAGCATTTGTGTGAGGACCAACCTAACAGTGAAAACACAACACTGGAATAAAGGGCAAAACCAAAATAATTCACCAAGCAAGTAGTAAAAACTCCTCGACAGTCGAAGTTAAATTGTGCTATTAAAGTGAAAGAAACAATAAAAGAAAGGAAGGAGACACGGGAAACTATTAACAGACAGGAAGGTGTGGACACTACTAAAGATTGTTGGGCATGCTGATCAGAGTTAATAAACAAAGTTTTCAATATAATCCTGAACAGAAGAGACTAAGAGTCTTACCAGTTAGATCCTCCATATTTGCTGGCTTTACATCAACAATATTGAAACTTTGATTGCTAATTTCCAAGTTCCAAAGGTTGATTCGCAGGTCATCAGCCGATATAAAGGTTTCACCATCACTAGAACATATGAGGAGAGATGATTAGTGAAACAAGCCAATACCAATGATGAGACAAACCAGATATAGAAAGCCATGTCTTCGAAGCACATGCAAATATTTCCCATAAAAGTTGCCACAGTTAATGGTAACATACTTGTTTAGTGACAAAAATAAATTATAACTAATCTATATGTGATAAGACGAACTTGAAAGAAGCATGCCTCTACCTTTCAGTTTGCAGCTTTTATTGTAATAAATGCAAAAAATCCAAATCTAATGCATTGAAAGAAAAGAAATTTAATTCTGAAAACAACTAAATGAGTGTGCCAAAAGGTGGGAAACAAAAATAATTACTACTTTGAAGTGGCAGTAACAATAAAGTTGAAATGGAACCACCTGTTGTTTGAAATTGAATTGATGTGATAATCATGTGCATGAGCATATACCCTTCGACATCTAGCCACCAGGCTGGTCTCATTGCTAGTTACCTATGTGAAAAACATAAACAGGAGTTTGATTAATGCAAGACCAGATGAGCAATCCAGGAAACAACTAAGTAATTTTAAAGTACGATGCTGTTCAGGCATAGAATGCAGAGAGAAAGACACATTATAATCGCTCCTCTAAGTGATTAATTTAAAATAGATCAAAAGTAGAAATCTCTCCTCTAAGTGTTTAGTTTTAAAATAGATCAAAAGTAGCATTCTCCTCCCTCATAGATGTATGCTACTAATATACTTTTCTATTAGACTAACTTGGCCAAAATCTATCAAAACATAAACTTAATTCAGTAAATCAATTGCTCCTGTAGTTTACAAACCACAAGGTTAATTGTGAGGTACTGTCAACAATCAATTATTAACAATCAATTATTTTTAAATAATTTGCCACACCTAAAAAATGATCAGTTGACAAAAATATAGATATAACCATTCCCCCACAATATGCAATATGATCGTTGATGCTGCTTGTGAGCAATTTCTACATACCTTTTGGAATACCATATTTTCATGATATTATCATTGTTACCAATTTTCCATCAAAGTATCAATATAATAAGGTTCAAGCGGTATACTAATAGCATGAAGGTTTGCATAATCAATTGAAAGCACCATTTGGTGCAAGAAACACTTCAGAAGGCATAAAATAATTTAAAATTCAGTAAATTTACACTTGGTTAAGTCAAAATAAAAGCAAGAAGACAAAAACTCAAGAATGGTTTGAGTACTACTACCACAGGTAAACGCAGTGATGGAATGCCTCCAGGTGGGAAAGTGAAGTCATTGCTTGGACAACTGTATGACTTCTCTGGCCAACCTCCATTTGCAATATATGGTTTAGCACTACTTGAAGTACTTGAACTAGCAACACTACCATTTCCTAGAGCTTTTGAAGGGTCCACATTCATGTCAGAAATTTTCTTAACCTTCTTTTCTTGGACCTGCGCAATTCCCAAACAGAAATGCCAGATAAGTTGCTGAATAAAGTAGGCAACCACTAACCAGAAAGCCCTTATTAATGCCAAGGGCAAAATCTCAATAAATGAAATATGCCACAACAGACTTTGACATATCTTAGTCAGCATGCAATGATAAGTCCAAGTTCTCAAAGATAAGAAGCTCACGTAAACCATTTATAATAAGGATTCCAGACACATATATGCCTTTGGCATATGTTATGACTTAACCTTCCTTAAAGCAATTCATTACTAGTTCCCACCATAGTATAAGATGGCTACTTCCATCCAACAACAACTAAGCCTTGATCCCAAACCAGTTGAGGCCCGCTATATGAATCCTTTATTCCATTCCGCTCTATTCATAGCTAAGTCCATACTAATGCCACACAAGTTGAATTATGGTACTTCCATAAAATATAAATTCAATATCATGTTTCTACATTGATGCATCAACATAGCCACTGAAGCATGCCATTTCAAAAATTCATGCAAAAAATCTCCCCGAATCTATGCATCCTAACACACAAGTTTCTTATTTCAAATGGAAAATAAATATAAAGAGAGGGGAAAATGCCTCAATAAAAGCTTTGATAGGGTTAGTGCCATCAGATTGGTTCTAGTAAAGAAGTATGCATATCTCCCATTAATAAATAGTGAATTTTTTCTTCTATAACAAATTCTTAGGTTGAGAATGAATATAATAAATACATAAATGGCTTTTTTCCATGCTTCAAGATAATCCATTCCTACCTTCCAAAACTTAATGGTCTTATCATTAGTAGATAGGAGAAAAAGAGCGCCATTGGCTGTTTGGCACCATCTGATTTTGTTGATTTTCTCTTCTATTTCCAAGCTCTTGAGATAATCAAACTGGGACAAATACATGTGAAAACAGTATGATAATTACTGCAGGATAGAAGAAAAGTAAATAAATCCGAAACGAGACCAGAATAACCACTGGAAAATAATACCTCAGGTTCATGGCTCTGAAACTCAGTTTTATAACGAAACTCAGGATGCCTACTAATGGCGTAATCCATTCTCTCCAGATCCCTTCTGGATCCGCCATGCTACACATTACAATGAAAAAATTTCTTACAATTCCACCAACAACATAATAAGATGACTAACAATAAGCAATAATATACCAACAAAAGAATGAACGGATTAAGCCTGGAAAGGCAAGAGAAACATACATCCTTTGTGTCTGTCCTCTCAAAGAGAACTACTCGGCCCCCACGATCACCAGTAGCAAGATGATCACCACTTTTATCAAATTCAATAGCTGAAATAATATCCACTGCAGAAAGAAACAAAGTCAAGATTAAAGAACCCCATAATTATCCACCCATTCCATAATGGAATAGCACAGAAATTATCATATAATTGTTAAATGGGTTTCAACTTCCATTTAATCTCATATGTTGTTCCTTTTCTTAACTTTGATTTACTACAGCTGCTGGCAGCTAATTTACGTACATTGTTGTTGCTAGCTTCCTACCTTCAGGGTTCTTTGTTCCCTAAAAGTAAATATCTTTTAACTTGTGTAATAAAAACAGAACATTCAAACCCTCAAATGACTACTGCACGTTTTTTGCTGTCAGAACAATAATTTAGTCATAGTTCTAAATGAAATTTTTTTTTTTTTTTTGAATTTAGTTCATAGTTTAATGAAATTTTTTTTTTTTTTTGGTGGGTTGGGGGAGGGGGGGGGGGACGCAAAGAAAAAAGTTCATCGACGTGGTGGGGGGGGGGGGGGGGACGCAAAGAAAAAGTTCATCGAGTGGTGTAGAAGAAAAGACAAATTGAAACAGAAACATCTTAGAAAGCATTAATGCTTAAATGAAGAAACAAAAAGAGTGTTGTCGACGAGTGGCAAATGGGAAAAGTAAAAATTCAATACCAAGAGAAAATTGAACGGGCAACTAATTTGTGGCTAAAGTGGATGGACTGAACTCATAACATCCTTTTAGAAGAAAGGTTTGAGTCACTCAATAGTTTGCTTCTTAGCCAAAGCAACTTGATCGTTCTTGAAACAACATCAAGAACCAGTAAAAGCATCCAAGAGTATCAGACATTCTCACTGGTGCAAAGACTCCTGACAAGAATTCTGCTTGTTTTTTAGGTACTTAAAAGAAGTACCTGGGCATTGAACCCTTGCCACCCTGCTCACAACATCTCCTCCTCATCCCCTACAATTAACTTAAGCAACAGAAGAATGAACAATTTTTCTTTTTTCGAAAACAAGGTTCGCCATCTGAAGAAGATTGCTCCACAGATATCTTTGTGCTGGAGTCCAAGACGATTATGAAGATTTGGGAATGTGATTTCCGCAACAAAATGATCAACTTAAATCTCACAAAACATATAGTTCCCTATATTGAAAAGATTATATTGTGAACTGTTTTAAATCACACCAAAAATGCACCCAAGCTATGTGAAAATTCTCTGCTCTATATAACAGTTCCTTTTATAGCAAAGCTAAGGTAACCTTCATTTCTCTCGCTAATTTTCACTAACCCAACTCAAATGAAAAGCTTTGACTTGCAGCTGCTCTCAGTTAGCCTCAAGATCTATATTCACTATCACATTTATTCTTATCGCACCTTGTCTAGTCTGCAACTCTAAACTTTTCATCTAACCGTAACAAGAGAACAATTGCAAAACTAGAAAGCCATCTGTTCTCTCGAAGAAGATTTATATCAAATTCCAAAACTACCTTTCAAAAATGCTGCTTCAATTGATTGATAACAGCACGATAGCACATTTTCCTCCAACTCATCTCATTTACATAATTCTTATAGGTGCCTCATTGTCATTGATTGCATTCCAATTCAGTAATCAATAGAACAGAATTTTCATTACTCTTTATTTGCTAGCTCAAATTGTCCACAAAGACCATCCCCTTCCCCCTGCCAAATTCTTCTTAGAAATATGTCAGTTTGATATCTTAACATCTTCACCTCGAGTCCAATAGTTCTGTCTACCATGAATCCATAACATTGCCTTAATTTCTGCAGGGTTCCTTTCTCAATCCTCAGAAAACCCATTCACCAAATAAGCTTCTTGATTCATAGAACTGAAAAGGATGCTGCAAAAATTCATTTGGCAAGTACCGCATACCGGCATAAAGATCAAGTTAACTACATTTAGAGTGTGAAACAAAAAATTTTGCTCATACAAAGAATGTCACAATTTAACGCAAGCATATTGTTTTCCTACTGGCAATTACGCTATTGATTAGTTAGTTTAAACACATGTACACATTATTACTTTCCACAGTAGTGTTAATGTGGTGCACACAAAATTTATGCCTACTTCAAGTATCTAATCTATACAAAATGTTTATTCACCCCAAATGCAAATCTCTCATATTCAACATTTCAATTGAGATATGCACAGGAACAAAAAAACAGCATACCTTAGATTTAGCAATGCATCAACTCACAGAAAAGGAAAAGTTTGACATGGAGAAACTAATGCGCAAGTAATGTGATTTTCTTTTGAAAATCATGAAATATAACACTCAAAGATGCACCTATATCACATCAGTAAATCAGACGTATAAGCTTGATTCACAAAACTATGACTAATGCATACACCAACATTCCATTTCACAAAATAAAGCAATGGATAAAAGAATCATTAAGATCCATACAAAAGCCACCAAGTTCCAGCATTCACAACTTCAACGACCCACTTGGATTACTTACCAATTGCATGTGGCGCAAGATAGCAATAACCAATTATCCACTAACTTCACCTAGCTCACTTCCACTCCATATTTACCTCAATCCATTAAATATGCAATCTATAACACTATGCTTGCACAAATCACTGCAGAAACCCCACAATAGAAAAAAAAAAAAAAAAAAAAAAAAAAAAAAAAAACTTCCATCCTATGATTTACTCTCAATTCCATTAAAGTATGCAATCTATAACACTATGTTGCACAAAATCACTGCAGAACCCCACAATAGAAAAAAAAAAAAAAAAAAAAAAAAAAAAACTCATTGACCCAGAACCTAAACACACAATTAAAAAAAAAAAAAAAAAAAAAAAAAAAAAAAAAAAAAAAACTCATTGACCCAGAAACCTAAACACAAATTTCTCATCGACCCACGATCCATACCGGATCCAAAATCCAGAAACAAGCCCTAATATGAAGTGAAAATGAGAAATATCAACTAGATCCAGATGCACTAAAATCTATAATCTTTGGACAAAGAAAGACGAGTGAAATTACCTTCTTGTACTTCTTCGCCGGCGGTGCGCTCGCCGAAGACCTGGGAGAATTTCCAGTCCAAAGGCTGTGGTGGGCCCGCCGGAGCTGCAGCGAGTTCATCGCCACCGTTCATTTTATCCTCTTTCTCTCTATATCTCTATCCTTCTCTCTTCAACTAGGATCAAATTCGAGGTCCCGACAATCAATCAAAAAGATCGCATCTCAGCTTATGAAACATAAAAATAGAAACATCCATCAAAGCAATTCCTCTTCTTAGGTTTAAATGAGAGATTTTTTCCCTTTTTTTTTACGAATCAGCCATTGGAACACAGAGCTTTATGATGTTATTGTTATTAGTATTATTTTTTTCCTTCTTCCTTTTTTCCCCTCTCTCCCCTCTCTATATCTCGAAAAATATAATAATAATAATAATAAATAAATAAACCACACTTTCTCTCTCTAGAAACAAAAATAAGACGTGTTTCTATCTCTAAAAGGAGAAATTCGGAATTTTTGTGGCTTTTTGAGGTTAAAACAACTGATGAAAAGAAATGAGAGAGAAAGAGCAACAAACAAAACCGTTCTTCAACTCCGATGAGAAAAACCAAAACAACACAACACAGCACAGCACTCTCTCAATAATGGGCTTTTGTTCTGTTTTATGTTTTTATTTTAATAAATTCCTTTTACGGTTTGATAGAGTTACAAGGTATTCGTGTTTTTTGGTTTCACAGACGGGTTTTGATGAGATCGTGACGGTGCAGGGATGTGATTCGATTGGTTGGTGAGGATAAAGTATTGTAAAGGTACACAATTACACATTGCGAGTTGTTACGAAATGACATGTTTGTCCTTTGGTCTTTTTATTTTCTTTTTTCTTTTTGCGTGTTCTTTTTTCATGGAGATCAACATCAGATGAAAAGTCATTTGATCGGACGGTTGTGGAAGATTGTTAATTAGGGAGTATGTGAGAAATAATCATGAGCTTCCATGTCCACACGTCAGAAAGTGTTGCTGCCGCCATGGTATGTATTGTATTGTATGCTCATTGACTTTGTTTTCTGGCCAATGTATTAGAACAATAATAATAATAATAATAATAATAATAATAATAGGATTAAGAAAATAAGTATTAAATATCGTTGATCGTAATTGAATTGAAATTATACATTTTATTAGGATCCCAAATAAGGAGAGATATATATGTAAAAAATCGGTCCGACTACATATATTCCTAATCCTAAACGGAATATAACCACCCTTTTATTTCTTGAAATTTCAAGTAATTTTTATTATTTTAAACTTTTTTTTTTTTTTACTTTTTTCTAAAAATGGAATAAGTTGATTTTTAAACTTAAAGTTTATATCCTCAATTTATCCAAATGTTAAGTTTGGATCAAATGAGATGTTCAATGAAAATGTAATAATCAAATTGAGCATTTATCCAAAACTTATAAACAATTGTAATAATTTACTAAATTCATGAGATTTTTCTTTTTTATATCATAAATATTTAAATAAGTCAAGACTTTTTATATTATGGTATAAATTTTATGAGATCTACTAACTAAATTCATTTGCATTTATAGATTTTCATTTTGTTTTGTTTCTAAAGGACATCACAGGAGAACACTTCCCCCCTAACACGTGGAAAAATATAATTGCCATTTAGTTTTGGAAGTTAGACAAGAAGAATGTCTTATTAAACTATAACTCATGTTTTAATTAGGTGAATAAAATTTAGGTTATGACAAGCTTTGTATTAATTAGCAAACTAAAAAATCACAAGCTGCATTGGCAAACTAGCATTGCCCTTAATGAATGGGAAGAAAGGACAATGGGTTTGATGTCACACGATGAAATCTAGAAATAGAATTAAGTGAACTAGTAGACTTAATGTCCCTTTTTTTCTCCTATTGAAATTGATGTTTCTTTCTAAAAATTTAAAAATAATATAATATTAAAATGCATTAATTGTTTTTGTTGTGTTGTAATATACTATAATTATCTTTCTTTTTTTTTTCCCCTTCTAGCATTGTTTTTTGTTGTCTATTTATCCTTTAATTTTTGTTGTCTATTTATCCTTCTAGCATTTTTTTTTTCTTCACTTCCTTTACATGGATATTGAAAATTCAATAAACACAAAATCAAATTGGAGCGAAATATTTAAAAATAAAACTAAAATTACTAAAAAAAATCAATTTAATTTAGTTTTTGATTAACCGAGCCATTTGATTGCCCCTAAGGATTAGGGAAGTGTTGAGAATCTGGGCCTATGTGCACATTAATTAATCAAATTCAATTATTAATTCATTTAATATTTGGATTTTTAATGAGTTGAACTTACGTTTAATACAAAACGACTTGAATCATTTTATTTGGTTCACCTTTCTTATTATTTGTCTTTCACTTAACGTGTATTTATCCAACGTAGAAGTATCCACATACTTCAACACTCTCCCTTACCACTTGACAAGCATATAATGACCCAATACGGGCCCATCAAAGTACAACCCATATGGAAACTTTCCTCATGCAGATTCGAGTCTCAAACTCAGATAACATATTAAAAAATTTGAGTCTCATGAGTAAATTAATTAAATTCAATTAGTATTTTGGCTTATAATGAGTTAGATTTACTTTTAATACAAAATAATCTGATCGGTTACGGTTCACCTTCTTATTATATGAATTTTATTTAATGTGTATTTATCCAATTTGCACACTTCAACAGGAAGTAACCATATAGAAGAGATTTATGAAGTCTAATAATGGATTTTGAATAGAAAAAGGAAGGAGAATGTTTAGATTAGAGTGTTTTGCTTTAGTAAGTTGAGATAAAATGGGGTCTACTTGTGGATGGCTTGTCAAGAAAAGGCAATGGGTCCCATCTCATACTTAGGAAGTTAGTGGACCCAACCATAAATAGGTGATCTATTGCCACTACATACAGTGGTGATTTCTCAGTTAAGACTTTTTGTCAAAGTAAGCAAAAGGGTTAGCTTGCTTCTCTCTCTACATGTCTTTCCACTTTTTGTATGGGTCCCATTTCCTACACCAAGACCAGGCCTACTCAAACCCTAACCCATCATAGGCCCAGGGTTACTATTTTTATAAGATCCTAGCAATAATAGGCCCAATGTTACTAAATCAAACCCAATCTTAAGCTCACATCAACCGATTGTTGTTGGCCCAAATAAATGCCTTGTTACCACTTCCATAGCCTATATATTTTATAGGTCATTTCTAAATCGGAAAAGTAATTTATTTTAGATTTTTCAGCACTGATTTTTTTTTTTATATAGTAAGAATATTTTTTGAGATAATACAATAATAATATTACTTTATGTAATGGAATATAATTTCGTTTCATTATGATTTACTAAATATAATTAATAGAGTTTTACAATATTATTAACCCAATAAAAAAAATTAAGATTTAATTATCTGGGCCTTTTATCATGCCAATTACTATTAACTACACGTGTCAATAAATTTTGGAGAAGTGGGTATTGCTTCATTTTGTTGAATCTCAAAGGCTTTGATTGGATCTTTGCCCTACCTACTCTTGACTTATGTTTAAAAAATTAACTGCATAAAGAAACCTATAAGCTTATAGATTTGCAGACATGGCAGGAGCATTCCAAGCAAATATGGCAAACTCAACTTGGTTTCATTTTATCTTAACATAGAAATATTTAAAAGGGATGAAGCTATAATTGCCAAACATTGGACCACTAAATTATAAATTCAATTATCTCAACCTTTTTTATTTTGTGAAAATTCATTAAAAGTAATATTTATAATTTGTATTTCATGACACTCCAAGCAAGTGGTAACTTTAAGAAACAAATGGTTTGTAGCTAAAGATTTAATTTTTATATTTGATATGGTGATGTTTTTATTTAGGATTAAAGGAAGAAGGTTCGAACTTAGATCTATCTACTGAACTGTGTTTTGATATGTTAGCCTCAAACAATTGTTTAAAGAAATATAAGGTATATTTGATAAGCAAGCGGTTCTAAAAGGTTTGTTTTAATTGCAAAAATACATTTCAAAGGGTAGATTTAATCATATACCAAACAAGAAAGGTTGTACACTTTTAATTTCAACAATGTTTAGATAAAAAAGCTATTAAATTTGTCAAAAGAATTGGAAACCTAAACTTGAAATTGACTTATATTGGACCTTAGCGACCCAATGATTGGTGACTTTGGATAATGGTTTTAGCACCTTCAACAGACAACATCATTAGTTAGTTAAATCTTTTATCAAGTATAGCCCAACTGGGGGCCTAAGCCCAGAGTCTCAATCCTTCGTCTACAAATCTAGGGTAGCAAACTAACTAATTAATTGATTAGCGCAAATTCAAATAAGGTTTAGGTCATGGACTTGATTCTCGCAATGTAAATTTTTCAGATTAGCTATGGACTTGGATACTTCGTGCAAGTATAAAAAATAAACTATCTCTCTATATTATTTTATTTATATTTTATTATGTTGAATTATTTTTTAAGGAAATTAATCATTATTGGTAAATAATAAAAAATTATGAATTAAAAAATGAATATTTATAACGAGAAGTAACTCTTGCAATGCACGTTTTTAAATATCAATAGGCGTACGTGTTTTCTGAAACATAAATACTATAAGCAACTAATTCACTCTCATAATAAGATAACTTTTACTCATAAATATTAGAAAATTAAAATATTAATTGGATATATATAAAATATAAAATATTCTTAATTGAGTTAATCTTCCTGACTAAGTTAATATTCATCCTTTGTATAATAATAAAAAAAAAACTAAGAACTTTTCATGTCAAAAAAAAAAAAAAACAATATATTTATTAAGAATTTTATTTTAATTAATGTAAGAAGTTTAAAATACTTATAGTAATTGAGACATAAAATATTAAGACTTGTTTATGATTAAATACTTGGATTAATCTATATTTATATTTTTAGTTTTAAATTAAAACGTTTACTATTTATCGCTTTCAGTTAATAAAAAAATGAAAGTTTTATCTATCTTAAATAATTTCCTTATCCTCTCAAATACCTTATATAGTTATTAATAATATATATATATATATATATATCAAATAAAGAAATCATTAGAACAAACCGAACATTTTGCCTTGGGAGGCAAAGCCTCCACCAGGCATGGCCGGCAGCCACCGTCGACCTGCGACTGGGTTGGGCTGAGAATTAGCTCCTCTTATTACAACGGGTGCCTACCATGTGAGCTACGAGACACCGAGCATGAGTTACTTTACTGTTGATAAAAGACAATAAAATGGGTTCATCACAAAATAAAGCAGAAGAGGCGGAACTTCTTTTTTTCTTTTTGGCTTTTAAAAGAATTAAAAATTGAAAAACGTAAGAATTAAAGACAATTTATATCATAGTGTTTTAAATATTTTTATCATTTTAAAAAATGTACCTTCACAATATATACTTTTAGATTAAACTCGCTTAAACCAAATGTTTGAATTCTTTACAAATCAAATCAAAGCAATAAAAACATAAGTTTTTCAAATATCATTCTTCGTACGGATTCGTTCTTACTCAACTATGGAGCTCAAGGAATCATGAGTACCTCAACTTCTAACTAAGATTCGAGGACGAATCTTTTTGAGGAAAAGGGGAATGATACGGATTCGTTACCACTCAACCATAGAGCTCAAGGAAACATGGAAAACAACAAAGGAGATCCGTTGGTGCTTCCTAATGGACAAATTACAAGAAGTTATACAAAGAGATATGGGCAGCCATGTCCTTATATGTTTAAGACCAAGTTACATAAGAACTTCATGATCTTGCTTTCAACAAGTGTTCTTACATTGTTGGAGACATATGTCAATAGTGTAGCATGCCCTGGCCGTAATAGAGCCTAACTTTGGCATAATAAGTTAGCCCATTTGTGTTAGTTTTGAGGAGTAATGTTGTTAATGGATTGGGTCACCAATAAATTGGGCCACCCTTTTATTTTTATCCTTAGTTGGTTTGGATTAATTATTCTTTATCCTTAGTTTGTTTGGATTAGTTAATCGTTATATTTAGTCGGTTTGGATTAATTATTCCTTATCCTTAATTTGTTAAGGTTAGTTATTCTAAATCCTTTAGGATCAGGCTTTTTAAATTTTGTATAAATAGCTTTATTATGTTGTTAAACAAATCATTCAATGAATTAATAAATCTTCAGATTTGTTCATGTTTTTAGCGTGTTCTTTGATTAGAGTGATCGTGAGATTGCTTTCCTCTAATTGCATCAAGAATTAAGGTAAACTTATCAATTAACTTGTGACGTTTATCTTATTCTTTTTTACTCTATTATTGATGTTCTTGCTTCCTTAAATTTTGGGTGCCATAGAAGGGGAGTTTGATTTGATCTTTGAACTGTTTCAATCTTGTTATAGAGTTCTTGAATTAATTTTCATAGGGTTCCGAGTCGATTCTCACTTTATTTTTTTCTTTTTTCTTTAATATACGGTAAAAACTATCGTAATTTAATAAAATCTATTTTTCATTTATTCGATATATATATGATTTACCGTTATTGAATTTATATTGTTGATGTGACTAAGATAGAGAAAGAAAATAGAGTAGATAGTGCCAACAGGATACCCCATGCATGTCAATTCCAGCACTGTGAATCATGTATTCCTTATCTTGCTTTTTTTCTCACATGCTCAATAATTCTCCCTCGTGGGACATGGCACAAGCTTCCGTTGCACTTTGTCGTTTGTAGTCCATTATCCATGGGATCAAACATCTTTTTTTTTTTTTTTTTTTTTTTTTTTTTTTTTTTTTTTTTTTTTTTTTTTTTTGACATTCATGGGGTTCAAACATCTCCTCTCGTTTCAAACTTTTTTTCTCCCTGCTTATTGCAAATTTTTTTTATTTTTTTTAAAGATCCTACTAACTAAGAAACGAAAATCTTATCTCTTTTTTGCTACTGGTCGGAAATTTAAAAACTTGAAATATCTAAAGTTTTCAAATTTTATAATCTGCCCCAAATTCTAGAAATAAGGCTGTACTGAATTAAATCGATGAAATCAAAATCTATATCAAGTTGGTTTTTTTTTTTTTTTTTTTTTTTTTTTTGACATTCATGGGGTCAAACATCTCCTCTCGTTTCAAAACTTTTTTTCTCCTGCTTATTGCAAATTTTTTTTTTTTTTTTTAAAGATCCTACTAACTAAGAACGAAATCTTATCTCTTTTTTGCTACTGGTCGGAATTTAAACTTGAAATATCTAAAGTTTTCAAATTTAATATCTGCCCAAATTCTAGATAAGGCTGTACTGAATTAAATCGATGAAATCAAAATCTATATCAAGTTGGTTCAGTTAATTTTTAAACAAATTCGACTTATATTTTATAACTGAACGAAAAACCGAAATACAAAATTATCTAACATTATAAAAGCAAATCAAATCCATCATTTTAAATAACTAAACAGAAAAAAAAAAGATTTTATTCAATTTTTTTATTCTAATCTCTTTTTCCTCGCCGTCTTACAAAAAAAAATATCCATTTATATTCATGCACCAAAGATAACCTCACCTTGGAAAATTCTTATTTACCATATATATAGTAAATAAGAATTTTATGTAGATATATAGTAATAGAGAAACTCAATGTCGGAAACCTCTCATATCATACTTTCCTGATAATGGAAAGATGAACAACCACCGCAAATAATTGAACAAATCCCCGATCAACTGAGCTTTAATCAGGTACACAGATTTGCTGGTTTGCGGAATCCAACCCAAATCCACACCACTGATCCTCTGAGTTGGCTCTCTAAGGACCGACAATCATCAATCAGAACCTCACCCCACATCAAAATAATCTTTTGAAATTTTAGTGGAAAAAAAAAATAATAATAACGTTTTAGCTCTAATCAAGTAGAAATATCTTTTGGCTTCCAACATCATTTGTATTGATTCGACGTTTCTGCCGAAAATCATCAGTTAAAATCATTTGTAGCTTGAATATGTCGTAACAAAAAATAAGTACTATTAAAAAGATTGCATCAATTTAGCAAAAAAGTTTTTAAAAATTTATTTTGAAAAATTATCATAAAACCAAAAGTAAATTGAGAGTTTTGAAAGTTTCAAACCTTATGAAAACCATTAATTATTCCGGTTTCAAAAAATAAAGAACTTAAATATAGGATTTTCAATTACAGTGTGAAGAGAATTGTTGACCATAATCTGACGTCAGTTTTGATCGGTATAATTTTAATTCAAATTTGGTTTGAAATTGAATTATTAGATATTATTTTTTAAAAAAATTTAATATATTGGAATTTCATTAAAAATTTTAAATCAATACAAATAATGTATGGAAGACATGACCCTCTCTTCAATATCAGACATAAAATAAAACTATTATAAGTAAAATAAATTATTGGCTGATCTAATAAGAAATTCCAATGATATTTAGAATGTGAACTTGAAAAAATTAAAAGATCTTTAAAGTGGCCAGTTAGACGAACTCCCTGAATCTTCTGTATATAGCCTAATATCTATGAACTAATTACTTATGATGAAGATAGAGGATTTGAACTACCAAATTCAATAGAGACACAGATCATATTACCATAAACGCTTTCTAATCCACACGCACAATTTGTTAGTTACAAAATAATTTCCTTGCATTTTCTTGATTTATCTCTTCCATATGTTATTTTGGATTAAAATAATGGAAAATTTATAATAATATCCTTATACTTTATAAAAAAATTATATTCTTTAAATTTTGAGTTCTTTACACCATATTTTTCTTCTGTCCAATAATATTTTTACTATTTTAGAATATAAGTCAAAAATAAAATTAACGGTCTAAGGAGAGATAAAACTTTTTTATACCCTTTGCCTCTTCATCTTCTTCTTCCTCTTCCGGTCTCTCTTCCTTTCTCTCATAATCTAATTACCAAATAAATATTTTTTTTTGAATGTAAAATAAATAGTTCAATAGTGCTAAAAATTTAAACAGAATGAATGGCTTTACCGAATAATAAAGGTATATGGTAATAATAATTTAAAACTTTTTTTTTTTCATAAATAGAGAAAATACATTTTATCGAAAGGTGCTTTTATTGAAGCTATTGATGAAAAAATAATTAGAAAAAACAAGAATAAATTTATGGATAAAGAGACAAAGAACAGGGGAGAAAAATCGAAGGAAAACTAACAAACAACCTGGTAGAAATTCTCCCAACATTTCAAAAACAAGGCCAATGAACTATCACGTGTCCGATCTATCTTTTCAGACCACTGGGATTTCGCCGCGTTTATTCAACAAACCAACAGCAGAAACCAATGCTTCTTGTCCCTTTTTTCATTGGGTGGGGTCAAGAGTACCATGCCATTTTTGTTGTTTCTCTCTGTCTTAGCGCAAACGAGATTTGAGTTTTGGAGAGTGAGTTGAGTCCCACCGTATTATTAACATTATACTAACAGGATCAATCTTATATGTTTATAAATTTCAAGCTCCAGAAATGCTTGTATTCGAGTGCTTATACGTGATTCTACAGTGATTTAGAATGAGGTGTTTAGCCGGAACGTAAGATTTAAATAATCTTTCTTTTTTTGAACTAATTTTTAGAGAGCAACAGATGTCGTCGGATCAATGTCATTAACCGTGGATGCCTTATATATATATTATTGTCCGACAAAATTAGGTTAAAACGAACCGTTTTACTATAAAAATAGAAAGCAGACATATATATAGTGTACTTGACTACTTGCCTAATATATACTATATTATTGTCTAAAAAACATTAGGTTAAAACTAATATAAATATAAAAAGCAGACATATGGACAAGAATGAGAATTTTGATCGGTGGCCAGTCACATGGCCCTCGGCATTGTTGGCCACCATGTGTGTCTCTCACTTAAATTACCAATTATAGTTTCTTTTGACACTTCAGCGACCAATATGAATTGGTTATAATAATAAAGAAGGTTTGAGTTCAACGGATAGAATTTTGAAAATATTAATTAAGATTTGTTGGCGCAATGTGGATGTATTATTAGATAATTGGGTGTTTAAATCATTTAAAAATTATAATTAATTATATCTGATTAATAAGTCTGTAAAGTCTCTCACTTCTAATCTTGTAGATATAATTTATTTATACAATCTACTTTAACTAATTTATACCAGTATTAAGTAGACTTTAAATAGTATTTGAAATGTATGTGAATTTATGAGTTCAATTAAATAGTTAAATTTCATTGAAAACCACTATTTATTCAACGGCTAAATTTCATTGGCCTATTGACTAAGATCAAGTCATCAGATCGAATGGCTACAAACATTCAGGGTGTAAAGACAGTAACTAGGAAAGTGAACCTATGTTCGGGTAGACCGGAACGCGGAAACTTGAAAATGCGAAATTGTGTAAATTCGAAAACGAGATGTAAAACGAGATTTTGAAACAAGAAGTTCTTATACCGCCAACGTTATTTGAATATAGCCTCCAACTTTATCGGAGAAACATATTCTCGTCAGTCGTCACGTAATATTCCATTGGCATATCCATCTTTTAACCCGGCTATGCCCAACCCATCTTCTTACCTCTATAAATACCTCCCATTCCTCCGTGTCAAAATTCATACACAACACAACAGTTTCTTCTTTCTTTCTTTCAGACTTTTTGCAGAAAGTTTTAACTTTTTAGCAATGGCAGGAATCGTTGTGATTTTTGATTTTGATTTTACTATTGTTGATGTTGAAAGCGATAATTGGATTGTTGATGGACTAGGTTTTACTGATTTGTTCAATCAACTCCTCCCCACCATGCCTTGGAACTCTCTCATGGTTAGTATCAAGAATTGTTCTTTTTCTTTCTTTTTAATTACTGTTCATTTCTGGTTTCTCTGTTTAAATATCCAATCAATTAATAGTACACTCCAGTTCCTTATTTTGTTCAAGCTTGGAAATTACAGGGTAGGATGATGAAGGAGATTCATTCACATGGAAAAACCACTGAAGACATTGCTGAAGTCTTGAAACGTATTCCGGTTATTCCCAGGGTTGTTCCCGCCATGGAGGCCGCCCACGCTCTAGGGTACAATAAGTCTGCCTGCCTTTACTTTTTTTTTTTTTTTTTTTTAAAGGAGATTCATTCAACATGAAAAACCCACTGAAGACAATTGCTGAAGTCTTGAAAAGCGTATTCCGGTTATTCCCCAGGGTTGTTCCCGCCATGGAGGCCGCCCACGCTGCTAGGGTACATAAGTCCTGCCCTGCCTTTACTTTTTTTTTTTTTTTTTTTTCAAGTTTAAAATAATTTTTTCTGCATGTTGAATAATTAATTAATTAATGAATTTTTTTTTTTTTTTTTTTTTTTCAGTTTAAAATAATTTTCTTGCATGTTGATAATTAATTAATTAATGAATTTCAGGTGTGAGTTGAGGATTCTTAGTGATGCAAATACGTTCACCATTGAGACAGTCTTGAAGCATCTTGGAGTAAGGGATTATTTCTCCGAAATTAACACAAATCCAGGATTTGTGGATGAAGAAGGGAGATTAAGGATTTCTCCTTATCATGATTTTACTAAATCTCCCCATGGCTGCCCCCGTTGCCCACCAAACATGTGCAAGGTATATACTTTATTTTATAATTATTAGAATTTATCAGATTCTTTTAAGATAATATTATTTATATGGTCAAGGTATGGACACACGGAAGCCCTGTTTGTAAGATATCTGTCAAACAGATTCTAAAATATGAATCCATCCATGAACCGAACGAATCAAAATAGAGATTTTAGCTTAAATGAATTTGGCAATACATATATCTGGTTGCTGTCAAATTGTGTACTTTTATGACAAAAGTTCTATTTATATATTCAGATACTTCTGCATTTTAGCACTGATTTAATCTTAACTTTGCATTTAAAAAAAGAAAAGAAAAAGAAAATTTCGTAACTTGGATTTTTTTTTTTTTTGGTGAAAAAGAAAAGAAAATCCTAATTTTGTGTTTTTGTGTGAAATAGAGTCCTATACTGGAAAGAATCCAAGCTTCAATATCAAGAGAAGGAAAGAGAATAATCTATATTGGAGATGGAAGTGGAGATTATTGTCCAAGTTTGAAGCTCAGAGAGTCAGATTATCTGATGCCAAGGAAGAATTATCCAATGTGGGATTTAATTTGCAAAAATCCAAAGCTTGTAAAGGCAGAACTTCGTGAATGGTCTGATGGGGAAGAGCTCGAACATAATTTGATTCATCTTATTAATGAAATTTCTGCGGAAGAGAGTAATGGAAACTCTGCACAGTTATCCTCAGCTGATTGCAAGTTGCATAATATATCAATTGCTGTCCATGAAACCTTCCCTGAACCTCTCTTTGTTCCTCATTAATGGTATCAATTGTTGTCTACCATATCAACTATTTTTATTTTTTTAAGCTTTCTTGGTTTAACAAGAAGCATGTACCTTTGTAATGCTATTTCTGATCAAGCATTGATTCGAGAAAATAATCTATGTACCTAGTTTGATTTCACCTGTAAATCTATGGTTTAGGCATAAAGTTTCGATGTTAGATAGGTAAGCAAAGGTTCTGAATTAATAAATGTAGGTTAGTTTTTTGAGTGGATGTCAGTATCAATTCAGATTCCACTCCGTCCAAACTCCTCAAGAATGGATTTTTTTTTTTCCTCTTACCTCTCATTTAACGGTTATACGACAGACTAATCCCTTTTAGACTGAAGAGTAATTACATTTAAAGTCCTTTCCAAAAGTCAACTGTATGACTTGATCTGCAATCAACAAGATGGAATTAGTGCATTTAACTACTAGATCTTTTACTATTCTAAAAGCAATGATAGTTTAAATAATTGATCTCTTGATGTTTTGGGTTGCCTTAATAGACGGGTTATCCTAAATATACTTTACTGTGTTGATTGATGGGATTGAGTTTGAATTCTGCTGCAATTGGGATGTTATAAAATATAACCATAATAATATTTGTGTAAAGAAAAAATAGCCATGGCAGTGGGCGTCACACGTGAGCTGAATCTGTTGGCTATATCTGCTGTGGAAATAACTAGAAATTGCTAGTTATTAAACTTTTACATCACATATGGCTGCTTCTTGGCCTTGCAGTTCTGAAAAGTCAACAAAGATCTTTGCCATCCCATGTTTCAAACTTGTATATGTGCCACTCCAGAAACTTCATTTCATCTTCTTTTGGCAGGTGAATGAATTTGGACACTTTTTTGGTTGAATTTGATTATAATGGCAATGTACAATAATTCTCTTATAAAAAATTATAATTCTTAGAACTTTTATTATTGATTATTTCCTTATAATTTATATAGTTGAATCTTTGATATACATCAAGTGAATTTAAAATTTATACAAAATTTTAGATTTTGGAATATATTCGTTAAATGAAATATTAGGTACATTTATCATTTTCTTTTTTCAAGGTTATCCCATTAATAAGTGTTGTATTCAATTATATATAATCTTAGACCCACCTTAACTTCGGTCATCATCAAGTGGGTAAAAACAGAAAATTAAGAGTTAGATAGTAAATCAGGGTCGAACTGATTTTTTTTTAAAAGATAATTATATACTATATAAAATAATTCAAACTTAATAATTTTATTTACAAATAATTTTTATGGATTATAAAAATAAATTGAAAGTAATAAAAAATTATTAAAATAAAATATTATAATAATTACACTTCTCTATAATAATAGTTTTAGCAAAAATTGGAAATAAATATTATGTTATACTAAACAAAGTAAATAGTCAAAAATTTTTAAATATCCGATTTCGGTTACGGTTTAGAACTTGAAACCGTTGACCAAGGTTTGATTTCAGTTTTAACTGGTTCGGTGGTTTGAAACCAAACCGATCAATTTTAAATGTGAGCTAAATCTGAATTAGAAAATTGATCATTTTACGATTCGATCGATTATATAATGTGCACATGAATCTTCATATTCGGAGAGTGATTTTGAAATAAAATACTTCCGTATAATAGCAGTGATTTGATGGTTTTTGGAGCTTATTTTTACTAATTTCATTAGTAGGTATCTTATATTTGCACTATATCAACTTTATAAAAATAAGTAATATTCTATATTACTATAAATAATTTAATATTCTTGCTATTGTTCCTAACTATGCTATTCTATTTTCTTGAGAGTTGGAACCCATTTATAAAGTGAATGCTTTTTAATAGGATATAAATCCTAATGAATAATTATAAAAGCTATTGTACTGCAACTTTTTAGAGAAGCTAGAATAATTCTCCATCAGCTTGAGAGGACTAAGTTTAAAAAAAAGCTTAGACAAACTATAATTATTCTTCAGGAATTAGGAAAGGAATATCTTCAATATCTAATGGTTTTGAGTAGCCTAACTTACACAAAGGATTAATCCAATAACATTTCATTTTGCAGAAAGAAAACAAATTGTCTAAGCTAGTTTTGATTGTTTCTTTTTCTCCTTTTCACCAAATAGGGTAGGCTTTTTCTGATTCTAGTTGAGAAGCAAAATGACTGAAATTTCAAGCAAGGAAAATGCTAATGAAACCCAAACTATTCCTCTAAACGTAAACCAACCAGCTTAAATGCTAGTTACAGCACAGCAGATTAAAACCACCACAGATATCCAGTCTGTTCTGCTATCAGTGAAACATTAATAAAAATTACAGCACAAAGCAGATTAAACCACCACAGATAAATCCAAGTCTGTTCTGCATCAAGTGAAACATTAATAAAAAAAAAAAAAAAAAAAAAATATATATATATATATATATATATATATATATAATTGATGTTATATATAATTGATGTAAAATGTGATTAAGGAAAAGTAAGAATTTACGGAGGAAAAAGGAATTGAAAAGGCAAGAAAAATCCAAAGAAAAAGTAGAAAGAAACCAACAGAAAACAACGAAAAGTGTTGAAATGATCGTGAACTTTAGCAAAGACGAGAGATAATATATCACGTTATCCTGCACCAAGTGTAATATACTTTTCAACCAATTAGCAGCATTTTAGCTGCACACTACAATCTCATGGCCACGTAAATTCAACAAAGCAACAGAAGAAGACAATGCTTCTTCTCCCTTTTTTTCTTGGGTGGAGTATACTATATATGTCTATGGTGTCATTTTTTTGTTTTTTTCGGTAACCAAGAAGCAGAAAAAGAAACTATAACAGATCAGATGTAAGCACTTCAGTTACGTATAATAACTAATGAGAAAAGAAAAGAAAATAGTGAAAGAGAAAGTAGTGGTAGAATAATACTAGAAACTAGGTTAAAGTATTTTGCTTTTCTTTAATGGAAGATGTGTGGTGAGGTGCATGAAGACATATTAAAAGATCCTTCGGTAAAAATTAAACAGAAAGAATGCATCAATTGCATCATAAGCCACGCTCAAAAATCTATAAGCAAGCCATCACAATGTGTGTGATATAAGGGCAAACAACAAAACATGGGACTCACTAGCTACCAATCACTACAAAAAAATCGCCGATTTGCGACCGCCTAAAATCGGTTGCAATTTTGTGACCGAATTGCGACCTATAGACAAACAGTCGCTAATTGTAGCGCTAAAAATTCTCGTGAGTTTGTTTTTCAGTTTGCGACTAGTGTACTATAGATTTGCGACCGATTTGCGACAATGTTTTTTCCGTCGCAAAATTGCACGCTTCAAAATTAGGAATAAGTTCTGAGACCGATTTGCGACTGATTTGCGACCGATTTTTTACGACCGACAGGTTGAGTCGCAAATCGGTCGCAATTTTATTGCGAAGTAAAACGACGTCGCTGAGTTAAAAAATTGCGACCGATATTAATGACATTTAGTAAAACGACGGTCGCTGAGGTTAAAAAAATGCGACCGATATTAATTGACATTTGCAAACCGATCAGTCAGTCGGAAATTTTAAATTTTAGGGCTTTAAACGCCAGACACCCTCCTTCTTCTTTCTTCTTTCTTTCTTCTCCTCCTCCTCTCCTCTCCTCCATTCGCAGCGCCGCTCCAGTCCTTCTTGACGCCGTTCCAGCCCGCCTGACGCCGCCATCTCTGCTCCATTGCAACTCCGGTCACTCCATTGCTATTTGGACACAAGTTGAGGTAAGTCTTGCAATTTTTTTTTCGATTTTTTTTAGGGCACTAAATTAGGGGCGAATTATTAAATATCTACCACTGCCCATATAATTTTTTAGGGCAAAATATTAGAGCGCCCAACTGCACGCCATGTTTTAGAGATGCCCAGTTGAATTGAACAAAAATACCTCAACAAAACCCTTTCATCTCTTGAATTGAACAAAAATACCTCAACAAAACCCTTTCATCTCTTCTCTTCGTTGTATTATCCTATCCTCTTCTCAGATTCAGCTGCATTCATCGGGTGAAGATTCACAAGTAATTACAAATTGATTTAATTTTTTCATTATTAAAAGTTGATTGACATCTCCTTGTTAATCATTCTGTAATTGTTATTTTTTATCTTTGTTTTTTTTTTTAATTTTTAATTATCATGCCTTATTTGATCGAGACACTCTTATTCATCTTTCTCTTTACACGTTAAGGAGACCATAAATGGTAGCAAACTGTTTGTTGTGATTTTTTTTATTTGGAAAATCTGGTTTGGAAAATAGTAACTTATTTTCGTTATGATTATGAAGTTTTAACCAAATAGTAGTCTGTTTTTGTTAAATCAAAGTGTGTTTTAATGTTTTTAAATTCATTAATATAGAAGAGGACAATTGGAATGGAGCAACCACCAGTTGTGCATCCTAGTGCGATCTCCATGTCCTATTATTTGTGAATATTGTTTTGCAAATTTTGTAGTATCATATATTGACCAATGAGAGTGGATATAAGTGAAAGAGTATCATATATTGACCAATGAGAGTGGATATAAGTGAATATTAAAGTAGTTTTTTTAGGCTAAGTGCTATATTCTGGTCATACATTCAAAGACCATATCAATTATATTAGATGATTCAAAAAGCTTATTATGTATGATACATGTTTGAAGTAATAGTTTAGGACTTGAAAGATTTAGCTACAAGTGAAATTGCATGGAATTAGCACAAGAAATATGAATAAACTAAATAATTATTATGATCTAATTAGGGGCTAATTATATTCAGTACTGAAAAATTCTTCTATCCCCTATTTCTACCCTTTGATAAATATAAACAAAAGGATTAATTTTTATATGCAGATATTGGATCACAAATAAATTAAGTGAAAAAAATAAGACGTTAAATAATAAGAATAACAGTGAATGGTAATGACATGATATAATCAACATGCAGTTTAGAATAGGAAAATATCTTATATTCAAATTAAAATTATTTGCAATTTACCAATGGTAGCAGATAAGGAATTACAAAATAGAAAAAGATTTGATGGACAAATTTAAAATCAGTTTGTATAATGTGTCAATTTGCTTATACTTTAAAGTTAAAGTTGTAACTCTTTCTAATTAAAGTTGAACTATTTCCTCATCAATGGACCATTTATTCAAGTTTGTAGTTACTATTTTAGGATACAAAAATTAAAATTATGTTTACCATTAAACATGTAGCTCCAAGGTTGAAGTATTTTTCATTTTATTGTTATCTTCCCAATATGAACTTTTTAGTTTCAAGCATTTGATATTTTATTCAAGCATTTGATATTTTACACTTGTTACAAGAGCTAATAATAAATCATACCATTTACACTTGTTACATTTTGTATATATTGGGTTGTCTCTCTTGCTAATTATATGTTGGCAAAGGTAATGTGTACCGTGCTATCATCCAAGTATTTGTCAGAGTCATGAATAAGGTAATGCAACCTAAACTCATTGTAATGAAGGGATGAATCACAGTAGTATAGTTATCATATGTTAATGATAAATTTCTGTTATCCAAAATTATGACCGTTTAATGTCGCAATATAATTGTTGTTTGACAGTATGTGGAGCAGTTGTGGAAATTATTTTCGAGAAAAAATGATATTGCAATTGGGAACGTTGCGGAACTAGTGAATCCCTTCGGATACCAAGTTCTGCAGTACCCAGCAACAGTGAGCGGTGCAGTGAGCCATAGATGATTGGCATGTTGAAGAGCCAGGTAAAGGATATTGTCCAAAAAAAAAAAAAGCAAATTGAAAGAGAAGATGAAAGTAACATCGGGTGACAATTTTTTTAAAAGAGGGGCCATGTTACCCTAATTTATAGGCTACAATATAAGGAGTTGGAATATGGTGCTGCAAAGCACTGTATTTGCAACTGTTATTAATGTAGAAGTGGAACATATTTTTCTGGGTGGCTATAATATATGTTGAATAAGTTCACTGCTATAAAAATATAATGTGAATAAGTTCACTGATTTTAGTTTTTTTTTTTTTTTTTGTAGGAGTTTTAGTTTGGGTTTTGATATTGGTGTTCTTTTAGTTTTTATTTGTTTTTGTGACATTTTGTTACATTTTTATATTGTTTTGAATTGGCGTTTGTGATATATAATTATATATGTCATTTTCACAGGTGCGAAAAAATTATGGTTTTATTAATAATATTATTTTTTTAAAAAAATGAATTGCGTTTGTGATATATATATATATGTCAATTTTCACAGGTGCGAAAAAATTATGGTTTTATAATAATATTTATTTTTTTAAAATTTTTTCAATATTGCGACCAATTTGCGACCGATTAGCAACCAAAAATAAAAATTTTAAATTTACAATTTGCGACCGACTTGCGACAGAATTTTCTGCGACCAATTTGCAACCGCTTTTTGCAACTGAAAACACAACCAAAATTTGCGACCGATTTTTTTCAATTTTGAGACCGATTTATTGGTCGCTAATTTGCGACTGACGAAAAAATCGGTTACAAAATATTTTGCGACGAACATATTTGCGACCGACAAATATCGGTCGCTAATTGAATTTAGCGACCGATTTTTTGGCATTGGTCGGTCGCAAAATGCCTTTTTTTTTTTGTAGTGAATGAACTTAATATTATATTTTTTGACACGTTGTAAATTGTAAAAAAAAAAAAAAACTCTGGAATTCTAACATTTTGCACTTAAAAAAAATACATGCTATAAATTATTACTTCAATACTTAAATATTTTTCTTAAAGATAATCTTAGTGCTCCACCGTCTAAAAAGAAATAAATCTACATTGAAAAATGGAGGAATATTTCTTCTCTTTCTCACTCTTACGTGTTCTTTTCGTTCATAAATATAAATCGTTTAAAATTATCACACAATAATTAAATAAATAATTAATTCTTCAAAACTATGGAGATAGTTAAATAAGCATAAAATTGAAAATATTTTATTAATTACTCTTAAATATTTTTAAAACAATTTATATTTGTGAAAAAAAAAACTATTTATATTTATGCACGTTAAGAGGATAAAAGATTGCAAATTGTAGAGAATTTTTTAAGAGGATAAAATGCAGCAAATTTTAGAGAATTTGGTAGATTGCCACTAAGTACAAAAGTACAACTTCACTTATTACTTATTTTTTAGAATTCGTATATCTAAACTAATTTCATGATTTTATATTTCTGATCATATACTGGAAAAAATGATAAAATAAGAAAATTTTTTATTAATTTAATCTATGAATGAGGTTATAAACCCGATTTAAACAAGTACAACCCATATATATATTTTTTTATTTCTATTATCAATACAACTTTCAATTAAACAGGACATTATATTTTCCTTATATAACAAAAGTAACTTATTCTTAATTTCCAAAGGAAAAAAAATATAGTCCTAATTAAGTACAATTGATTTATCAATTTAACCTTTTAAAAATATTATTATCATTTATCATTTACTAATTATATTATTGTGGATATTATTATCTTTTATAACTTTTGAGCAATTTACTCTCTAAAAAGTTTATTCACGTAAGAAATATATAAAGTAACTTTCTTAAAAGTGTATATTTTTGAAAGTGAATTTTCTTAAAAATAGACCATCTTAAACTAATTAAATTAATTTTTGATCGAATAACTAAGTTTGTGTTCGGCAGATACTTTTTAAGTAGTTTTTAAAAGTTACGATATTGTTTTGTAAAAAGTTAACTCATGTAACGTTTAACTTTTAACATTTCGTGAAAAACTACTTTACCAAAACACTTAATTTTACAGAACATATGCTAAATAATATACTTTTGCTTGTAATTTTGATTCTAATGAAGGTTCAACTTCGAAATTAAAAATGGCTGCTGATGCTTTTTATTAATTAGTTGATAACAATAAATTAAACATGCAATGTAGAAGTTACGTATAAGATTTTGTAACATTTATTTATTTATATATTACATTACGATTAGGAGATATTATTAAAAAGACACAAGTTGAAGCTGAGAACCTTATAATTACAAATATTAAACTCAAAAAACAAAAAATAATGACAAGCTCAAAGCCCACCAAAGGCCATGGGAGACCTGTCCTTAAAATCAATTGCCACAATTTCAAATCGTTGCCTATACAAAAGAATCTGATACGACACTTGTCCTTGCTTACCCAATTTTCTATATTATATTTATAATTGGTTTAGGAAAATTAAAATCAAATTTGAAGAAGCAACAATGTCTTGACACACCTTACTTGGCTACAAAAAAAAAATAATAAAATCTAACATAATTATTTTATTGAAAATATTAATGATTTTAAATTTTAAGACCTTGATTGATATAATTTTTATAATTTAATTCAATGCTTGATGTGAAATTTGAATTAAAGTTTTATAATTTATAAATAAATTTTATAATTAATTTAAATTCGTTTATATCCTATTAATAATTTGAGAAACGAAATCTCAGTAATATTTTCTTGTATTAACTTGATAACATAAAAGAAAAAAAAAATATTACTAGAAAACTTAAAATGGGTGGGTGCAATGTGAGCACGCTCCATTTGGGAAGTTGGTTTCAAAGATTTAGCTTAGCTTAGCTTAGCAGCCACACGAGGCACAAAAAAAAGATTCCAAGATCACCGACAAGGACTCTTCTCGGTATATTCTCTTCTGATAACAATGCCTTAGAAAATGCGGTACAAGTGTGTTTCAAAGGTGGCCAACTGAATTTCGTATCCCTAGAATATTCCCTTATTCCCGCGTTTATGTTTTTTCCAGAAATCCATGAAATTTATATGCTACAAATATAATAAATGTGTAATAGAATTATAATGTAATTATATTTATAAATATAAATTATTACTAATAACGTTGGTGGTTCTCTTTAAAAAAAAATAATGTGTTGGTGGTGAGAGTTACATATATCCCTAGTCCATTGGGCGAGGATTAAGCGGGTGTTCGGTAACAGTTTGTAAATAATTTTTAGTGTTTTAACAACGCTATGTTTATAGTGTTCTGTAATATATGTTTAGCGTTTTAATAACGCTATTTTTATAGTGTTTTGTAACATAGGATTTGGACCCTTAGTTTTTAGAGATTAATGTAGCGTTTTATAAAAGGTTAATTTTGAAATATTTATTATATTAAAACAGCTAACAGATATCAAAACAACTAATTTTACCGAATAGATACTAAATCTTGTTCGTATTCAGTTAGTCTATTGACAAAAAAAAAAAAAAAAAAAAAAATCTTGTTTCGATATTCAGTTTAGTCTATTTTGAACCAAAATAAAAAAAAAAAAAAAAATCTAAATGCAGTATTTGCTATTAATTATTTATTAAATATCGAAAACTCTTAAACGTTTATTTTAAGAGGAAATATTTCAAACCACATTTTAATAGTTACATAGTTAATGTTTTAAATAGTTAAATCAAAAAAAAAAAAAAAAAAAAAATCTAAATGAGTATTTGCTTTATTTATAAATATCGAACTCTTAACTTTATTTTAAGAGAAATAATTTCAAACCACCCATTTTAATAGTACTAGTTAATGTTTTAAATAGTTAATCCGATTCTAATTAGGATTTGAATTTTAATTTTAGAGGCCATTATATAATTAGCAGCGACCAAAATTTCATGGGAAAAATCACTATTTATTCAACAACAGCTAAGATCAGAAAAAATTAGGTTTGATCAACATCCTTTTGACATTAGGTCAACATCAATGTAATTGAATCGAACGGCTAAGAACAGACAGGATTCAATATTAGGGTTGAGGATACCATATTAGATAGGTGACCCAAATTAACGGACTGCTGCTTCCTACTTTACCAGAGAAGAATCATTTTCACGTAATATTCCAATGGCATCTAGGAATCGATTTGTTGAGTTGTAACTATTATTCTTCACGAACACACATGCGTAACACAGGCTATTTGCCATCTTTTTACCCATATAAATACCCTCCTTCCTCTGTTTCTAAATCCACACAAGTCAAAAACTTCTTTCTTTCAGATTCTTCGCAGAAATCTTAATTTACTAGAAATGGCGGGAATTGTTGTGATTTTTGATTTTGATAAGACTATTATTGACGTTGATAGCGACAATTGGGTCATTGATGAACTGGGTTTTACTGATTTGTTCAATCAACTCCTCCCCACCATGCCTTGGAACTCTCTCATGGTTAGTATCAAGAATGTTCTTTTTCTTTCTTTCTTTCTTTCTTCTCTTTTTAAACATTTATTGTTTTTGTTTTCTTTTCTTTAGTAACTTTTGTTGGGTTAATTTCGTTTCAACTCCTCGTTTTCATTTGTAATAAAACTATTTTCTTTATGGAAATTGCAGGATAAGATGATGAAGGAGCTTCATTCACAAGGAAAAACCATTGAAGACATTGTTCAAGTCTTGAAACGTGTTCCTATTCATCCCAGGATTGTTCCTGCTATTAAGTCGGCTCATGCTCTAGGGTACAATAAGTCTACCTCTCTTAAATTTTTCTTCTTTTTTTTTTTTTTTTGGTTTAAAATAATTTTCTTGCACTTTCATTAATGAATTAAAGTAATTAATTAATTAATTTCAGGTGTGAGTTAAGGATTGTTAGTGATGCAAATATGTTCTTCATTGAGACAATCTTGGAACATCTTGGAGTAAGGGATTGTTTCTCAGAAATTAACACAAATCCAGGATATGTTGATGAAGAAGGGAGATTAAGAATTTTCCCTTACCATGATTTTACTCAATCTTCTCATGGTTGCAGCCGTTGCCCACCAAACATGTGCAAGGTATATACTTTATTTTATATTATAAGAGTTTATCTAAGATAATATTATTTAGAAATTGGTTATGGTCATGCAAAACCTGGATACACGTAAGCCAACCCTTGTTTATAAGGGTCAAACAGAGTATTATTGTAAAAAAAAAAAAAAAATCATGAAATTATAGTATTAGTTACCTGGGTCCAGAATGTTTGGAACCTATATTTGATTTAATCTTATTTTAGATTATGTTCTTGACAATATTTCTGTCATGTTCTTTTGTGACCCACCAATATTATCACCAAATATTTCTATAAAATATTGACAACTGATCGAAATATATAAAAAATTTGTATTTTAGCATGAATTAATCTTGGGATTTCAGTTTTTAAGTTTTGTTTTGTAATAAGAAAAGGAAATTCTAAATTTGTGGTTGTGTGTGAAACAGGCTCTCATACTTGAAAGAATCCAAACTTCAATAGCAAAGGAAGGAAACAAGAAAATAGTCTATCTTGGAGATGGAATTGGAGATTATTGCCCGAGTTTGAAGCTTACAGAGTCAGATTATCTGATGCCAAGAAAGAATTTTCCAGTGTGGGATTTGATTTGCAGAAATCCAATGCTTATAAAGGCAGAAATCCATGAATGGAGTGATGGGGAAGAGCTTGAACATATTTTGCTTCAAATTATTAATAAAATTTCAATGGAAGAAAGTAATGGAATCTCTGCTCAGTTATTCTCAGCTGATTGCAAGTTGCAGAATATATCAATTGCTGGCCATGAAACCTTGCCTAAAGCTCTCTCAGTTCCTCATTAGTGATATCAACCTCTAATAACCCAATTATGGGAAGATGCCATGTCTATCAAGTTAACTGTGATTTTATCTTTTAAGCTTTCTTGGTTAAACAAGAAACATGTAGCTCTGTAATGTTACTTCTGATCAAGAATTGATCCAAGAACTGATCAAGAATTGATCCAAGAAATGATCAATACACCAAATTTTAGTTTCACTTGTAAATTTTGATTGTACTGTTAGTTTATCTCTTGTTTGGAATAAATGAATTGTACAAAATTTTGTAAAATTTATTTATAGTCCGAATTTTCTGTGTTTGATTTAAAAAAAAAAAAAGAAAAATGAAGATTTAAAAATTTTAAAAATTGAATTATACAGATTTAATATAACTAGATCAAATTCCTAATAATCCTTCTAATTTTTAAATTGAATCCACGTTTTAAATTCATTTATCAAATAAATTCTTAAAGATATAGTTCAAATTAAGTAACAACAAAAAATTATGCTATAGGGATAAAAATTCCGAGATAAGGAAAAGCTATGAACTTATAAATATAAGTTCAAAGTAATATCAAAATCAATTTAGACAATAAGCTGAGGTTTGGGCAGTATATGAAGGCATTAAATTGGCCAAGAGTTTAAAGATTGTTAAATTGCTAATTGATTGTGGTAATAGGCTGGTAATAGATTGGATTAATTCAGATGATTTGCCTACTAAAAGTTGTAAAGGGGTTGGTGAAGAATTTATTACATTGAAGTGGTTTCCATGTATATAATAAAGAATCTAATTTCAACATTTGATTGGTTGTCATGTTCTATCTCATCCTCCTTTTGATTTAGATCATGATTGTGCTTTCTTCCCTGATTGGTTGTCATCTTCTCATAATGGTTTTGTTTAGTTCTTTTTGAGCTTGTGCTCCCTTATTGTAGTAAAAAAAAAATCAATTTAGAGATCCAAAGTCCTCAAGAATGGAATTTTTTTTTTTTTTTGATAAATATAATATTAGGTGGACATGATCATAGGAAAAGTAAGATTTCGAATAGAGAGTACTACATGCACGAGACTCCTGACATTACAAGCGTTTCTAGAGAGTGATCTTTGTGTAGCATAATCTAGCCTCTTCATACTCTCCCAAATTCTATTTTTAATACAAGTTCTAGTAGTGCAGGAATGCCTAGAAATTTCCATCATGAAAGAGCGCCTCTTTGGCCTTGCAGTTTTGAAAAGTCTAGAAAACTGTTAGCGTTCGTTCCCATATTTCAAACTTATGTGTGGAAAATGATCGACACGTATATGTCGATTGTGATTAAAACACTCCATGCTACTTGAAAAATTATTCGATAATATAATGTTTGGATTAAATTTTAGATATCATTTTATAAAAAGTTAATTCTTATAATATTTAACTTTTAATGTTTCGTGAAAAGCTATTCAAATATTCACCGACTAAACGCTTTAAAATAGCTAATTTTATCAAAAATGCCTCTAAATAAGCTGCCATTCCAATTCCCTTCCATAAGGAAAATAATTCTTTAGAATGAAAGCTAAACAAGTTTCACTAATTTTTTTTAGCAAGCATATTCTTGATTAAGTACCAATTTATTATATTACCTAACATATACTCTAAATTTATATTATTAACATTATCGTCTTTTACAAGATGAAAACAATTTATTTTTTGAAAAATTAATTTATAAAATACCAAAAACATACAAATCATATTTTCTAGGAATTAGATTTCGCAGAAGGTACTCCCACGGAATATCCATAGGGTTTATTTTTCAAGTATCTTTCTACCATCCTCATCCTAAAATAGACATAAGCAACTTGCAGTTTCAAAAAAAAATTAAAAAAAAAAAAAAAAAAAAATGAACATAAGCAATTTTGCAGTTTTCAAAAAAAAAAAATAAAAAAAAAAAAAAAAAAGACATAAGCGAATTACACGCGGTCGTTTTGTCTTTGTCAATTAAGTATCTTGGTCAGTATCAAACGAAACCGTCGTTTCTCTAGTAAGGGATTGTCGGTTTTCCTTTTTTTAGCTTACACTGGGGAGGGAGGTCTCAATTTCAAATTTTATATGCAGAACAGGAATTCTATTTAATATTGTAAGAGTTTCTTCTGCAACTTAACCAGTATTCTGCTACAAGCTTAGAGAAGCTAGAATTATTTTCCATCAGCTTTGAAGGTTCATCATATTCCAATATTTTTCCTGCAAATTAATTAACCAATTAGTTTTCTTAAAGCACTAAAGAATGTGATTCAACTAATTAAGAAAATGGCAACATACCATAAGAGAGGACCATGACCATGTCACTGTCCATAACAGTTGGAACCCTGTGAGCCACAGTAATAACTGTACATCCTGAGAATTCTTGTCTGATAATTCTTTGTAAAATTGCATCAGTAGCAGAGTCAATTGAAGCAGTAGCTTCATCTAGTACTAGAATTTTGTTTCTCCTTAAAAGGACTCTTCCTAGACAAAACAGTTGCCTCTGCCCGCCGCTCCAATTTTCACCTTCATCACTCACTGCATGTATATTACAATTCACTAAACTCAGCCTATAGCATTTTTCACTTGATTAGGCTTTGACTGACAAGCAATCCTGACCACGAATTTCTATTTTTCCGCTACCGTAATTATATTCGTAATTTTATTGCCGGTATCCTAACACAAATCCTGACCACGAATTTAGCACTACTAAGCTAAAACTCATTGTTAAATAAAATGCTCTTGTGAACTTGCTAACCTGATGAGTCTAGCTGATTAGGAAGGCTACTGATTGTTTGCTTAAGCTGACACTTCTCTAAAGCCTGTAAACATAAAACTCAAGTGATTGACATTTTCTTTTTTGTGCGTAGATAAGAAAAAAAAAAGAGTTCATTGCTGAATCAATTTTCTCACCTCCCATATTTCATTCTCAGAATAAAGGCCTAAAGGATCCAAGTTAGACCGAACGCTACCCCTAAAAAGTGTGGGTTCTTGAGGGATGATGCTAAGCTTTGTCCTCAAATCTTTAAGACCAATAGAGCATATGTCGAGTCCATCTATAAGGATTTGACCACTTGCAGGTTCTACTAACCGAAACAAAGCACTGATCAATGTGGTTTTGCCGCTGCCAGTTCTTCCCACAACTCCTACCCTTGTCCCTTCCTTGATTGTGCAGTTGATTCCTTTAAGAACTAGTGGAGCATTCGGACCGTATTTTATCTGAAAATCAATTTAAGAATGATACCATAGTTAAAAAGAAAACATATATATGTGGTACACTACTGAAATAGATAATTTTATTAAGTTCTCTTCTACCTTCAGTTCTTGAAGCTCTATCCTACCCTTAGAAGGCCAAGAAGATGATGGCTTTTTGTCCTCCACAATTGCTGGAGGTTCTGGCGGGATGTGCATGAACTGCTTAATTCGTTCTATGGATATCATGTAGTTTGATGCCAAGAAGATGATGGCTTTTTGTCCTCCACAATTGCTGGAGGTTCTGGCGGGATGTGCATGAACTGCTTAATTCGTTCTATGGATATCATGTAGTTTGATAAGTTGCAATACCAACGAGAAATGAAAACTTGGATCCCAGTAAGTAATAATGCATTAGTCATGGAAAGCCCAACAAGTCCTGCAGTAGCAGAACCAAAAACTGAAGTTCACATCTTCAAACGATATTGTGAAACTCAATTGTTTTCCCTTATTGGATAAGTAGAGCTTGGAGTTGGAACTGATAACCTCACAGCCTGGGAACAAATTAACTACTACTAAGCAAAGCTCATTGTATGTATCAAAGAAATGGTACCTGGAGCTAGAACGCCTTTTGGAAGCAGAACTAATAGAAGAGCAGCAGCGAATAAAGTCACAATATGCAATGCCTCTATCCTCAAAATTAGCCACTCCAAGGCCCCATTAGAATGGAAGAAAAGTATAGCATCATTGTCTACAAGCTTTAGGTAGTCCTGAAAGTACCTGTCCACCATTTTGAAAGCTCTTATTGTCACTACTCCAAGTGATGTCTCAGCTGCATAATTCATCACAGGGGCTTTCGTTGTACCATTGATCCTTATCAGTTCCCTTGCAGAAGCTAAATAATAGTCCTTTCGAGCACCTCAGCTGCATAATTCATCACAGGGGCTTTCGTTGTACCATTGATCCTTATCAGTTCCCTTGCAGAAGCTAAATAATAGTCCTTTCGAGCACGAACAAAAATAAATAAATAAAGGTTTCCAACTTCCATTTAAAATTTTAGATAAAAAAAAAGGAGAAAATCATAGTTACCTGAACATATTTTGAACCGACTATAGCAATGCTGGCGACTATGAGAACTTGCCATGTGACTGAGGCCATAATTCCCACAGTTACTACAAGCTCTACGAGACCAGCCACCACAAGGACAAAGGCGGAAGGAATATCAAAATCCAAAACACTAAAATCGGACGAAGCCTGCAAAGTATAATAATGATGAAACGGTAAAAAAATATGTGCTATTGCAATCAGGAGAGTAGAACACTAAAGAATGTACAATATTAATTGAAGTTCATATATTCTTACACGAGTCAGAATCCGTCCAACTGGAGTAGAATCAAAGAAGAGCATAGGAGCTCTAAAAATCGAATTGGTGAAGGCAGAAAAGAAGGATTTAGAAGCTTTTAATCCAAGATAGGCTGCAAAGAAATTCCTCAAAGGAATAAAACCAACGCCAACAGTTGATATCAGAGTGTAAACTCCAATCAAAACGCCAGTATTGAATTTAGGAATTTGGATGGCATATGCTAGCCAATAAGTTGCAGCAGCCTGAAGAACGAGAAAACCAGTTGAAGATAATACACATAGGCATACAAGAAATGTTCCCTTTGAGACAAGAATATAATCAAGGAACGGTTTCCATCCTATATCACCAATCTCTTTCTCTTCTACATCTGTTAGTTGCACTCCTGGAACACCCTTCATACAGATCTCCACTCCACTGTTTCCTTTAGCAGGATATGACGAATTAGACTCTTCTGGCTCTGGACTAACTGTATCTACCTTTGAAGATTCTCCGTGAATATGATTGTTTGATTGTCCCATTGCAGTTACTGAATCTTTATGAGCATTCACTAGTTGTTCAAATGCTGTTCCAGCCATCGACAGCTCTTCATAGTTTCCTGATTGAGTAATTTGCCCAGCTTCCATAACCTATGAAAAGGAATAACCTAATCAATTAACAAAGGATGCAAAATTCTAAGTAAAAATATTTTCTTGATTGAACTGTTTTACCAGAATTCTATCGACAGATGAGAGGAACTCAATTTGGTGAGTAACTAGTACGACAGTTTTGTTCTCTAGAGCAGTCATGACACAGTCCTGCAATTATATTTTCAAGTAAGCTATTTCTGCAATATTTTATAGTTTCGAAAGCATAGAAGATTTTGGGTTTTATTTTTGTGTCCCCTTACATTGAATAGAGTTGCAGCAGTATGTGCATCTACAGCACTGAAAGGATCATCAAGAAGATAGATATCAGCATCACTATAGACAGCACGAGCAAGTTGAATTCTTTGCTTCTGTCCACCACTCATATTAAGTCCTCTCTGGCCTATTTCTGTGAGATCTCCATGATTGAAATTATTAATGTCTTTGTCTAAAGCACATGCTCTTATGGCCTTCTCATATTTGGCCTGATCCATTGGCTTTCCATGAAGTATGTTATCACGAATAGTTCCACTTTGAATCCAAGAAGTTTGAGAAACATAGGCAATGGATCCAAATACATCGACCTAATAACAAGAGTGTAGAACATACATTTTAGTAACAAACAAAAAAATGCTCAATGAGTACAGAAAATTGTTTGTGTAACTTACATTTCCTGATATTTTAGGTACCTCCCCAAGTATGGCAGATAAGAGTGATGATTTTCCAGCGCCAACTGGGCCACAAACGGCAATTTTTTGCCCCCATTTGATATCCAAGTTCACTTCTCCCAAAGTTGGCATAATTAGCTCAGGATCCCAACTGAATTTACCTCCTTGAATTTTAACACTTTCTTCTGAGTTACGAGATGGAATTGTTCTTAAGCTTTCATTCTTGAGCTCATCATCAAGCAGAAAAGTATTGATTCTATCAAAAGAGACCTTGACTTGAATAATACCAGAAAGAGCCTCAGGAATCGTTTTTAGAGATTCCGACATGCCCCTTAGTGTTGCAAGAACTGTGAAAATTGTGCTAGCATCCAATGGGGAACTCATAAAAAGCGCACAACCAAAGAAGATAACTGAAGAAATTATTGTTGGAGATAACCAATACAATAGACTACTATACGCCCTCTTAAACTGTGCCTCAGCCAACCATTTGAATTCGTCTTCTCGGCAAGATTCAATCAAACTCTTAAATTTATCTTCCCATGATTGCAACTTGATGATCTTCATGCTGTTCAGGATCTCAGAAGTAGCTCTGAGACGTTCATCTTGAGCAATCATAAATTCCAATTGACATTTCTGCAGAAATCTTGCAAATGGAACATTGAGAAGCCCACATATGAGGAAAGGGACTAATCCGGCAAGAGCTCCAAGACCAACAACACCAAAAAGGATCACAATGAATAAAAAGAGTTGCAGCACAAGACTCCATGTTGCATGAAACCACCAGGGAAATTCACCCATTCTATAAGCATCCACTGCAATGTAATTCACAATCTCACCTGTTGAGTGTCTTCTTCTTCCCAGACTCGAAAGTTTGAGCTGCTTTTGATACACTGCAACCATTAAAGCTGATCTCATTCTCAATCCTGATTGTCTTGAAAGGAAAAAGCAATGCCTTTGAGATAAGGACACAACCAACTTCACAAGAATTAGAGACCCTACTATAGAAAGGCCTTGATACGGATTCTGCTGATCATGATTAGAGTAATTTACAAAAGCGTACAACAGGAGAGGAAGAACTGTTACTGCGATTGTTCGAAGCAAAAAACATGCACCTATAAGGATATTCTCTTTGAAATATACTTTTACCACGGCCCTAATAACCAAGTTTTTGGTTTTGTTTGGAATTTTTTCTCTTACAAGGGAATCCCATACATTTGAAAATTTCTGGTAGGTTATACCAGCTTCGTCTTCTGGAATTAAAGATGGGATATCTTCAAGATCTAATGGTTTCGAGTAGCCTAACTTAAGCAGAGGATTAATCCAAGAAAATGTCAATTTGCTAAAAAAACTTGCCTGAGCTAGTTCTGTTTGCTTCTTTACCTCCTTTTTACCTAACAGAGGTTCTGATAGGCTCTTTTTGGATGCTTGTTCAGAAGCAAAATGACTGAAATTTCCAAAAGCACGGAATAGAAGCACAAAGTTGACAGGCCATGGTAGCATGTCAAGAACTTGGATGCCATGTGATTTTGCTAAAACTTCAATATTTACAGCTGAAGCCAATAAATAAAAAGATACCCACCAGATAGTAACAAAGATTCTAAGCCATTTGGTTTTTTTAATAAGCAAGGAAACTGCTAACGAAACCCATACTATTCCTCTAATAATGTAAACCAACCAGCTTGAATGATTAAGCCTCTTGTTTTCAGCTATTAGACTCCATAATGCAACACCAAAATATGTAATGCTAATTAGAGCACAACAGATTGATACCACCACACATACCCAGTCCCTTCTATTGCTACCACTGGTTTGATGTTTTCTGATAGAACCCAGCAACAAAAATAGATAGAAGACCCCAAGGAATAGCAAATTTGTGACATCTATGATAGTTCTTTGGATGCAAGGAGAACCCAAATCAAGTTCCTCTTCACAAATCCAAGAAAGTTGCTCTGCATAGTCAAGCGATAACCAATCACATTAAAATTATTTTCTCTCTTTCTTACTTTTACAAACAGTTGATTTGCACTTCAGTCTATAGCAAATTAAGTACAATAATATTGAAGTCAATGCGCGTATAAGAATCTGAAACAGAGAGGAGGAAAAATACATACAAAATAGCGGATGTTAGAACAAAGCACTATCCAAGAAATTGTGAAAATTCAAGAATCTAAGCTTGTTGTCAGTCTATTCTTCTGTCATACTTTTTTTTTTTTCCAAGAACCACACCAGTGAAATCAGGGTTCTGTTAGGACCTAATTGTCAAATAAGATGGATTTCATTGATATTAATCTGTAATTTTTTTGGACCTAAATGTAATTGTGCTTTCTGTTGTTCTTAACAGTTGGCAATTGGCACGTGAGTTGGCAAGTATTGAGCTTATGCGTCCCTCATGCAGAATTAGTATAATAGTGACTTGTGAAGTGAAATATATTGAATAATGATACTTTTTCTTCTTTTTTTTTTTTTTTTGCAACGTATTGGAGCTATGCGTACCCTCATGCAGAATTAGTATAATAGTGACTTGTTTGAAGTGGAAATATATTGAATAATGATACTTGATACTTTTTCTTTTTTTTTTTTTTTTTTCTCTTGAACTTAGTCTTCCTCTCTTCTCTCTTATTTTCTCTTTCTTTCTCTGATTTTCCTTCTAAACAAACACAATTCCCAGTCCAAATCTATAACTTAGGCTTTGTGTGACTAGTAAGCCTAACAAGTCTTTCGTTTTCTTTATTTAGCAGGAAAAATGAAAAGAAAAAAAGAAAGAAAGAAGAAGAAGAAAAAAAGAGAACAGAAGGATATTCAACAAAAGATTCCAGGACAAAATGATACTAAACAAGCAGTTCACAAACAAACATAAGAAAGCAAAAACAGAACACATTGAAATAAAAATCAAGAAATACCAAATGAACTTTCCAAGTATGCCATTACTGAAAGGCTTTTCTCTGATCTTGCTACAGCAAGTAGGCAAGTAGCCTTATAAGCTATAAATAGTACTGCATAATTTTTTTTAAACAAAAAAAAAAAAAAAAAAAAAAAAACAAAAAAATGAGGAAAAGGAAGAAAAAAACTTCTCAATGCTACGTGCCATTGTTTATTGATTCATAATTAAAAAAATTTAAAAAAGAAAACTAAAAATAAAAATCATTTATACATTTAAATTAGGCATGTCTACAGATTTGGAAGCTAAACAAATTAGTTATTACTTACACCTAAAAAAACTGTTAATAAACTACATTTTATATCATTTTTACATGTGATTTTTAAAATTTTATTTTATCCAAAATTATTTTTTTTTAAAAAAAAAAAAAAAAAAAAAAAAATGAGGAAAAGGAAGAAAAAACTTCTTTCAATGCTACGTGCCATGTTATGATCATAATTAAAAAAATTAAAAAAAGAAAACTAAAATAAAAATCATTATACATTTAAATTAGCATGTCTACAGATTTGGAAGCTAAACAATTAGTTATTACTACACCTAAAAACGGTTAATTAACTACATTTATATCATTTTTACATGTGATTTTTAAAATTTTATTTTATCCAAAATTATTTGTAGCTTTGAGAAGATTAGAGAGTATTAATTTGTTTTTTGTTTCTAATAAATGCAATAATTTTTTCTGCAATTTCTTAAAACTCATTTTCTCTCATTTTTCTTTCTTTTTCATTTAGATAGTTTCTCTTCTTTTTTTTTTTTTTTCTTTTAATTCTAGTTGTGGTTTGAAGAGAGAATTATTGAGATTATACATAGTAATTAAGTGAGATAAAATTTAAGTATGTAATTAGAGGAGATAAAGGTGATATGGGAAATGGAAAAATGGCAAGGAAGAGAGAAAATGGAATAATTCAATGGAGATATCAATAATTAATATTTTCTTAATTTTTTAAAATGATATATGAATTAGAATAAAAATATATATATTCAAAATGACACTTAAACTGATTTATTAAAAATTAGATTTTGGTATTACATATTCCTTAATATAAATCACGTAAGGTTATTCCCAAAAATAAGGTTTTTACATCCCCTATTTTGCATTGGAGATATGAGATTCCATACTGCAAATGTTAATTAATAATTAATAATTATCAAAGGTCTTGTTAGAGTTTCTTCTGCAACTTGACCAATATTCTGCTACAAGCTTAGAGAAGCTAGAATTAATCTCCATCAGCTTTGAAGGTTCATCATATTCCAATAATTCTCCTGCAAATCAATCAACCAATTAGGTTAACGTATTTTCCAATTATTTTTTTTTAATAAAAAACATTCCATTTCCACTTAAAGCACCAATGGATATGATTATAATTAAGAAAATGGAAACATACCATAAGAGAGGACCATGACCATGTCACTGTCTATAACAGTTGGAACTCTATGAGCCACAGTAATAACTGTACATCCTGAGAATTCTTGTCTGATAATTCTTTGTAAAATTGCATCAGTAGCAGAGTCAATTGAAGCAGTAGCTTCATCTAGTACTAGAATTTTGTTTCTCCTTAAAAGGACTCTTCCTAGACAAAACAGTTGCCGTTGTCCAGCACTCCAATTTTCACCTTCATCACTCACTGCATGCATATTACAATTCACTAAACTCAGCCTATAGCATTTTTCACTGATTAGGCTTTGATCAGAGTTCTGACAAGCAATCTCACAATCCTGACAAGACTTTACACTATAAAGTTAAAACTCATTGTTAACTAAAATGCTCTTTTTGAACTTACTGACCTGATGAGTCTAGCTGATTAGGAAGGCTGCTGATTGTCTGCTTAAGCTGGCACTTCTCTAAAGCCTGTAAACATAAAAATTCAAGTGATTGACAATTTTTTTGTATGTAGTTAAGAAAAGGGGTTTATTACTGAATTAATTTCTCACCTCCCATATTTCATAATCAGAATACAGGCCTAAAGGATCCAAGTTAGACCGAATGCTGCCCCTGAAAAGTGTTGGTTCTTGAGGTATGATGCTAAGCTTTGTCCTCAAATCTTTAAGACCAATGGAGCATATGTCAAGTCCATCTATAAGGATTTGGCCGCCTGCAGGCTCTACTAAGCGAAACAAAGCACTGATCAACGTGGTTTTGCCGCTGCCAGTTCTTCCCACAACTCCTACTCTTGTCCCTTCCTTGAATGTGCAGTTGATTCCTTTAAGAACCAGTGGAGCATTTGGACGGTATCTTATCTGAAATCAAATTGAGAATGATACCATAGTTAAAAAGAAAAAATATATGTGGTACGCTACTGAAATCGAAAACTTGATTAAGTTCTCTTCTACCTTCAGTTCTTGAAGCTCTATCCTACCATTAGAAGGCCAAGAAGGTGGTGGCCTTTTGTCCTCCACGATTGCTGGAGGTTCTGTTGGAATGTGCATGAACTGCTTCATTCGTTCTATGGATATCATGTAGTTTGATAAGTTGCAATACCAACGAGACATGAAAACTTGTGTCCCAGTAAGTGATAATGCATAAGACAAGGAAAGCCCTACAAGTCCTGCAGGTGCAGAACCAGAATTAAAACTTCAAACAATATTGTGAAAACTTGATTGTTTTTTCTTTATGGATAAACAGGCTTTGGGGTTTGAATTGACAGCCAAGCAGCCTGGAGACGACTAAAGTAACACTAAGCCAAAGCTCACTGTGTGTGTCAATCTAAATGGTACCTGGAGCTACAATGCCTTTTGGAAGCAGAACTAGCAGAAGAGCAGCAGTAAATAAGGTCACATTCTGCAGTGCCTCTATCCTCAAAATTAGCCACTCCAAGGCCACATTGGAATGGAAGAAAAGTACAGCATCATTGTCTACAAGTTTTATGTAGTTTTGAAAGAACCTATCCACCATTTTGAAAGCTCTTATTGTCACTACACCAAGTGATGTCTCAGCTGCATAATTCATCACAGGGGCTTTTGTCGTACCATTGATCCTTATCAGTTCTCTTGCAGAGGCTAAATAATAGTCCTTTTGAGCAGAAACAAAGAAAGAAGTTAGAGCTCCAATAAGAAATTTCAGATAAAATCAAGAAGCACAAAATTGTATTACCTGAACATATTTTGAACCTACTATAGCTATGATGGCTACTATGAGAACTTGCCATGTGACTGATGCCATAATTCCAATAATTCCTAGAAGCTCTATAAGAGGAGCCACCACAAAAGTAAAGGAGAAAGGGATGTCAAAATCCAATACACTTAAATCTGATGAAGCCTGCAAAGGATAATAAAGATAAACGTTAAAAAATTTTGTATACTTTGAAATCAGGAGTTTAAAACATTAAAGGATTTACAAGATTAATTGAAGTTCGAGCATAATCTTACACGAGTCAGAATCCGTCCAACTGGAGTAGAATCAAAGAAGAGCATAGGAGCTCTAAAAATTGAATTGGTGAAGCCAGAGAAGAAGGATTTAGAAGCTCTTAATCCAAGATGGGCTGTAAAGAAAGACCTCAAATATACAAAAACAGCACTAACTGTTGATATCAGAGTGTAAACTCCAATCAAAACGCCACTACTAAATTTAGGAATTTGGATGGCATATGCTAGCCAATAAGTTGCTGCAGCCTGAAGAACAACAAAACCAGTTGAAGATAATATACATAGGCATACAAGAAACACTCCCTTTGAGACAAGAATATAATCAAGGAATGGCTTCAATCCTAAATCACCAGTCTCTTTCTCTTCTTCTTCTGTTAGCTGCACTCCTGGAACACCCTTCATAGAAATCTCACCTTCACTGTTTCCTTTAGCAGGCTTTTCTGCCTCTGGACTAACTGTATTTACCTTCAGAGAATCTCCTTGACATTGATCATTTGATTGTCCTAATGCTGTTATTGAATCTTTATGAGCATTCACTAGTTGTTCAAATGCTGTCCCAGATATCAATAGTTCTTCATAGCTTCCTGATTGAGTAATTTGCCCAGCCTCCATAACCTATGAAAAGGAATAAGCTGTTTTCTTGATAAAACTGAAAAACAACACAAATTCTAAGTAAAAATATTTTCTTGATAAAACTGTTTTACCAGAATTCTATCGACAGATGAGAGGAACTCAACTTGGTGAGTAACTAGTACGACAGTTTTGTTCTCTAGAGCAGTCATGACACAGTCCTGCAATTATGTTTTCAAGTAAGATTTTTCTGCAATATTTTATGGTTTTGAAAGCATAGAAGATTTTGGGTTTTTATCTTTGTGTCCCCTTACATTGAATAGAGTTGCAGCAGTATGTGCATCTACTGCACTGAAAGGATCATCAAGAAGGTAGATATCAGCATCATTATAGACAGCGCGAGCAAGTTGAATCCTTTGCTTCTGTCCACCACTCATATTAAGTCCTCTCTGGCCTATTTCTGTGAGATCTCCATGATTCAAACTATTAATGTCCTTGTCTAAAGCACATGCTCTTATGGCCTTCTCATATTTGGCCTGATCCATTGGCTTTCCATAAAGTACGTTATCACGAATAGTTCCACTTTGAATCCATGAAGTTTGAGAAACATAGGCAGTGGATCCAAATACATTTACCTAATAACAAGCATAGAAGAACACACGTTAGAGTAATAAACGAATGCTCAAGTACAAAAATTTGTCGTGTAACTTACATTTCCTGAGATTTTAGGTATCTCCCCAAGTATAGCAGATAAGAGTGATGATTTTCCAGCACCAATTGGGCCGCAAATAGCAAATTTTTGCCCCCATTTGATATTCAAGTTTACTTCTCGCAAAGTTGGCTTTATTAGCTCAGGATCCCAACTGAATTTACCTCCTCGAATTGTAACACTTTCGACTGAGTTATGAGATGGAATTGTTCTTAAACTTTCATTCCTGAGTTCATCATCAAGCAGAAATTTATTGATTCTATCAAAAGAAACCTTGACTTGGATCATCACAGATAGAGCCTCAGGTATCATTCTTACGGGCTCCGACATGCACCTCAATGTCGCAAGAACCGTGAAGATTGTGCTAGCGTCCAATGGGGCACTCCTGAAAAGTGCACATCCAAAGAAGATAACTGAAGAAATTATTGTTGGAGATAACCAATATAAGAGAGTACCATATGGCTTCTTAAACTGCGCCTCAGCCAACCATTTGAATTCTTTTTCTCGGCGAGATTCAATCAAACTCTTAAACTTCTCTTCCCATGATTGCAACTTGATGACTTTCATGCTGTTCAGGATCTCAGAAGTAGCTCTGAGACGTTCATCTTGAGCAATCATAAATTCAAATTGACATTTCTGCAGAAATCTTGCAAATGGAACATTGAGAAGTCCACATATTAGGAGAGGGACTAGTCCGGCAAGAGCTCCAAGACCAACAACACCAAAAAGGATCGCAATGGATAAAAAAAGTTGCACCACAAGACCCCATGTTGAATGAAACCACCAAGGCATTTCACCCATTCTGTAAGCATCCACTGCAATGTAATTCACAATCTCACCAGTTGAGTGTCTTCTTCTTCCCAAACTTGAAAGTTTGAGCTGCTTTCGGTAGATTGCCACCATTAAAGCTGATCTCATTCTCAATCCTGATTGTCTTGAAAGGAAAAAGCAATGCCTTTGAGATAAGGACTCAACTAACTTTACAAGAATTAGACACCCTACTATAGAAAGGCCTTGATAAAGATTCTGCTGATCAAGATTGGAGTAATTTACAAAAGCATACAACAATAGAGGAGGAACTGTTACTGCAACTGTTCTAAGCAAAACATATACACCTAGGAGTATATTTTCTTTGAAATGTACTTTTGTCACGGTCTCAAGCACCAAGTTTCTGGTACTGTTTGGATTCTTTTCTCTTACGAATGAATCCCATGCATTTGAAAATTTTTGGTAGGCTATACCAGCTTCATCTTCAGCAATTAGAGAAGGAATATCTTCAAGATCTAATGGTTTTGAGTTGCCTAACTTAAGCAAAGGATTAATCCAAGAAAATGTCAATTTGCTAAAAAAACTTGCCTGAGCTAGTTTTGATCGATTCTTTACCTCCTTTTCAGCTAATAGAGGTTCAGATAGGCTCTTTTGGGATTCTTGTTGAGAAGAAAAATGACTGAAATTTCTAAAAGCACAAAATAGAAGCACAAAGTTGACAGGCCATGGTAGCATGTCAAGAACTAGGATGCCATGTGATTTTGCTAGAACTTCTACATTTACAACTGATTCCAATAAAGAAAACGACACCCACCAAACAGTGACAAAGATTCTAACCCATTTGGTTTTTTTAACAAGCAAGGAAATTGCAATTGACGCCCAAACTACTCCTCTAACAATGTAAACCAAACATCTTAAATGATTAAGCCTCTTGCTTTCAGCTATTAGATTCCATAATGCAACACCAAAATAGGTAGTGCTAATTGGAGCACAACATACGGAAACCACGACAAATATCCAGTCCCTTCTCCTGCTACCGCTGAATTGATGTTTTCTGATAGAACCCAGCAACAAAATTAGATAGAAGACCCCAAGGAATACCAAATTTATGACATCTATTATAGTTCTTTGGATGCACGGAGACCCCAAATCAAGTTCCCCTTCACAGATCCGAGAAAGTTCCCCTGCACAATGAATTGATTATCAATCAGATTAAAATCATTTTCTTGCTTTGTTACTTTTATAAACAGTTGATATGCACTTCGATCTATAGGAAATTAAGTATAACAACATTGAAGTCAATGTATTTGCAAGGACTTGAAACATAATTAATTTTCAAGACTAACATCTTCAACAATAACAGATAGGAGAGAATCACAATCCAAGAAAACTATGAAAATTCGACTATCTATACTTGTTGTCAATGTCACGTCTCATTCATAGAATTTTATACTTCTTCTTCGAGAAACAAACCAAAGGCAGTCCACTAACACACATGAGAAAGCAATAAAAGAATCATTTATGTAAAAAGAATCCAAGACAATGTAATCCTAAATAAGTAAGCAAAAAGGTGTGTACCAAATGAACCTTCCAACTCCAAGTATGCCATTACTGAAGGCCTTTCAATGTACAGATCACTTTAGCTCCTGCTACAGCAAGTCGCCTATAAAATTTAGAACAGAAAAAAAAAAAAAAGGAGACAAACTTCATTCAATATACACGTTCCAAGTTATGTTCATATTAAAGTACAAAAAACAAAAAAAGGACAAGAAAATTATAAGAGTTTAATCATTTATGTATTTGGCTCTATTTTCTTTCCCTCTCTCTCTCTCTCTCGCTGCATTAATCTGCAAATTTGGAGACCAAGAGTTCAAAAATATTTGCAATTAATTAATACACCATAAGAAAGATCAATCAATGATCTATTATATGAAAAAGAAGATATATGTTCTTAAATATGGTTGAAAGATTAAACAGACATATGTTCTTAGGCATGGAAAATTAGAGCCAAATACACATGGAATCATCAGAATTTAAAAAGAAGCAACATAAAATTCTATACGTGAAAATAATTGTAGACCACAACAACACTTTCATGAAAAAGATTAGGCAGAGAGCTGTGTGTATTGTGCGGTTGCAATCATCCACTTAAAAGTACAGACAGAGTTTATGGCCGCATGGCCTATACTTCACCGAACAGTGGAGTCTATGTACAGTAGCCTTTTATGGCAGAGAAACACAACGGGGTTGCACCTTGTCATCATCATAAATATTTAATAGAAAAGCCATGTCCGAACTTGTTAAGTACACCGTAATTCCACGTAATATAATGTAATTAAAAATATTCATAATATAATATTATATGAGAAATATCCTCAATTTTAAACAAACAACTGCAGTTACTAATTAATTTTAAACTTCCAGTCAAAAAAATAAATAAATTTAAACTTTTCAATTATAAATTTTAAACCGTTGATTGCTAGATTTTTTTAAATTTAATATATTTCTAACTAAATACTAGATTTACTAAAAATTCCTAATTAGAAATTAGAAACTCAAATTCAAACTTCTCATACAAATGGACTCTTGACTCCATTTGTAAAACTTATCTTTGTAAAATTCAATAAAAAAATATTAAAATTTTTAATTTTGAAAGTATAAAAATATTTAAAATTATAGAAATGTCATATTTTAAAAATTTTATATGCAAGAAAAAAAAAAAAAAAAAAAAAAAAAAAAAAAAAAAAATTTTAAAAATTTATATGCAAGAAAAAAAAAAAAAAAAAAAAAAAAAAAAAAAAAAAACTTAGTCACTATCTGACCGTTAATTAATAGCCAGATTTAAAAAAAAAAAAAAAAAAAAAAACTTAGTCACTAGTGACCGTTAATAATAGCCAGTATTGCTCGTTGATGATGGTTTGCAACTAGTTGTTACTAGCAATGATCAATAATAATGACGACCGGTTATTGGAGATTAATATATATTATAATATTTTTTATCAATATCCATAAAATTAAAGGAGATTTAATAAAAATAAAAATAAATCGAAATTGTATATTTCTTAGTAGTAATAAATAAATAAATTATCATTTATAATTAAAAAAATCAGGAGAAATAAATTTTTTTGTTTGATATAATTTATTGAAAGAAACCAAAAAACATGACAACAACCTTGACGGTGACCGGTTTCACTTTCAAGTTCCATGATAAGACATGTTCATGAGCATACCCATTTCTTCAGATTATAAAAATCCTAATCTTAGAATTATGGCATTCAAACCAGCAAATAAAATTTCTATTCGTTGAATGCAAAACATTTGAAACAAAAAAGCCATCCAAACACCTTCACAAATTCTTAATAAACACAAAACGAAAAGAATATATTTCTATTCAGGAAATGGAACTTGATGGCAACGTTGAACAGACTTTCACATGTGACTCTCCTAATATTTACCTAAACGAGCTTTCACATGTGATATCAGTGTAAAAAATTCATTTACAGATACAGTTTATTTCTGCTGATTCAACTGTTCATTATTTTATTATTAATTTAATAAGTTAATAGTCGAGAAACTGTCTTATAATATAAAAAATTAGAAGGTATGAATCAATCTCATTCCGTTCACACAATTGGTAATCTTAAAATTTGAGGATAAATCAGCGAAGAGGATGTCTCGATACCACAAATATTACATGGGATTTTCTTTGTCCATAGCAACTGAGATTGACAATTTCTCAGTTGTTAAAGTAATAATTTATTATATAATTTGTATGAAGTGCAAATGGATTGACAAAGCCCATACAAAGGAGGAAGTAAAATTGAAAAGAAAGACAAAGACAAGGCGAAGATGGTCTTAACTTTTTTAAAATTTGTCTTAGTTCTATATTTTAAACTATTTTGTTGTCAAGGAATATATAAAAGAATATCATGATTTGAAATTGAATATCCCTTCTGAATCAATACAGCACCATAGTTTAATTTATTAATAAACAATTATTGGAAAAGAAAATTTGTTAAATAATTATCCAATGAAAATTTCCAATTATTTTCTTATTGTTGTTTTTATTTTCATATGTAGGAAGGCGCAATAATAACAAATATAAATTGGAAGAAAAAATGTAAATCAATTGATGATAAGGATATAATAAATTTTTTTTTTCTGAAAAAGATAATGAATTATAATTAGAAATTACTAAATAAATAGCGAAGCATCCTAATATTGGAATAAAAGTTTCCCAACTTTCTCAACAATAATAGAATAGAACCTATTTCTTGGATTTAGACAAATTAAATACTTACTTACATTGCTAAGGACTTTTTTTTTTCTATTCTATCGCCAGGAAAAAAAAACCTATACGTCTCCTTAAATTCCATTTCTTTATTATTATGTCTAATTGTCTTTTTTTAATAATGTCTCACATGCAATATCCAATTTTACTTTTGAACAAAAATTCTGCAAAAAAAAGTCAAGATTGTCCTTTTCTATACTAAGGAAAATCAAGTAGATTAAAGAAACGTGTAAATAACAAGTAGGCTAAATCATGTTCTTTAATTTTTTTTTTTTAAAAATGTCATTATTATAAATAATATGTGGTGTTATGTTCTCATCTGTTCTTCATAAATGGATGATTATGATAATGATTGCTAATGAGAATAATGAGTTTACCTGATAATTAGTGCAGAAAGACATTATTTATGTATTGATATTTAGGGTTTCTCCTTTTAGAATTTAAGCACAAAAGTACATATTGTGGACTAAATTAGCTTTGTAGATATGCTCAACATGTGATTAGCATATCATAATTTTCTTTTGGCGTTTGGTGGGGCTTTGTACAAACAGATAAGACCAAACAAAAAGCCAACAGTCACGTTACAATTATCACTTGGTTTTCATTCGTTAATTAATAATTAATAGTAGCCATTACCCAACCAAAAAAAAAAAAAAAAAAAAAAAAAAAAAAAAAAAAAAAAAAAAAAAAAAAAAAAAAAAAAAAAAAAAAAAAAAAAAAAAAAAAACACCACATGCAAATAAATGGACTTTATTTGGATCCATGACCTCAACTATCGCCTTTCAGGGCCCATTAGCACTTTTTCTTTTGAATGGAAGACTGGATTTTTTTAGCCCATTACCTATACAGCACAGGCCCATTTTGGAAAAAAAAAAAAAAAAAAAAAAAAAAAAAAAAAAAAAAAAAAAACACCACATGCAAATAAATTGGACTTGATTGGATCCATGACCTCACTATGGCTTCAGGCCCATTAGCACTTTTCTTTTGAATGGAAGACTTGGATTTTTTTAGCCCATTACCTATACAGCACAGGCCCATTTGGCTTAAAATTAATTCAAGAGAGGAAGTTGTAATGGGACAATATTTGTGTAAAACACTCAAGTTGGTATTCACATTATCGTGGCTGTTAAAATTATTATTCTATTATTTTAAAACTTCAAACATTGTCCTCCAATTAAATTTAACACATTAATAACCTTCACACAGGAACTTTCTAGGCCTTCCTTTCCTTTCATTTATTTTTCCCCTTTTCACTCAAACGTTGAAATGAATGTAGAAGGATGGAGAAGAAACAGTGTTTTGGGGGGGTGTCCAACAGCCATCCATCCTGATCTTTCTTCTAGTTTTTTTTTTTTTTTTTTTTAATTAATTGGTCACGGATATATGAATCCATGGAGAGAGCAAGAAAGCTCCGGACTTCTCCTTTTGTTTTGTAATATGATAACCAAGAACCTAGAATCTCTTCCCAACCCCTCTAAGTAGCTTCCTCATATCACTTGCCTTTCACCGAAAATTAGATCAAAGCAATCTAATTACTTGCAATTTCCCAGTTTACTTTCCAAAAATGGCATCATCCCTCATCCCCAGCTTCTTTGGCAGTGGCAGCCGCAGAACTGATGTGTTTGATCCATTTTCTCTCGACATTTGGGATCCTTTTGATGGCATCTCCACCTCAACACTAGCCAATATGCCTTCTTCAGCAAAGGAAACCTCTACTGTCGTCAATGCAAGAAGCCCACATTTTCAAAGCAGACCTTCCGGGGATAAAGAAAGAGGAGGTCAAAGTGGAGATGGAAGAAGGCAGAATCCTCCAAATTAGCGGAGAGAGGAGCAAAGAACAGGAGGAGAAAAATGATAAGTGGCATAGAATTGAAAGAAGCAGTGGGAAATTTTTAAGGAGATTCAGGTTGCCTGAAAATGCAAAGATGGATCAAGTTAAGGCTACCATGGAAAATGGAGTGCTAACTGTGACTATTCCTAAAGAAGAGGAGAAAAAGCCTCAAGTCAAGTCTATTGAGATTTCTGGCTAAGCAAGATACTGAACTGAAAACAAAATTTGTCTTCGGTTCAAAACGCAATCTGATTGAATAAACTTAATGTGTGTAATTGGTGAAGCTTGTGTGTCCAAAATGGAAATGATTGTCATTTATATTAAATTTCCCACTTGCAATTTTCATCATTTTCTTCTATCAAATAAATACCATAATGCCTCTAAAATTGCTTCTGCATCCAATAAATTATTGAACTAATACATTCATTGTTGTTACAGGATTAAACAAGCAACGAATATAGAACATATACCATAAAATCCTAAACAAACCTTACAAAAATTGACACAGCAACAGAGAAAACAAATTTAACTTAGCAGAATCATAATTTATGTACCTTGGGCTGTTTCTACAAATTCAAGCACCAACACCAGTAGCTCCCTTCAATGCCTTCTTCAACTCTTCATTCGCATCTCCCTCCTTTGATTTCTTATCATTGCTTCTCCTTTCAGTTCTACTACTATTTTTCATTCCGTTTCTCTCTATTTCTCTGTATTTGCTGGAATTGAAATCCGTCACTGGCAAACTAAATTTATCTCCAGCAATTTCCCGCCTGAGATCCTCCACAGCTTTCTTCAATAGCCCATTCTCAGCTTGTAAAACATCCAGTTGCCGCTTAACCGTCAAACAAACCTCCACCATGTCAGTACTTGTCAACTCTGAGCTCGTCTTCTTTGCAGTAGCGACCGCACCTTCCGATTTCGATTCACCGTCCACATGCTCAATCCCTATCTTGTTCATCACCAAAAACGGTATCTTTCTAAAATTAATCCCCATCGTCGAATCAGCAGCAAAACCACTCTTAATCTCTGCTGGAACCCTAACTCCCCAGCGGAAATTCATAACCGCGCGGCTCTTAACCGGAAGCTTCGTACTTGCCGTAACTTCCAAACCAGAAAACGCCCCTGCGATCGCTCTAGCAGTATTCGGCTGCAAAACCGAAATTCTCTTCCCAGAAAATCCATTCGTCGCCCCAACGCCGCCTCCCTTCAACGTCGGATTATCCACAACCTCAATCGATCCATCATTATCAAAATTCTCCAAGGTACCAACCGAATTCCCAGTCTTTTCAAACATCGAAGACGACTGAGATTTCTTAATCGAGAAATCCCCAAATCTAGGCTTGAAATGAAGCATGAAACTGGGGTTTCCTCTCCCTAGCAAATTGAACTCTGCGCTCATCAACATAGAGCTAGACATAGGCGAACCAAACTGACCCATACCAGTCTTGACAATAAGAGAGAAAGGATTCCACGTGTCATTAGGGCGGTAAGCGAGCTTGATGGAAGGTCCAGATTCAAAGAAGGTAGCGAGATTGAGAGTAAGCTCTTTGGACTCGCCGGCGACAATTCCTGATTGGAAAGGTAACCCTAAGACGCTTAATGGGACTTTGGCTCTAAACAGCGGCTTTTGGTCTTCACGGAATTTGAGTGAAGCTTTCATCTCTGCAACGAAACCCTAAAACCTAAATTGAAATTCGAATTCTCTCTTGAAATTGAAGAGACAGTGAGGTAAGACTGAGAGTGAAGTGAATTTATTTATAAAGATTTAATAAAATAAAATCAAATAAAAAAAAAAAAACGGTAGGGTTTCAGAATTTGAAACTGAAGAACTTTGATTGAGCGGAGATTCCGCCAAACTTTGGCTGGATTAGGGGGAGCGGGGGCTGATTCTGACGGAGTTAGTAGATTGTTCTTTGGTGGGTCCTTTGATATTTTACCCCTGCACTTATCTATATTAACAGCGAATAAAGCTGGTTTTAGGTACGTAATAGTGGATACGAGGAAGGGCAAATGCGTAAATATGGATGATGATTGAAAATTGAAAGATGAGTTTTGCGCCAGTGGAGAAATTTTGAAAGCTGATCAATCAATTACAATAATAAATTACTTATTCGGTTAGGTTTGGGCTTCAACTTTGAAATGTTCCGGTAAGGTTGGGCTTTAACTTTTACCATTTGGGCCAAGTGGAGATCTGTGCTTTGTCTAACGTTTTGAAACTTTATTCAAAAATGGGCTAGGCCCAGAAGCAATTACATCTTTGAAAGGTGTCATTCTATGGGCTTAACCTTGTCTCTCCAATAATCCATGAATCAACCCAAAAAAAGGCCCATCAACCCATGAATGACACCTGAATCCGGACAAGTCTTTGAGAATATTTTTGAACTTTCTCTGTTGGACACATTCATACAAACATATAATTAGCAGACAAAATCACCACAAAAAAGGAAAAAACTGAAATCTATGTTATTGTGCAAAAATATTTCTACTAGTGTTTAAACTTATAGGGGAAACAGGGAATATTGAATAATGGTCCTTTTGATGTGAAAGTCTGCATATTCTTTTCATCTCTCAGGTAAGGTAATTTCAGTTATGGGTTAAAATCCAACTTGTTTTTTGGCAGATAATTTCTTTGGGGTTAAAAGTTATGTTATGTACAGTGCTTTTTTTTCCCACTAAGCTGCGCAGCCCTACAAAGTGTAGACACTAGAATGGGGACCAAGCCTAAACCATTTGGCAAGACTAGTCAGTCCAGTCCAAATCCAGCTATTAGTTCTCTCTATACCTTTACTTGTAAAAACTAGGAGTGTGGTGGTTGTAGATGAATGAATGCTATTTCCTCGTTTTTGCCAAATGAGCCGAAATACGGATACAAAATAGTCTTCTTCTCCTGAATTTACTAAATTAATAAAAACACTTGTGGTCAAAATGATTCGAATTCAAAACCTGTTACTCTGGCAAAAATGAAGAGACAATATTGAAAATTGTAAAAAGAAATAAGTAGGTAAGATATTTTCAAAGGACAATATCAAGAAATGACTATAATTTTGCTAAAACGCAGATATTACGAAAGACATCATTAAATTGGAGAATGGGTTCATTGATAAGATATAAGCATGGCATAAAACTCATTATTACACCATTAAAGTTTAATACTGTTAATATCAATGACTATTGATTCAGAAGTATAATGAAATTATAAGTTGGGACCTCTAATTGACCAAAGATTAATTAATTAAAAGAAAAAGCTAATAGTGTTATTTAACTTTAATAAGGGATTATATAAATTTAGGTCTCTAATTTAACTTTAACAATTAGTTTTTAAGACATAATTTTCGCAAAAATATACTACCTCCGTTCTATAATACTTGACACATTTAGAAAATTAATTTATTCTAAAATACTTGTCACATATGTGATTTTAAGTAATAATAAATATTTACTCCATTTTGTATATGACCAATAATTATTATTTCAAATTAATAGTTTTCTTAGAGAATTAGTGTTAAATTAAGAGTAATATAGTTAATTTACTTAATAATTTATTATAATTTAAATAAATTTAATGATTTTTTTAAAGGACGTAAAATTTCAAATGTGACAAATATTATGAAAGAGAGATAATATCACTCTAATTATACATCTAAATATATTAGAGCTTGATCCTTTTTAGTTAACATATTTAAAATTATGCTTTTGTCAAAAAACATAGTGAAAGGTTTTTCCAAGTGCGGGTAAAAAGACATAGACCTACTCATTTCAAACCACTAAATTAATAAATTGAAGTGGGTGTCTTTATCTTTATTAAATTAAATAACTTGGTCCTAGATTTGAGTAAAAACAAAATGATGAGAAAATCTTTGCACAAAATAATGAAAAGAAAGACATATTCAACTAACAGAAAAAAAGGATCTGCAGTTGATGTTACAAATGTATATATAAATTTTGTATATCACCACAAAGGCACATGCTTACTTTAAGGTGATGATGGTCTCAAAGTCATAGGGCAATGGCCCTAGGCTATATGTTTAAAATGGCCCCCAAGAGTTACTAGTTTACTTGCTAAAGTTTTAACATGGAATCCAAGAGCTTTTTAAATCAAGAAAACATACAAAAAAAAAGGTAAGTTCATCTGTGTCCCAAACTTTCATGCAATAAAATCAAGAAACATACTTTTCCATGTATAAAATGGAAACATTGCCTTGCTAATTTAAAGATTGGCCCACCCATTATGACTTTAATTATTGGGTTTGTGAAATTTCAGGATCATCATCATTTGATTTGATTTTTTTTTTGTTTAGCTTTAATATTTTTGTTTGGTGTTGGGTTTTTTGTTTCTTGTATTTGATTGTGTTGATTGAGATTTTAGCATGAAAAAGAGAGGAAACAAATTTCAATCCCTTCCTTTAATTTAGTAATGATCAAATGCCAACAACCTAACCCTCACTTGATCACTTTTCTTTTGTTTTCTAGTGATTCTTTATTTATGCAACTTCTTCCATAGGTCAGTTTTCATCTATCTGTTTACATATAAAATACACACTATCATACAAGCCCAAATTCCTTTCTTTTGCATTGAAAAATAATGTCAAAAAACTTTAAACATTATTGAAGTTGTCATTTATCTCCCAATATCTTTTCTTTTTGTTTACTTTTTTTTTATCTATAACCATGAGTATTCGGTAACAACTTTTTTAAGTAGTTTTTAATATTTTGATTAGTATTTCTTATAGTGTTTAGTAACGTACAGTTTGAATTAGCTTTTAGAGCTTAAGATAGCGTTTTATAAAAGGTTAACCTTTATAAAATTTAGCTTTTTTGTGTTTTATGAAAAGATACTCAAACAGCTATAAGTTAAACGCTACTAAAATAGCTAACAACTATCAAAACATCTGATTTTGCCGGATAAATCTTAGTTAACGGGAACCCAAAGAACATTAGTTGCTTTATTATTATTATTTTTAAATTTTAATAACAAAAACAAAAACAACACCAATAAACATTTAAATTGATAGAAACAATGTGAATGCATTTTTTTGCAAGCTCTATCTATTAGATTAGAAATTTAAAATTTAAAGTCGTTATTCATGTAAGGACTTTATCTATATATTGCCCCGACCCAAACATAGATACATTTATGAAATATAACAAATTAAAGAATTTTTACAGCAAATGAAATCATTGATTTCCTTTACTAGGAAAAAAAAAAAAAAAAACATAAAGTGCAACTGAATATTTTTCCCATTGAATAGAAGAAATGAAGGAACAATAGAATTTATATTTTTTATTTTTTGAAAATACAACAATAAAATTAATCGGTCATAAATATTTTGGCCACTTAAAACGGTGGTAATTTATTATTGTCATTCATAAATTAAATTCACGTAATAACGTGGGACATTATTTCATGTCTTTTTATGTTATGCTCAGATTTCTGGCTGTACCATAAAGAGATCAAAACCTTGTCATTTTGTTTTTTCAAAAGCCTTTAAAGGAAATTTGTACAGTTGCTCAGATAAATTTTTTTTTACCATAAACGACATTTTCGAAAATTAATTATTATTATATTCACGAATGCAAAATTTAGATCCCAAAAATCTAAATATAAACATTTCAATTTAGGGAATAAAATTTAGAGTTTATAAAAAATTAAAATCTAATAATACTTATTTTTTTCGTGTGGTGATTTCTTTTCTTATATTGTGCACTAGTGGTCGAACTATTCCGGTCAGGTAGGTCTATGTAGGGGTAAAATCTTCTCTAACACATTTTAAAAGTATTCTACATTAAGAGTTCGAACTCGAGACATATGTTTAAAAGATAAGAGACTCGCATCGTTCTATATCACTCTTTTTTTTTTATTATTTTAAAGAGTATCATCCCACCTCCTATTTAAAAATTAGATGAGAAATTAATTTTTTTCGAAATGAAAAATAATTATGTCTAAAGTTCTTCCCAAAATATAAGTCTGCGATTGCCCGTGATTCTATCCCACTCTTTACCGGTAATTGTTTGTATCTCTATCAACCAAAAATGGCTAAAGATTAGTTTAAATTTTTTTTTCTTTTTAACATGGTACAAAATTAGCAAAATATCAGAAGGGTAAAGAAAATAAAATGGGTAGGGTTAGACGGTCAAACAGCATCTGCCCCACTACACGGTAACACGATGATCATTCAATTCAAAGTGAGTACTGACATGTAGGACATGTCTCTAATTGAAAGGAAAATGACCTTAGGGAGAGTTAATTAATAATGTCATTAATTTACCTAAAAAGTAATTTCACTACCTCTGAATGAGTTCTGAATTAATTAATTAATGTTTGTTATATAATATAATGCCATGATTTATATACTTGAATGTTGTTTTTGACATTTGAGATTATCAAACTTTCTTTTATTGTACAAATATTCCTTTTGATCAGATAACTAATCTTCGGTTAAAAAAATTATTATCCATTTTGGAATAATTTGCATGTATTAGATAAATCATTTATTCGAGATGATGACAATACACCAAAATTTAATGTCATCACATTATCAAAAAAGAAAAATCATTCATGGATAAGTCAAGAATTTCAAAAATTCTAGTTCAAACAAATCATTATATTTTTTATAAAATTTGATATTTTCACATAGTTTGTAGTTACATAATCACAATTCTCACAAAAATAAAAAGATCAATCAAACCACTATCTGATTTGCTAACACGGTTAACCTTCTTAATTATAAGTTTTGATTGGAAAAGAAATGATTAAGCAAAGCAACACGTTTTGACGAAAATTAATTAGCAAGGAGGCCCAATATCACTTAAAAGATAATACCTCTTAGTCAAATCTTGACACGTATATATCCAATTTTATTTTTTATTATAAAGAAGGGTATTTGTTATCGATATTTTTATATTATCGTAGTTAATAATAGAAGGATAGTTAAAATTTATAAGTAAAAAAAAAAAAAAAAAAAATATATATCCAATTTTA